AACACTTGCTTATGATTAGATATTTTTATACTTTTTATCAATATTAATATTATTATTATTTTTATTATTTGTTTCACACTGATGACCGTTTAAGGAAAAAACACACAAGATTTGATAAGAACTAACTGCAAATGGCAATTAATACTTTTTTATACTTCCTCCTTCTTTCTTTTTAAAAGCGACAGAGAGTTAAATGCAATGTTGAAATAAGAAAATTTTGTTAATTTTGTGAAAACTGAAATTTCTAACACTGATAACAACAGCTCAGTGTTGGTATAAATATTCTTGAGTTTGTTTGCTTGCTAAATTTATTGTTGCGATGATCTTCCTCAGTGGATCAATAAATTTTTTGCTGTTTAGAAGAACTTAAAAGTCGATCAAAAATTTTAATTTTTAAAGGAAAAGTTTTGTTTATTGTAGAAATTATGAGAAGATGAATTTGATTTTTGGAACGGAACGAAACTTTACAATCTTTCAACTAGGATGCAATTAGTATAAAAAATGTGTTTTTCGTTTTGTACTTTCTGCAATAAATAAGAGGCTTTGTAAATTAAAAATATTTTTAGGCAGCGAGACATTTTAAATACAATATAAATAAACCATTCGTGGTATTTTTTTTTTTGGAAATCTTTTTTGAAGGAAATAATTTAAAGCCAAACGAGATTCAAATCCTAAGTTATCGCCCTGTGAAGTTTCTTCCAATTATAAAAGTAAATTTAAAAAATAGAAAATATTAAATAAAGAGTTATTTATATAAAGAAAGGAAAAAAAATAATTAAATTCATTAAAGTCGTCATCTTTGACTTCAAAGATGACTTTTTGTTTTTCATATTAAAAGTGTTTGATTGAAAAAGCTTCTTTCAAGCTTTTCTTAACGCCTCTCATCAGTTTCACACTTTCTGTTGATATTAGAAATTTTTTTTTTATGTCGAATTTGTCCGTTCAATTAGCGTTTGGCAATAAGGACAATCACGTGTTGCCTTTGCACACACATCACAGAGAACAAAATGATTACATGGCGCTAATGTTACTGATCGAATATTTTCTTCACACTTCATGCAGTAATTTGCTGTCTTATCGTACAAAGTCTTATCAACTTCCTCTAAATCACTGCGCAATTTCAACTGGAAAAAAGGAGAAAAATATAAAATTCTGATATAACATTAAAAATTATTACGATGATTACCTGAAGTGCTTTGAGCTTTTGGATTTTCATTCCCCTCAACTCATCTGTCTTAAATGAATGAGCTTGTAATTTGTCAAATTTATCACTGAGAGCTTTGACTGTTCCTAATGCTTCATCACGTTGTTTCTCAGTTATTGCGACCTTGATTTTAAATAAAAAAAAGAGACAAGAAAAATCAATAATTAGATTCACATTTGAGCTTAATTTTTATATTTATAAACAACCTTTCGATCCATTTCCATTCGCCATAGCTCAAAATTATTTCTCATAGAATCATCACGAACATTATTAAACGATGAATTCATCATCGGTGATATTGGATATTTTTGCAAATGTGTATCAAACAAACTGTTCGATTGTGTCACTGAATTGTTCATCATGTGTTGATCATTATTTATTTGATTCATTTCTGATATTCGTGATTCAAAATTTATTCTGAAATATTTTATAAATTAATTACAACAATTTCTTAAATAAAATAGAAAATAATTAATTACCTCAAGTCAGGACTGATTGAACCTAAGCCATCGTTTAATGATGACACCAAATGCGATGAATGTTGCATAAATATGTTGTCGTTGTGGCTAAATGAATTATTATTTATTTTTGGCGCCGAACCACCACTGCCACTCATCGGAATGAAATTATCACCATGAATGAATGTATGAGATGAGGGACTAAAATTGTTCGAAGGAATATTTACTGGTTTTGTGCTGTTAAGTAAACCTGGAAGAGAAAAGGAGATTAAATAAAGGAAACTAAAATATAAGTCAATTTAAAGAAAACTCACCAAGTGAACTTGTTAAAGGTGAATTCGGAATGTTTACTGGAGCTGATTGAGGGTGAAGTATACTCGATGAAATTCCAGCAGATATTGAATTATCAATATCAAATTGTGCTGAAATTAAAACAAAGTTAATTAATTGATTGAGAGATATCTAGCAGAAATTTGTTAGCTTACATAGCCCATATAAGCATTGACGCTTCCTACGTTCTTTTTCTATGGGGCTCATTAAAGAGTCACTTTCAATAGCTAAAATCTGCAAGAAAGAAATGAAAAAAAATTATGCAGAAAGAGTGGAAATATTTTCCAATTTTACCTGTTTTGATACTTCCGGTGAAAATTCTTGAAATGGATTCGACAACAAATTTGAATTGTTGGAATTGTTATTGATAGTCGATTGTAAGCTACTTATTGTGCTACCATTCATCGTTGAGTTGACAGTATTGCTAAGCGCTAATGAGCTATTGACTGACTTTTGATGGTGCAATTGTGCACCTGGCGCTCGATTGTGTGAACTATTATTCGAACCTATGCTGCTTGTACTTGCAGATTCGGAGCTTTCAGCGCTACCGTTTTGTAATACTTTCGAAAAGTACTAAAGAAAAGAAAAATGTAAGGAGTGAAATAAAATTGAAATTCAATTGCACTTACGGATAAATCATTATTCATTTTTCCATCTTTCATCATCGGTTGTGGCATTACATTAGAAATAATTTCCGATAACAAAGCTGGTGGTGCGTCGGAATTAAGTAGCTCATCGCCGACACCATATGCTGCAAAATAAACAAAATATTTATATAGGTAAATCATGACATTTAAACCTTTTTGAATATTAAATACTCACATTGAACGTGAGCAAATGCACAGAAAACAGATCGTGGACAATATCCCTGCTGTTGTACGTCATTACATTTTGTTGATTTATAAATTTCTGGATGAAATTGCTGTTCGGTTCTAGTATGACAATATTGGCAGTTATCACCAGCCTCACAATTATCAGGTTCACCCCATTCTTCACCATGTTTGACGTTAGGACAAGGTGTCGAACGATATTTAAATTTCCTTGGGCTTCGTCGTTTATCTTTGCTATTATGATATTGTGGACAAGCATATCCTTGACGACATAAACGTGGTGGTCTCTTACACGGTTCTGTTTTATAATTTGCTAGAACATAATTTGTATCTTGCCATTTTGGATCTTCATTCATTAAATTGCGCTCTTTATCTAAAATATTCGGTCCACCGTTTGCAGCCTCTACAACGCTTTCGGCAGTTTGTAATGCTTCCAATTCCTTAATGTCATAAACAGGTGGACGTTGATCATGAACACCATGTGCAAATGCACAATGTTGACCATTTTTTACGCAAAATCCACGCGAATCGGTGTCATGAACGCACATACATGTTTTATAATATCTTAGATGATAGCGACGTTCTGTATCTCCAGCTGTTCGATGTAAGAAGGGGCATCTATGAATAGATTGAAAGAAAGAGAAAAAGATGAATATAAAAAAAATAACATGCCGGTAGTAACAACAACAAAGCAATAAAAAACCGCACACACTCAAAACGAAAAAATTAACATCAAACAACTTGAAAATGAAAATAAAAGTGACCGGCTCTGATGTTTTTGTTGTTTACGGTGCGGATGAATGTATAATACCGTTTATTATAAGAGAGAATCTTCTCAAGGTCATTGCCAAAACAGTGCTTGGCGCGCTTATGAAAACAGAAAACTGATTCGCGAATTCTTATCTTTTTTTAAATATCACTCACACTTATTAATATTTTGTTTTTTACCAATTCACATCTTCGATCTATCGACAAACATTTTGCTATTATTTCTGATAAAATTCTGTTTATGTTTGTAGAAATAACCTTTTCGTTGCAGCTGTGTGTTGACAAATATATGCGATCGTGTGACATTGACAACGGTGCAATTTATATTCTAAAAAGTCTTTTATTTTAATTTGATACAATCACAAATTCGCGAATAAGCAATTTATTTATAGAAATATAAAGAAATGTAAAGAGAATTGAAACATAACTGCTGGCTTGGCAATTTCATAACACTTCTTTTTCAGGGGAATATTTTTTATAAGGGGAAATGGGAATGAGAATATGTGATGTCACTGAATTAATTCATCTTCTCTTCTCATTAATTCTTTTTGCTTGAAATATATTGTGATTTATAAATTATTTTATTGCACAAAGGCTTTTCTAGTTTTCCACCCACATATAAACCGAAATTGAAGGACACATCCCAAAACGACCGCCATCTTGATTCTTGTAATGTTCGCGCGTTTCCTATTTTTTCACAATATGACAGAATTTTATCTACTTTTACAACACTTAATGCAGTTTATATCACACACTTAATGGTTTTCACAATATTTAAATTCCATTTATCACTTAAAAACCGGCATTAAATTTGCTATAAATGAAAATAAACAAATCCTTTATTTGCACTTACTCATCTCCATCAGGACATTTGCCTTTTGTCTCGTCATATTTTGTACAATAGTTATCAGCTGAATAGTTAAATGTTCCATCCCTTCTACGAACAGGCCGTCGACGACGCTGATTATCAAAATGCCAATTAAAACACACAAATGGCTTGTGTTGATTACATTTATGTTGCAAAAACGAAGTGCATTGCTCGACACGAAACTCCTTCAAATATCTAAAAAATTGCAAAAGTACATCTCAATTAATGTAACTTTCTCATGAACTTGATAAATTTCCGAATTACGCACGTATAATGATTTGGTTTTTCCGTTTGAGTTTGTAATTTTACTTCTTGATTCATTTTTATTCTGATTTTTCAACATTAGACTCAATTTTTTTGTTTTTACTCGTCAGTATTTACGCAGTTTATGATCGAGTTGTCCGATTATTGAGAATCTAATTTCAAATATAAATCCGTTAAATTTTGAAGTTTTATATTTAAAAATTTAGGACATTTGTAAATCATAAGAAACATGACAATAATCTTTTTATGCTTTGCAATTATAATTCAATAAAACTAATGCCTAAACATACAAAATAAATGATGAACATTGTTAAGAACAAAATTTTTTGTGCGTAAGAGTATGTTCAATAAAATATGGAAAATACTTTGCATCTATTCAAGTTTCGCATCTTTAAGGGGCATTACTTCTAAATTTATTTATAAATTTAAAGAATTCTAGATTAACTTATTAAAATAGTCATAGTCTGTCTTCAAAATGTCTTATCAATTATATAGAAACACAACACTTGGGAACACATTGCAAGAAAGCTTAGATGAATTAATTTCATATGGTCAAATCACTCCACAGCTTGCATTAAAAGGTAGGTATTTATAATTTGTTGATTGTTTTGGAAATTTCCCTAGAATAATCGAATTGCTTCCTATCAGTACTTCTTCAGTTTGATAAATCTATCAACTCCGCTTTATCAACGAAAGTTAAATCACGCATAACATTCAAAGCATCGAAATTGAACACGTACAGATTTTGTGATAATGTATGGACATTGATGTAAGTAATTTTACGATGCATTATTTATTTAGACATCAAGAGAACTTTTAATTATTTATATCTTTATTTCATACTACAGGCTCAATGATGTCGAATTCCGTGAAATCCACGAGTTTGCCAAAGTCGATAAAATAAAAATCGTTGCTTGTGATGGGAAAAGTGAGATCTGATTTTCTCAACATTAGGCTTCTCCCAATTCATTCATCTGGCGATCCAGGTTCAAAAAATAAATCTATTGAGAATATTATTCCTAAGTTATGTTTAGCCGTTATGGCACGACAATCCATTGACAAGATAATCCACTAATGTCATCATATTTGAATCACCTCTCATAGCAACGAAGTAAAATGTTCATCTTTAAATATAATAAATCAATTCCTGGAACAAAATTTTGATCTTTCAATAATGAAAAAACCTAATCATATTAAAATGCGAGCATGTTTTCACCAATAAATATACTTTATTTGAAAAATGAAAATTTTTCTTTTGATTATATTATAGTTTCCTACACGTTTCTCTCATCATTTGTGAGACTTAACTATTAACATTCCAATGAGATATTGTTTTATATTTCAGTGCCAAAGTGCTGAGGCTTTGAGGCTTTAAAAAAAAATTGATTGAATTGTGTTTCTTACAGAAAGAATTAAAAAAAATATTTGAGCACCATCATCGTTGGCATGAGTTCTCTGAGGAAACTTCTAAAGCTTTTTAATTTTTTATTCATCACTACTGTTACCAATATTTAAAAGATTCTGTCTATATGTTAATTATTCTTTCAAAGTCTTTTCATTTTTTGATGCAGATTTTACAAATTTCTCAAAAATTTTTCATGTTCTTTTAAAAATCAAAACCGTAATATTTTCTTATAAACTTCAACAACAACGACCTTCAACTATATTTCTAGATTAATCCAAAAAGATTTTGATAGACAACACGAGCTTTCTATTTGAAGCAACAAACACTTATTTAGATATTAAATGCTTTTCTCAAAATCAATCTCCTGTCGTATTTTCAGATAAACACCAAACTTTGCGCTCATTTGCGCTCGATTACTGAATCAATAAATGCTTGATTTTTTTTTTCTCAAATACTGTTCACCGTACTGTTTGAAAAGCGAAATCATTGTGAGCAAAAATTCATGATCAAATTTATTTTCCGTTGTGCAGGTTTTGCGAAAACTTTTTCACATTTTACCTTATTTATGATTCTCACAGATTATTTCCAAAAAGTTTTTCTTTCTTTAACATGGATGTTTTGGTCCAGGAAATTGTATTGTGCTTTTATATATTTAGATATGTTCTTAGAATCAGATTTGCCCAGCAGAAAATTCTTCTTTTTATCCTCAAATATAAATACGAATTTTCTCTCTAATTTTCTTTTCTTGTTATTCTAAAACTTTGAATTTAATATTGTAAAAAGTGGAAAGAGCAAAAAATTAATTTATCTAAGTATCTAATTTTTCTTGTAGATAGATACTTTTGTTGTGTAAATTATGATCTAAATTGAAAGAATGGTATTAATTGTTGGAGATAATTTTATATCTATTTAGATCGAAAGAAAAAGCTTCTGTTCTAATCTCTCTAATGTAACAATGATATCTAATTAAGCTCATTATGTTTTCTCTTCTACAATCATGTTAATCTTTATTCTCGCTGCTGTTAACGATATTTTTATATAAGATCTTAGACATACTGAAGTATACAAGTAGCTTGTTTTTTCAATGAACGTAATAGAATGGATAATGTTCTGCTCGAGAATGTTTGAATGAAGATATAAATATCCTAAAATAATTTGAATGAATTCTTCTTTCATTCTTGAGCTTTTTTGTATCAATCGAAACGTCTAAAAATAAACATAATAACAAAAAGCATTCTTCGGAACAGTCAAAAGAAAAAAGATAATCAATCATTGATAAATTATTTAAATCTCTTTAGTTGTAGTTATACATAATTTGCAATACTCCTTACAGAATAACAAATGAAAGGGAAATTATTGAAAAATGTATGTTGTTATCGAAGCTATATTTTCATGATGGTAAATGTTAAATTATTGATTAAATAACAACATATCTGCTTCCTGAATTCATCAACAATTCCCAATGACTCAAAAGGTAAAAACTTTTACTAAGCAAAAAAGAAAAAGAAAAGTATTTAGGTAATTCAAAATTTTATACTTAACACTTTATGTATATGAATGTTTCAAGTTGGATGACCCAATTATTTTTCCCCACTTGAGGACAAGGGTTTTTCCTTGGTTTTTCCAATGAGGTTGAAAAATAAAAATCCATGAAGGTGAACCAAGTTACAAAAATTTACGATTTGAAAATCCTTTGGTGTTTAGAAGTTTACAAAAATGTGGTTTCTGCGTGGGACAATCGACCTGAAAACTTGGCCTCTGCCTCATATCAAAGTGTCATTGGTCTGGCTTTTGAAATTGCTCGTGTCGTTTTACAATTTCATTAACAATCGGCTCTTCAATCTCTAATCCACTGTGAACTTGTTCTTTTGATAAAACTATTTCTTGTTCAGTTGTTGGCGATACCATAACGACACGATATCTTCGTGTATGAAGAATGTTTGCAATGACGAGTTTATGATTATATTTTATCAAAGCTTCTCTTGACTTTTGAATGAGAAGAGAATCGTCTGTTTCAAGTTTAAAACTTATGACAAAAGCTTGGGGAACCCATGATGAAACAAGCGGCTTTAAAATTTTAGGAACCAAATCAAGAGAGATTTTAGGCGCACCCGTTGATTGGATTTTATGTTTAGGCATATCTTCTTCAGGAACATAAAAATCACTAACAGCTGCGGCAAGGTACAAGAGAGCTCGTTTTTCAAACGGTGCTAAACATTCACAAGCAGCTCGAAGCAGCCACAGATAATCACTGACACTTGTGAAATTAACGTACAAGAGCCGATTGGTCTCCTGAGCTTGTTTATATTTTTGCAATATTGGGAATAACACATCAACGGAATCGGGTTTCACACTTATCGATGAATTTTCTCCGTTCTCGATTATGTCCAGCATATCGAGAAATTGTTGGCCACTAAAGTGTCTTGTGAAAGGTTCAAGCGATTTAGTCCGAAACATGAAAATGACAGCATATCCTCGTTCAAGAAAATATTCAGCCGATGCTGAACCTCTCGATCCAGCGCTGAAATTATCCACAAATCTTACGGTATTATGTTCCAAGGGCGCAATCGTTCCACCTGATGTTACAAGAACAATGTTTTGACTTTGATCTTTCAAATGATTTTCACAAAATTGTTTCAGCAATTGTCTGTTATCCTCGAAGTCTGCAGGTGGAAGATGAGTTGCATAAAACTCTTCCCAAGAACCCATATTGTAGTACTTTCACTTCACTGTCCCAACGAAAACAAATTGAACCAAAAAGAAATATTCGGAGCTACATGAAGTTTCACACAAAAACTGTGGGGCTTGTAACTTTTTCAAGTTTTTCTCTTTAAAAATGATGCAAAACTGGTTTTGGATCATTTTTTATTTTAAGTAAAGTGTGTTGTCAGACAAATTTTATAGAACATTTTCAAAAACTTTAATCATGATTGAAAATGAAATTAGGAAAATTTGTAGTTATTACAAACTGCCTGCTGGAAAGTTAAGCTACAATGAACATAATGTAATTCAAATGACAACGGCGGCTGAAAAGATTATTGGTTTTTCGACTATAATAAATTATTTTCATCAAATTATCGATAAGGAAAATAAAACATCTGAAGGCTTCTTTCTTACCAAGCAGTTTTTTGATTATGCTAATATTTTTATAAGAAGTACATCGAAGAGAGATAAATGTTAGTATTTTGAATTTAAAAATGGTTTCAATTTTATAAAATATTAAAAATATCTTTGCAGTTGTTGCTTGTTCGGAGCTGAATTCTTATCTTGAAACAAGATCGTATTTAGTAGGACAAAGCATCTCTCTTGCTGATCTGGTGGTATATTATGCTATCAGTGACATAATGCGACAACTAACACCTCTTGAAAAGGAGCAACACTTGAATCTTTCCCGTTGGTTTGACCATTTACAGCAACAAGGAAAAATTCGACAGGACACACCACTTGTTAACTTTTCGAGTACTTATCTTTGTGCATCAACTGCAAAAATCTGAAAAACGCATAACATGAAAGATTTAGCATTGTCTTATTCAATAATTGTATTATTGAGTAAAAGTTTCATTCAATAAAAACAAAATTTTAATAAAATTTTTGCATCTTTTTCTAAAAATTGTTTTGTTGACATTTTTAACAAGAGACAACAAACATTTTTTTAAACTCGGCGAATGTTATTCAATTTTATAAAGAAACAAATCTTTTTAGTGCGTAGAAGTTTATCAAAAATGTCTGCTATTAAATATTTGAATCAAGTAGAGGCAACAAACATTGATTTAGAGTTGTTTAACGAATATAAATTTTCTGGTAAGTTTTGATTACTAAAGTTCGAGAATTTTGCATATTTATTCTTTTATTCTCCTACCTAGTCGATCAACTGATGGAACTGGCTGGATTAAGTTGTGCACATGCAATAGCAAAAGAATTTCAAATTAAAAATGGGAATAATGAAATATTAGTTGTTGCAGGTCCAGGCAACAATGGTGGTGATGCTTTGGTTCTTGCACGACATTTATCTTTGATGAAATTTAATCCAAGCATTTATTACCCAAAAAGAGTCGACAAACCACTTTTCAATAATCTAGTTACTCAATGTACATTGATGGATATCCCATTCTTGGACAAATGCCCCGATATTTTAACTGCCACCAAATATCTTCTTATTGCTGATGGTCTTTTTGGATTCAGCTTTAAACCGCCTGTTCGAGATACATTCAAAGACGTTATGAATCTTATGGTGAACACAGACGTTCCATTAGTTTCTATTGATATCCCCAGTGGATGGAATGTAGAAAACGGACCTGAAGGAGATGAAACGATTAAGCCTTATATGATGATATCATTGACTGGTAACTATTTATAAATACTTTTGATATTTTCAAAATAACTTTCACTTTAATTTCAGCTCCTAAACTCTGTGCTAAGCATTTTAATGGAATCCATTATTTGGGAGGAAGGTTTGTTCCAGAAAGATTAGCTCAAAAATATCAATTAAATTTGCCTGAATATCCGGGAACGGAAATTTGTATGAAGTTATTGTAATATTTTATTCATTCGCACAATAAATCTATTGGTATCGAGAAAAGCATTCTCTTATTTCTCACGATTTTAATCTTGTCTTAATCTCGATTATTTATTTGAAAATTTGAATTTCCCGCCTTCTCAATCTTTTCGCATCATTTCAGTCGGAATATTTTGATTTTAAAACATAAAAATGATTGAAGGTAGTTTTTATTAAATTTAATATCGTATAGCTTTTATCAAATTGTTTCACCCAATTTCAGAAGCTAATGATACAACTGGTAAACTTCAGAATCATTTGAAACTACTGAAGAACGAGTATTCAAAGTTACAGAAAAGTTATGCAGAATTGCAAAGAAAGTTTGATGACTTGCAGGCGAAGTCTACCAATGATCCAGCTGGTGATAATTCTAGTTTTAACTCAAGATTAGTAATGCTAGTTGCTTCACTTTATGGTCGCAAAACATATTCAGATTTAACAATCAAACTCAAAGAAAAGTCCCTTCCAGCTCATAAATTTGTTCTTCAAGCCAGGTGATTATTGAGAACAAAATTCGGTGCCACCCTAAAATTTATCAACATTCATGACATTATCCTTTTATTGAATAGATCTGAAGAATGGCGAGAAGAAACATTAAGTGATGTTAATGAGCTTGATTGGTCCGATCTTGATATCGATGCTGGTTACGCCTTATTGCGATGGTACTTAACATATTGAAATATTTCTTTATCTTAATATTGATCAATACCTTGTATTTTTATGCTTCTAGGGTTTATACAGATATAGTTGATTTGCAACAACAAGATTCACTGTCGATGAGTCTTTTACGAGCTGCTCATAAGTTCAAACTTAGTGGATTAATGGGTAAGTTTGATTAATACAATTTACATTATGTCATTGAACAATTGTTTGAAATATTTCTTATCAGGTCTTTGCGAGCGTGCTCTTGTTTCATCAGTAAATGTTCGTTCATGTGTTTCCTTTTATTGTGTCGCTGAAGAAGTTGGTGCTGCTAATCTTCTGGAGTATTGTTCATCTCTTATTTCAATTCATTGGGATGAATTATTACCACAAGATTTCATTCACATGTCTGGTGCTTTGCTTTACAAAATGCTCAAAACGAAAACGAAACATCCCCTTCATTCAGCTGTAAGACTCAGACGAGAGGATGTTGTGTTTCTTTGTCTGGTTGAAAACGACGGAACGGTGAGTGAAATAATAATAAAAAATACCTAATCATTTTACAAATTCTTTATTCGCTCTTCCTTCATTCTTTTATTTCTTTCTCATGAGCTTTCCTCATATTTATAAAAATTCATTTAATTAATTAATTTTTATCACAAGAGTTTTTCTTTAAATCTTATTAAATAACTTGTTGAGTATGAAGATCTGGTTTGAAGAAGTTCTTATTTTTAATAAAGTTTTCTATAAATAATGTCAATTACTAAGATGAAGTAACCCTTCCTTTACCCCTGATGATTATAACTCTGGTTTTGGCAGCTTTGAATTTGATGTTCAAGCTATAAATATCATAAACTTCTTCTTCAATTAATAATAATCCATATTTCGGAAATATTTAACTAGATTAAAAACGATTAATACGCCCATCGTATCAACACCATTGCTAAGCGTAGTTTTGGAATCAATTTTTGGTGCTGAATTACAGAGATCACCACGACAATGACAATATTCAGAACCGTCATCATTATTTCTTATGCAACCTTCACTATAAGGCTCTGCGACGGTCACTTCTTTAATCCATTGGTTTTTTACATAATTCTGTAGAAAGAAGAAAAATTCATTATTTTATTTTCTAATTTAACTTAGTTAAACTTCTTACCATGCTATTATTTTTTTGGTCTGCACATCCACGCTCAATTGACTCTTGTACTTTATTGATCAATTGATATCGATAAAGTCTTTTCTTGCACATTGTGGAATAAGGACAGTCAACTTCAAACTCTTCTGACTCTTCAAATTTGGAACAAAGTCTCTCAATAGTTGTTCCGTTTTGTTGTCTCTTTGGATGAACGGTGCATTCGTAACATTTAATAGCAAGCGCAGCTTTATCTGTAATGTAATTTATTTAAAAACATAGGGAGGGAAGAGTTCAGTTAAATATGCGATAATTTAATTTAAATTCATAAAACTGATAAGAGTTGTCTTCATTATGTTCAACTCTAGTGCAATCATGATGATGATGATGATGAATCAGAATTATTCATGTTAGATGTTTTCCATGAAAGTGCATCAAGCGGGAAATTGAACGGAAATGTCTTATCACAGACAGAAATAAAAACATTTTATTTTGTTATTCATTTAAGAGCCACTTGACTAAGTCGGCGAAGTGCGGAACAGTTTTTCTCCCATCTGGTGCGTCATACTCTAAGATTTCTCTTTCATTCACGAACGTATCGTCATTTCAATACATAACGGGATTAAGTAATTAAAGAACTTTACATTTGGTCGTTGATCCCTCTTGATTAGACGAAGTGAGGGTTTAAGGTCAAGTCTCTTGAAAACATAATTGAAATAGAACGTTAATCATGTTAGTGCTGCATAAGTAATTCCTTTGAGAAGAAAACTATTGCGATGATTATTTATCACTTCAAGTATGAATAATCGATCTTAATTATGAAAAACATTCATTTCAATTGCTAAGTGAATCATTTTTTCTTTCTTTAAAATATTAAAAAGCAAATCAGAACGATCTGAATAAGTATTTTGTTTCTTATCTCTGAGATGGGTCAAATTTGTCGACATTTTTAATTAGTAACAGATTCTTCATCCATTATGTGAATATCGTCACTTTGTTGTTAGATTGTCGGTAAACATTTTTTTCCTTCAATAATCGTTTCGTCATGTTGTCTCTGAGAATTCAAGCAACGGTTCTCAGAAGAGATTCTTCAATATTTCTTTTCGTTGATGAATCATTAACGCAATTCTGTTTATTATTGTCAGAAACACATGTTGACCATTCGCGACTCATCTCTTACTATTGTGTGTTGTTTTTTATAACATACCACCGATATTCATTTTATTCTTCTTCATTTGAGAAGATATTTGGCCACGAAAGTAGAAAGTAATATGTAAATTAAGTTTCAATGGAATATTGTATGGTTCAATGACCAACTATAGAGCGTGTTATATGGCTTTTAATTATTTAATGGATTTTTCGCGAAGAGTCATGGAAACTCTGTCGTTGCATGATGTATAAATGAAAGGAAAATGATTTAAAAAGCAAATTGTGCTGTTCTTGTCGTCGCTCGTGGTTATAAATTTTTTCTTCACCTTTTTTTCTCAAATCGAGTTAACTAGGCATTGAGTGTAAGTAAGCAGACGAAGAGTTCGCCATGCATACATATTTTCAATATACTGTAGTTTTTCTTTACGCTTTAGCACTATCGTGAAACGTAAATATTTAAACCACTAACTAAACTAAATGAAATTCATTTTCTCCGTTTAAGAAGTTCAAATAACTTTTATGAGAAATAACGCTGTTCCACTTAATGGCGAATATTTATAGATTTGTTCGTAAATACAAACTGCAGGATTTATGCAACTTGAATTCTTTTGTGGAATTAAAATTTTCAACACTCATGACAGCAACAATGTTGTGATATAATTGATTGTTTTTCTTAAATGTCAATTAACGATTGAAAATATCTAATTGAAGATTTATTTGTTTTAAGTAACTATGACAAGCATTTCAAACATTCAAATGTTGATAAATAAGTAATCGCACTCATTCAAAATGTTAATCAGATTAATAGAGAAGTGCCAGGCGTCGGTAATTTCTTTCTTTTTATTAAAATGAAATTTCCTGTTCCATCTCCAGTGTTTTGAATCATCTCCAATTGAATTTATTGATTTGCGGTATAATTCGTGATTCATTCTGACAGATTTGTGGTTTACATTGAATGATAAATGGAATGCTGATTAACGTTAATATTTGATGGTGATAATTTTTTGTTTCGTGGAAATTATAAGATATTTCTGAAAAATGTTGCGATCAAAAACTAAGAGAAGAAGAACATTTTCGAAGTCTTCAAAAAGCTTTCGGTAAAAATTTACCGGTTCTGTTAATGCTGTCGGCAACGGCATACATTGAAATTAAACATCTTTTTAGCACGCTTTTGAAACTGACTAGAAATACGAGTGTTGTTACCTACTATTAGCTAGTCTTATATATTTTTATATTACTTAACAGAAATCTAACAAACTTAAATCACGATTGTGGTCAAAGTATGATTGAAGTATAACTAAAATTAAAATGAGTTAACGATCGTACATGGCTACTGAAAAACATATACTTTAAAAAGGAATTCAAGTTTATCAGATCATTGAGAAACAAGATGATAGAAAAAAAGAGAAAATTGCAATAAAATAAAAAGTTTAATGAAATCATGAAAAGGAAAAGTAGGACGTTCAACTTTTCGTTAAATTTATTTTGGGATTTTATTATTGTTTTTTTTTTAATTTTCCATTCTTACATTGTTATTGAAAACGATCAACAGAACATGTCAACTGAATTTTATTGGCAAATCTTTTGTCATAAGTGACATTAAAAAGTTTAAATTGATTCGTCATCCGCCTGATAAATTAATAAAGTGCACAAGACGTGAATATTAAATTACCTATCAATATTATCACGATTGCCATCGCACAGGCGATTCTCGTTAATCTCTCCATTGATTTGAATCCAAAAGTAAGCGGAACTACGAAAACAAACTTCTTTTTCTTTAGGATTTCACTTTACGGCGCCAAAATATTTATTTTTTTCTTCTTGCTTCCGAACCGTCACTCGTGATGGTCATTTAGTGAATCACAAATTATAAGTCACACCATTTGAAGGGCTGACGTGGGTGATTTTTCTCTTCTCTGCTTATTTTCCTTTGAAAATCACGATGACACACTTCGACGACAAAATAAATTTTCATACGCGAATATTATTTTTTACTTTTTATTCTCTCGACAGATATTCGCTGAACTATGTTTGATTAAATGAATTCTTTATCGAAATGAGTGTTAGTATAAAACTTGTCACTATTTGATCGAAGTTGTTTTTCCAGCTTATTTCTTTATTGTTTCTGTTATCAACGACTTTATCTGACTGTTCAGCTATCAACGATTCAAAGACGACTGAGAAATATTTTTTTATTTTATTATGTGCTGTTCTTTCAAGTGTTCTTTGTATGAAAGCACATGACGAGAGAAAAACAGATGAGAGAGAATAAAAATTGAGAGAGAAACTTGAGAAAAATTGCAATTTTGCACGAAGCATCACGAATGATGACAGAAAATAAAAAGAAAATTTCTTTCGATAAAATTCCGATCTAAAAATTGTTTTTTCTTTAATTATTTCAGGATATCGTTAATAGTTTATCACCTCAAGGTCATCTGCCTTTGGGACTTGCTCTAATTGAACAACATACAGCAATAGCTAATACACTCGTTCAACATGGTGCTGATGTTAATGCAAGAAACTCTGAAGGTGCGACTTTACTTATTGATGCAGTAAAGCGAGGTGATGGATTTGCGGCAAATTTTTTATTGGAGAAAAATTGCGATGCTAACTCAACGACGGAAGGAAGCGAAGATACAGCACTTCATTACATTTGCACTTATTCAAAAGAAACTTCTGATCCCGAGACGTACAAAGCGCTTATGGATATTGGACGCAAAATGTTAGCGATCAAAGTCGATGTTAATAAACAAAACAGTAAAGGATATTCGGCACTTTTACTCGCGATTAGTTGTGGCCATATTGAAATGGTTAATGAATTATTGAAAGTTCCAGAAACTGACTTGAATCTTATCACAAATGATGGCAAATGTGCCTTACATTTCGCCTTGTTATCATCAAAATTCGAAGATTTTACAATCGCTAAGCAAATCATTCAAAATGGTGCTGAAACAAACGAAATTGACCAATCAACCGGTGATAACTTATTACAATTCCTTATTAAATCGCAGGCTGAAGATGCTGCAATGTTCATGACCGATTATGTGAATTTGAACTTCAAAAATCGTGAAGGTTTAACATCAATTCATCTTGCAGCACAAAAAGGACTTGCAAAGCTTGTAACGAAGATGTTGATATGTGGAGCATCACCAAACGTTCAATCAGGTTTTGAAGATCAAAAGACAGCTTTACATTATGCAATCGAATGTAACTCACAAGAAGTTGTTCAAGCAATAGTTGACTTTAAAACATTAGCAAGAGATGAAGACGAGAAACCTGATTTTAACATCAAATCAACGTCTGGTGACTCTCCTTTAAGTTTAGCAATGAGTCTTCGACATAATGAACTAGTGCCACTTTTAATCAAAGGTGGTGCCGATGTAAATGCAAGAAATGGTCAAGACTTGACACTACTTCATCAAGCAATCATCAAAGAGTCTCCAGAAACTGCAATATTTCTTCTGGAACAAGGTGCGGATATGAATGCATTAACAGCTGATCAAGAGTCTCCATTACAGCTTGCAATTCATTGTCGATTGGAAGATGTTGTTGATGCTTTATGTGTTCGTGGTGTTGCATTGTCAGCGCCAAATAATAAAGGCGACTGTCCACTTTGGTGTGCACTTGAATCTGAACAAGAAAACATCGCGAGTGTTCTTGTTAAACATGGAGTTGACACTGATTGTTGGTCACCAGGTCCCGATGGATGTCTTCAAACACTTCTTCATCGTGCAATTGATGAAAATAATGAATTTACTGCTGTTTTCTTAATAAGAAGCGGTTGTGATTTGGATTCGCCACGTCAACCGGGTCTTGATGGTCCAACTGAGACTTCATCCACCAAAGAGTCGCCGCTTCATTTATGTTGTCAATGGGGACTTACAAGAGTCCTTCAAACACTCATTGAACATGGTGCCAACGTCAATTCTATTGATTGTGACAACAGAACACCATTGCACGTTGCAATTCAAAATCAACATGAAGAAATCATTTCTATTTTATTAAAACATCCATCGATTGATCTTAAAGTAAGAGACAAATCAGGAAACACACCATTCGCGTCAGCATTAACTGTAAGAAATCATAAAGCGGCTGAAAAGATTCTTGAAAGAATGCCAAATGCTGCGGAACAAATGGACACTCGTGGACGAAATTTTCTTCATTTAGCAATCATGAAGGATGATTTAGAATCTGTTTTATTTCTTCTCTCGATTCAAGTTGATGTCAATAGTCGTGTTCACGATGTTAATCAAGTTACACCTTTGATTCTTGCAGCATCATCAGAGAATGAAATGTTAATAAGAAATTTAATTCTTGCTGGTGCAAGATTGAATGATCGTGACGCAACACAAAAAACTGCCTTACATATTGCAGCAGAACGTGGAAGATTAGGAGCAGTTCAAGCTTTGGTACAAAATGGATGTGACTATGATTCGACTGATGCTGATGGTAATAATGCACTTCATATAGCGATGAGAGAAAGTATGATGCCAGTGGTGAAAGAACTTCTAACTGAATCGAGAATAAATGCTGAACTACTCAATGGAAAAGGTAGAAATCCGCTTCATGAACTTTGTCGATGTGGTCGCGATAATCTTGCAGCTTCAATCTGCGAACTTTTCATCGAATGCATGCCAAATTATCCGATTAATCATCAAGATTTTCAAGGAAATTCACCATTGCTACTCGCTTATATGAGAGGTGAGACTCAACTTTGTCGGGTTTTGGTGAAGAGTGGAGCTTGCTTAGGAATGGAGAATAAAGATGGTGTGTCTATTTTCAATTATAAACTCGCAACAAATCAATTACTTCATCGATTACTTGATGAACTAGCAGTTGAGGCACCTTGGAGTTCGTCAGATTTTTGTCAAGAATGTGGAACGAAATTTACATTAACAATGAGAAAACATCATTGGTAATGTTTATTAAAAAATTTATTCTTGAACTTTAAGTAACTATTCTTTCCCTTATTTCAGTCGCCATTGTGGAAGACAAATTTGCTCGACTTGTTCCAACAACGATGTTCCAATTATCAAGTTTGGCATAAACAAACCCGTTCGTGTTTGTCATGTTTGCTTTAACGTTCTTCAAACTGGAAGTAATTAAAAAATAATTCTTTTCGTAATTTGTGACGCACTCATTTAATTTGACTGTAATTGTAAACAATATTAACGTGCTATTTTGTATCGTGTACTCATGATTATTTTAATCATTAGAATTTATTTGATTCCAATAAGAATGTGCTGGATGGAGAATTCATCGATATTGAATCCTCATCATCGCACAACAAAATAAATGTTACACGTTTTTTTCTTGTTATTAACGAAATAAATTGAATTTAGTTTATTCTACATTAAACTTGTGTTTCTTTTGAAAGATTTTCCTTTAATTTTATCATTTTCAGGAATTTTACTTCAATCGAGTGAACAAAGTTTTGGTAACGCAATGATCTAACGCATGTAAGTAATCAAAAAGCTCCTCTTGGCATGTTTCAGCTGTTTTTGTACGTGAATTAACACGATCCTGACATGTTTGAAACTTTTCGTACAACTTAGAAGCGTGTGGTTCTTGTGAGCACTTTTCCTGAAATTAAATTATTTTTTTGTTATTCAATTCGGCTATTAAATTTCACGCTTTGACTTACACGTAATTCTTGTTGAGGATCGACCAACTCCTCTTCCTCTTGAGCCTTAACTATTGGGAATAGCGATTTGAAGAATCGGAAGGCCATTTCTGCTTGATTTGTCCTGTTTTCAAGAATTTTCTGCGAGAAAATATTGTGTAACTTCGCGTCAAGATGCAAAAAGTTATAATCCCCAGAGGTTTTCCTCAAAAGAAAAGCGGGAAAATTTGAATTTTTAATCCTAATTTTTTTCTGTATTTAAAATTAAAAACCTAATTGAAAACATTGAAATGATTTTAAGTAATGAAAATTTATTGAAAATTTCATGTGATACTATAAAATTTTATTTTGATGCTTTTGCTTCATCTTGGGATTCTTCGTCGGATGATTCTTCACTTTCGTTTTCCGAGTCATCATCGGAATAATTTTCATCAGATAAATCTCCATCATCTTGATAATTGTAGCTGTATCCTGAGCCACCAGCAGCTCCACCATAAGAGTCATAATCATCATCATCATCTTGAACTTGTGATTGTCGACCATATTTCAAGCTTCGTGTTGACATAGACAATTCTTTTGTCTCTGAAGTTTCATAATTACACTTTGGACAAGGAATTGCTTTATTTTTGTCGTATTTAAAACCTTTACGTTTCACATGATCCTCACAGTAGCAAATTTTGCATTTCAAACAGCTATATTGTCCATGTTTGTTGCAAGATTGGCATTTGTAGCTTTCAGACTCTAATACCTGACAACTTGCTTGATGTTCAAATTGATCATCTTCACATAGATATGAGTTACAAAATGAGCAAAGATAGATTCGACCTCCATGACTGTAGGTGTCCCTTTCACATTCGATGCACACTGCGTCTTTCAATGGACAAGCACAAGCATGAGTTGTCAAACATTTCCTACCATGACATACGAAAGCTTCACAGAAGTCACAAATAGCACCAACCTAAAAATAAAAAATGACCGATTACTGTACACCATATTCCACTTATAATAAGGACTCTTACCATTGACATTCCAGTTGCAAAAACTGTGTGTTTTATAACACAATCGCCTGTCTTACTCATGCATTTTTGCTTTCCACATTGTGCGCAAATTGGAAGACGCTGAACTGCACTACAAAAATAACAGAATGCTCTGGACTTTTGTTTTCGCTCACATTTATCGCATTCCATGGCTGAATTGCCTAAAATAATAAAACACGTTTCAATTTTTGCTCGTTTATAATTTTTTGTAATATCAACAAAAACTTACATGGATATTCAGCGATATTTTTCTCTTGACTTCGAATTTCTTTCTGTCTAAGTTTTTGCTTCTCAGCTTTCTTTCGTTGACCAGTTTTCTTTTTAGGCATTTTAAACAAATGTTCTTATAATATTTAAGTGATTTTTATAAATAAAATTTATTTTTGTGATTAAAGAAGCAACAAAAGAAGCTGAAGTGAAGCGAAATCTCAAACTTGGGGAAGAAAAGATTTCAAAATAAAAACCCATTTTTATGGATTTTAATAGAAAAGCAATGATTTTTTCAGTGTCAGTGCTTGGATTGTCTCTCACAATATTTCTGTTTGCTTACATGGTGTTTGGAGACAACACAGATGAAGATTTAAGGACGTTGCGGCAAGTTAATGTTAGAATTTCTTTTGTTGAAAAATTCTAATAATAGAAACAGTTCCTCAACACTATTTTTAATTACTAACGTTATGCTATTATGTTACCAGTTAATTTTTAGACATGGTGCAAAATATCCTGATCGAGCTTATAGAAAAGACTATTTACACCAAGAAATTCAAGCCTCAGACCCCGGCAGTTTGTCATTAAGTGGATCTCTTCAAATGTATAATCTCGGAGAGTTACTTCGACATCGATACATTAAACTTTTTCCTAACAACGGATTTTATTCTAAAAAGTTTATTCAAGTGAAATCAAGTTGGATGGATCGGACAATAGCAAGTGCACTGTCATTTCTAGCTGGTTTTATGCCGCCACTACAAAACACTAATCCACTTCCGATTCCATGGCAGCCCGTACCTGTTGTCTCAATCGCTCGCGATCGTGATGATTTGATAGCCCAAAAGAGAGCATGTGCGCGATATGATGAAGTATATAAAGCTCAAATGAATTCCGAAGAAATTAAAGCAATTGATGAAAGAAGTAAGAATTTGTATAAAATTCTATCAAAAAATACTGGCGAGAATATCAGCAGCATTCGAGATGTAGAATTTTTACAAAATACTTTAGAAGCAGAAGAAGCAGCTTCTTGGGAAATACCTGATTGGACTGAAGATTTCTATCCTTCAAAAACTTTACCTTTAGCTGAGAGATATTTGAGACTGTTAACAGAAACTCCTTTCATGAAAAGAATAAAAGGTGGACCATTAATCACTGAAATCATCGAAACGATGGTTGCAAGAAAGAATCAGTTATCAGAGAAAGCAATTTCAATTTATTCAGGGCATGACGTCACTTTAGTCAACGTTATGAATGCAATGCATATTTTAAATCAAACATCAGGAAAACCTGATTTTGCAGCTGCATTAGCCATTGAGTTACATCTCAGCTTAGATCATAAAAATGATATGGATGTTAAAATCTATTATTACTTCAATTCTGAAGACAAATATCCTAAAAGTATAAAAATTCCCAGTTGTGATTCTCCCTGTTCATTGGATCGATTTCGTAAAGTCATGAATGGCTTGATTGTCAATGACTTCGAAAAGCTTTGCGAAACAGCATAAAAGAAATCTTTCATCTCAATCAAGAATGTTAAAATAATTTTAAGTTGAATTGTGGTTGTTGATTTATGATTCTCCTTACGAGGCCCAGAGACTTAGAGAATGGAAAAATTTTCCATATCATAATTGCTTGAATGTGCTAAAAAGATATTTTACAAAGTGACTGCAATAAAGACAAAGAAAATATATTTATTATTTAAATAAACGAATTTATTGTCCAAAATTGAAAATATTTGGTTTGAAATAGTTTTCTTTGAAGTATTGAAGTTCTCCAAAATATTTGATTAATTTATTTATTTCAAGAATATCAGACCGGTACAGGAAGTTCCGTGTATCTAGGATGCGACCTTATCCATTCATGAATGGTATTCTCAGCACAGTTTGTTCCTTGAATTTGACATGCAGCTACTACAAAGTAGTTTGGACTTAAATGGCCAGCAACAATTGCACAATTGATGATTGGATCCAAAAGATTTCTTGCAGACAATGAAGGCAGACGATTTATGAAGTTTCCAATGTAAGCAATATTGAACGATTGATTGGCAAATGGTCCCACATTTTGTGATTGTTGAAACCATCCACGACCCGTGTAAATCAAATTATCTTCACCAACTGTGAAACTAAATCCAATATCAGGCCATCCAAGAACATCCATGTGATGATTTTGAATGATTCGCGTTTGTTGCGCACATGATGCTTGTGTCGTGCAGAATTGATTTTGTTCTCCGGTTTGATGAACAACCAGATAAGGTGAAGGTCTTACTGTTATTACTGGAATTGAACTGGAAGGTGGTCTCGCAGCCCACACAATTCTAGTAACAAAAGTTGGACATTGACAATGCACAGAAAAGAGAATCGAAAAACAGCAGAAAAAAGTTGTTAAAAGCTTCGTCATTACGGAAACGAGAAAGAAAAACTGAACAGATGGTCAGTGCTTCAGAAGTAAACTTTATCAAGTGTACCAACAGTAAATTACTTAATCTTAGTACGAATGATAAGAATAATCAAAAACTGATATCATTTTATTCTGCTCGTTCATTTATTTATGCAATCGTTATCAGAAGCAATTAAAGTAATTTTAAGAAGAGAAATAAAGTTAAACTGGTCGTGGAGTTTCAATGAATCTTGGATGTTCGCTAACCCACTGGAAAATTGTTGTTGCATCGCATGCCACCATGTTAGTAACTTGACATTGTGCAACTACATTGGCTGTTGTGTCTAAAGCTCTTGCGCTGACTCCACAGTTGATTAAACTGTCCAAGTGTGCAGCAATGTTTTCTGCTGGTAATTCATCGGTGAAAGTTCCAATGTATCCGATATTAATAGCTTGATTAGTGAATTGTCCAATATTTTCTCCCATGCGTCCCCAACCTCGACCTTGATAAATGTTGTTATCGCCTCCAACAAGGAAATGATATGAAATATCTGCCCATCCGTTTGCATCAATTTGGAATGCTTGAATATCGCGAATTATTGCTGAACAATCAGCTTGGTTCGTGCATGATGCTGTTCCTGTAGGATGAACAACTACCAAAGGTGCTGGTCGAATTGGTAGAACTGGAACCAATCTTCCAGATTCACGTGGTGCCCAACCACTTCTTGGAATGATTCTTGGACATTGACCATGAACTGCCAAAATTCCAACGAAAAAAAGTAAAGAAACTTGAAGAACTTTAACCATTGTTAAACTTATTACTGCAACTGTCAGTTATTGATTGAACATTTAAGCTGATCATTCGTTGTTTTTAATCCACCTGCTAATCAACAAATTCGATAAGAAAGGCAATTGATAACACCTTTAAATTGAACTAATTATTTTATTGAGCATTGAAAACGAAACCTTATCATTGTTCATATTGTATTGTCTTCCTTTTCAAACTTTATAGCCCGAGTGGATAGCGCAAACACCAAATGTTAAGTTTTCGTAATCAACCGCCCGGAAACCAGCTGCACGAATCATTTTCTTGAAATCTTGTTGCTTTGGAAATCTTCTTATACTTTCAACCAGGTACTGATAAGGTTCCCATTGTGATGCAAGAATTTGCCCCATGGGAGGAATCACTTGAAACGAATATTGATCGTAGATGCTAGGATGGAAATATTATGCAATTAATGATAAGATAATACTTTTTATGATGAAATGCTTGCCATTGTAGGAGATTGCTGTCTTCGATGTGACTAAATTCTAAACACATAAATCGACCGCCAGGCTGCAAAACTCTATAAGCCTCTCTTAAAACATTGTCTATGTTAGTAACATTCCTAATTCCAAAGGCAATGGTATAAGCTGTGAATTGATTATCATCAAATGGAAGTTTTTCGGCATCACCACAAACCCAATCGACGTCAAGAGCCTCGTTAGACTGAAATCCCAATCGTTCAGCTCTCTTCATTCCAACATTCAACATATGCTGGTTGATATCATAAATAGTTACAGAACTTTGGACATTGTTATCGGGATTGGCTTTGACGAGCTTTTTAATATAGTTTATGTATCGGAAAGCAATGTCACCTGTTCCACCAGCCACATCAAGTAGTTTTGTTCCTTGCGTTGGATAAAATCTTTCAAGAAAAACATCTTTCCACACTCTATGAATTCCCGCTGACATTGCATCATTCATAAGATCATAAGATTCAGCTACATTTTCAAAGACTTTATGAACTAAAAGAATAAAATTATTTGACATCATGAAATGACCTGAATGATAAGAAAGAATTCAGTAAAAATACCTTTATCAGCTTTTTCACTTGCTTTCACTGTCTCAAAACCAAAATGAGTTAAATTTTCTGTTTCTTCGACATTGTTGTTAATTATTTTAGATGAAAAAATCGTTCTTGTTATCTGTCGATTGAGGAAACTTGTAAAAAATGCACGACGAATCATTTTGATTACAAAATCTTCGCCGAACCAAAACAAAACACTTGTTTTTGTGGTAGGTATGTTCGAAAATTCGAAAAAAACATCAAAAACTAACATTTTTACGCAATGTTTTAGTGCTTCTACTTGTTAAAGATTTTGTCAGTACAAACAGTGACTGCGGTCTAACATTTAAACACTTCTAATAAAAGCTTTTTAATATTCTTTCTTTGCTTAGTTTACTATCCAATAAAAGTAAATTTAAAAGAGAATCTTTCAATTGAATGTTATTTAATTTTATGAACTGTGAATATTAATATTAAAAGATTAAACACATAAATTTAAAGTGATAATAAATTGTTTATCGTTGGTACCTGATAAGAATTTTTATTGTGCCTTCTCAAAAGACTCAAAGTTCATTTTTATACAAAGTTAAAACATCTTTCGATTTTCTGTTGAATTTAGAAATTTTAATAAAATGTCACTGTCTCGTTTGGATGTTGTGATCTTCGGTGCAAGTGGCTACACAGGAAAATATGCAGTCTATGAAGCTGTGAAGATTCTTGAAAATTATAAATGGGGTATTGCTGGACGTAGTAGAACAAAACTAGAAAATACATTGGCAGAAATGGGGAAAAAGTCAGGAAAAAATTTGTCAAATATTCCGATTATTATTGCTGATGTTAAAGACGAAAATTCCCTCCTGAATATGGCAAAGCAAACGAAAGTTATCGCGAATTGTTGTGGCCCTTATCGTTTCTTTGGTGAACAAGTTGTTAAAGCTTGTATTGAAGCTGGCACACATCATGTTGATGTTTCTGGCGAACCACAGTACATGGAAACGATGGAACTAAAATATCACAACTTAGCACGTGAAAAAGGAGTTTATATCGTTAATTCTTGTGGATATGATTCAATCCCAGGTGACATGGGGATTGTGTTTTTGGAGGATAAATTTAATGGGACTGTGAATTCTGCAGAAGGTTATTTTAGAAATTATTATTTAAATAATAAAAGTTCTGGACCTGGGCTTAACTATGCAACTTGGGAGTCAGCGATAAATGGTCTCATTCATGCTAATGAGTTGAAAGGAATTAGAAAGAAATTGTTCACTACAAAAACACGCTTTTCACCTCAATTGAAAAATCGGTCAACAATTCATAAATCAGAAGTTGCCGGTGATCGTTATTGTCTTCCTTTTCCAGGGTCAGACCGATCTTGTGTCATGAGAAGTCAACAACATTTTTTCAAGAATGACAACAAACGACCTGTGCAATTTCAAGCATATTCTGCTTATGATTCTCTTCTCACGACTTTAAACGTGTTGTTTGCCGGAACAATTTTGAAACTCTTATCAAAATTCTCTTTTGGTCAGAAAATGTTATTGTCACATCCTGAAGTTTTTACACTTGGATATGTTTCACGTGAAGGAGCCAATGAAGAGAAGAGTATCAATACAATTAGTGAAGTGATATTTCATGGCGAAGGTTGGAAAGAAAAATCACAAAATGCAACTGATGAAATTATTTTGCCAATAAATAAGGAAATCATTACTCGTGTGACTGCAGCAAATCCCTACTATGGTGCTGCTTGTGTTGGTCTTCTTTTAGCTGCTACAACAATTCTAAATGAAAGTTCTAAAATGCCTGGAAGTGGAGGCGTTTACGCACCTGCTAGTGCCTTCAAACATACAAGCTTCATTAATGAATTAGAGAAACATGGATTCACATTTGAAGTTGTTAAACTCAAAAGTAAATTATGAAGCTTATAAAATGTACTTTGAGATCTTATGAACATTCAATATAGTAAAAATTTTCAAAGTTTTCAGATAAAAACCAAATTACCTACCTACATGTTAGTTTTAATGTTTATCATATTTATTTTGTTCTGTTTGGTTCAAAATGTTTATTTTATGTTCATTGTTGGAAACTATTCTGTCAAACTGCCAAAGTCTTGGATTTTAATACATTTCAATAAATTTTGTCTTTTGAATCAATGCTGAATTTTCGCTCAAAAATATCATATCCAAAAATCTTTTTTGAAAGTAAAAGTTGAACATAATTTCAATCTTAAAACGGCCGGGTTCTTTTATTACAGATATTATCAATTTAATTAATCATTTGAAGAAATATCTTAGTTATCGGTTAGCTATTTGAAGTTAATTATCATATCAAATGACTGTTTTACTTTTTTTCAGATTAGGTATCATTGTTGATTATTAATAATTCAAATCACATTGGTTATTCTAATAAGCAGTGGTTGCTCAAAATTAATCATCGCATCTGAATTATTTTTTTCCCATCGAAACATGTAATGTTATTTAGGTACCTAATTCATTTGAACCACTTATCAAATCTTCAACGTTAGAAATTCTTGCATTAATTTCTCTCAATTCATTGAGGTAATTTAATTCATTATTAACTTATTCTAGATCTATGAAATGTTCTTACAAAAATGACTTAGATGATGTACTTAAGAACCATTTAAATATGAAATTTCTATCAACCTGTTTTATGCAATTCAACATCTTTAGGTAAAATATAGGTAGATACCTATGTAGTTGAATTCATTCGTAGCAAAAATCACGTGTGTGAGTGTTGTAAGAATCTGGATCTTCAACACTCAATGCTTCATAATGTTTTGAAAATATTAACAAAACATTGACAGAACGTTGAATAAAAAAAATTTATTCATCGTTTAGCTGTAACAAAGTGCGGTCGATTTAAGGTATGAATTAAAGTGATTTTTTATAAGCTCATAAGATTTGACTTCCGATAAAAATAGATCCTTTCCTGAAAGACAAATAAATGCAGGAAAATTTCATGAAGTTTTCTTCACAAATTGATTAATTTTTCTTATTATCGTGTTCCACATTGAAAAATCAAAGTTCAAGGGCAAAAAGTTGAAATCAGAAAATGCGTTTCTTATCTCATTGTTGAACAATTCAAGGTTTGTGTCTAGGTAGTTTGAAATAAAAAACGCGTGGTAATAACACTTTGAAGATTACTATGTAGCATTTGCAGTATCAAAGCATATTTCGTAAATTACCTACCTACTTACAATATTTTTACTCCTTAAAATTTTACAAATTACCGAGAAACTAATGTCGCTTCTAAATTAGGAAGGTCTAAATGAATAATTTCTACACCCACACATGCGTCTTGGAGAAAATGACGTAATTGAATTAATGTTTGCATTCTTTCTTAGGTGAAAAGTTTTGTTCTAGAGTAAACTTGTCAAAATGTCTTCTGAACGTTTAGATGTCTTAATATTCGGTGCAAGTGGATACACCGGAAAGTACACGATTTTTGAAGGAATTAAAGTTCTTAAAGATTTAAAATGGGGAGTCGCCGGTCGGAATAAGCAAAAACTTGAAGGAGTTTTAGCTGAGATGGGAAAGAAAGCTGGTGAAGATCTTTCAAAAATTCCAATCATTATTGCTGATGTTAAAGATGAAAAATCTTTAGTGGAAATGGCGAAGCAAGCGAAAGTTATTGCGAATTGTTGTGGCCCTTATCGTTTCTTTGGTGAACAAGTTGTTAAAGCTTGTATTGAAGCTGGCACACATCACGTTGATGTTTCTGGCGAACCACAATATATGGAAAGCATGCAACTGAAGTATAATCAACAAGCACGTGAGAAAGGAATTTACATCGTATCAGCTTGTGGTTTTGATTCTATTCCCGCTGATATGGGAACAGTTTTCTTACAAGAAAAGTTTGATGGAACAGTGAATTCTGTTGAAACATATTTATGGAGTTACGCATTGAATCATTACAAACCGAAAGGTGCTGCACTTCATTTTGGAACTTGGGAGTCAGCAGTTTATGGTCTTGCACATGCTAATGAATTGAGAGGAATCAGAAGTCAACTTTTCCCAAATCGAGGACCACGTGTCACTCCTAAATTAAATAGTCGTTCGATTATCCATAAATCTGAATTTGTTGGCAATCGCTGGTGCCTTCCATTTCCTGGATCAGATCGTTCGGTTGTAATGAGAAGTCAACGTCATTTCTTCGACAAAGATAGACAAAGGCCGGTTCAAATGCAAGCCTATATTGCCTTCGCTTCATTCCTTCATGTACTTGGAGTTATTTTTGTTGGTGCAATTTTTGGATTGATGTCTCGTTTTGCTTTTGGTCGTAAATTGTTATTGGATTATCCTAAAATATTCTCATTCGGAATGGCATCGCATGAAGGTCCCGAAGAAAAAACAAATGAAAATGTTGCTTTTGACATGATTTTCTACGGTCAAGGCTGGAAGGATAAGCTTATTGAGCCAACTGATCAATTTGATGAACCGATGAATAAGAAAATGGTCGTTCGAGTGTCAGCTGTTAATCCTGGATATGGTGCAACTTGTGTTGCTCTCTTGTTGACTGCAACAACAATCTTGAAGGAGAACTCTAAAATGCCCGAAAATGGAGGAGTCTTCCCACCAGGTGCTGCATTCAAAAACACTAATTTGATCAAAGAATTACAAAACAATGGATTCACCTTCGAAGTAACCAAGGTTGAAGAATAAATTAAAAATGTTAATTTCATGATTTCATGTGTATATGCAACATCCAGTAATTGAAATTACTTGATCAACTTCTACTAAAAAGTGTCTTAAAATGTTAAAATTCAATTTCCATTTCATTAAAATACATTTCCATGATTATTTCTTTCTATTGTACTTCACAATAAAATTAAATTGTTAATTTATATTTTGAATAAAATTATTCGAAGTATCAAGCTATCAGTCTGATTATAACTCGATGTTTCATTATGTCGTAATTACAACTTCTCGATATTTGTCAGCGTTTTTATCGCCATTTAAATGAACGTTTTGCTGTGTAGCTTTCTGAAATTTTATGTTGACGAGAGCATTTTCATTCGTTTATCAAAACAATCAAATCATTAAATTATCTTCTTTTTCAATTTAGATTTTATTTCTGCTTGAATTAAAGCATACAAAGGAAACAATATTTACTTATCAAGACGACAAATTGATGATTCTTGAACCATTTTCAAATCAACTTTGGGTCCAACTAAATCTCTGATATTTTTAAAACCATATTTGATCATCGTAGGTCTTTCAAGCGACAATCCATAGCCATGAACATTGACGTTAGCTGGGATATTCATTGGATCTAACATTTCTCTTCTGAACATTCCTGAATTTCCAATTTCAATCCATTTTCCTAAACCTTTATGGAAAGCGAAAATCTCCATTGAAGGTTCGGTATAAGGATTGTAAGCTGGCTTAAATTCAATATCTGTTAATCCCATTTTCGCAAAGAATCCTCCAATAATTCCCATAAGATCGCCTAATGTTATATCAACACCAGCAATCACGCCTTCGACTTGATGGAACTCAGCAAGATGAGTTGCATCGAGTGTTTCGTTCCGAAAAACTTTATCGATTGAAAAATATTTTGTTGGTTTGAACCCACCTTCTTGATTTGCTAACTTGTAAAGCATTCTAGCGCTAACAGCAGTTGTGTGAGTTCTTAAAACATTCTTTTGAGCATCATTAAGACTCCAATCGTATCGATAACCAATCGAACCATTTCCACCTTCTTCATGTGATTTCTTCACTCGTTGAAGATATTCTGTTGGAAACTTCGTGCTTAATTGAGGGTTTGTAATAAAGAAAGTGTCTTGAGCATCACGAGCTGGATGTTGTTGTGGTTGAAATAAAGCATCAAAATTCCAGAAAGATGATTCAACGTAGTTATTCGTAGGCATCTCCTGGAAGCCCATTTGCACAAAGATATCAGCAACTTCTGAACGAACTTTGAGCAAAGGATGTAAATGACCTGAAGCTGGTTGAGCTCCCATAGCATCGAAGTTATAATCTTTGAATTTAAGATTTTTCCAAGCTCCTGACAACAACATATCGCTGGTTAAATCCGTTTCAAGTTTCGTCAATGTCGTACTGAATTTTGCTCCTTTTGAAATGACGTAACTTCTCGTAACATTTTCAACCATTAATTTTCTTTTCTTGTAATCATTTTTGATGTTGTCTGGAATGTTTTCACCTTTTCCACATTTAAGTTCAATAAGGTGTTGCTGCACAATATCATCGATAGAATCAACTTTACGACGAACTATTGGCTTTCCAGCTGATTTATCAATTACTATCCAGCCTTGTGACATTGCTTTACTAAAACCAACCTTAGCATTTGGAGATGTCTTGAATAAGAATATTAAAATCAAAATCAAATTCGTAACCTTTATAATTTTTACTTAACTTACTTTCATTAAATCTGCTTGCGAAATCCCATCAGATGGTATAGCATTAAAAATGGAAGCTTCATGAGATCCATTTTCTATAACGTATTGGCCTTCATCTGTTACTGGCCACCATTTACGTGACGATGTCTCAGTATTTAACAATTCTCCATGAGCCTGAATTGATTTTACAGCGCCGATAATTTTTTGGTGATCTTCATTGAAGTTAGTAGCTAAATCTAGTGTATCAGCTAAATCATTCTGTTCTATATAATTAAGTATTTGTTCTGTTAGTTCCGGTTGCATGATTCACTGATCTTTACAAATATTTCAAATTTTCTAAAATTGACTGCCAGATTGCAGATATAAAGATGCGAAAGTTATTAAGTTTTTCACCATATTTTGCATCTTTTGATTCTAAAAAGATGCAAACATAGAAAATTTTCGCTTGAAGTTATTCTTCTTTCTCGCTAAAGACCTTTTGAAATAAACTACATTCACTGATACAAAATCAACATGCAAGGATTAAATTTGGCTAGCTTAAAGAAGAATCCAGCGGTGAGTATTATTATATAGAAGAAAGTTTATAGATAATAGTGTTTTAAAGTATAAAGAAGTTTTAAAGTTACGTCATTTGACTTTTGTTTCTCCATTTTTCTAAATTTTGAAACGTTCTTAATAATTATTTTTGTAGTTATCAGGATTGTCTCCATATTTATCAATTCGAAATGCGTTCATGAATATTTTATTTTCTTCCTTTTTTAGTTGATTCCTCTCTACATTTGTGTTGGAGCTGGAATGTTTGGAGCATTTTTCTACACTATGAGACTCGCAATCAAAAACCCAGACGTCTCATGGAGACGCGGTGCAAATCCAGAACCAAATGAAGAATATCGCACGAAGCAGTATAAGGTGAGTTCAACTTAAATAACTACGGAAATATTCTAAAAAAGGAAAACAAACACGAGCATGCACTTTTGGCGACGTAAATTACTGAAAATTTTCGTTATTCATAATCACATCGTAACATTTTCAACCATTAATTTTCTTTTCTTGTAATCATAATCACATCAGATGATTTCAAGGCCATTTAATGACAATATGTATTAATATTTTTTTCTGTTACAGTTCTACTCTCCAATTAGAGACTATTCCAACATTGACTCACCAGCTCCAAAATACAAAGATTAGAAAACTAAATCTGCTTAAATTAATATCCGCGAAGACATCTTCAACATGAGAGAAATCGAGGAGAGTTTGGATTAAATGATGGAAAATCGAAATGTAGTCTTTGTGTGGTTCAAGTAATATTAATGTAAATATAATCGGAAATCAAATAAAAGTTCGATTAATTGAAAGTTCATTGTTTTTGTAATCTCTTAAATCACTGCTCTAAGTTATCAGCAATTTAAAAGCATTTATTTAACGCATAAATTGCACTTATCTTGAAATTGTATAGATGGGTTCAGGTAAACAATATGAACTGGTTTCAAATATCACTCAGGTAAATAATACAAAAATAGGAAAAATAATGTAGCAGTCAAAAGATAACAATTTAAGACACATCAGTGTCGTCAATGAAATAATATTTATTTTTCAAAAAAAAATTAAGCAGAAATCATAGTAGATAAGTGAGATACACTAGGTAGGTACAATTGCAGGTACATATAAAATTATGTTTCTAAGAATTAAATATCACATCTTCGTTTGATATTTTTTCATAGAAGTATATCATATTAGAGTAAACTCTAATCAAATTTAAAAGGAAAATAATTAAGGTAAAATATGAGATCGACGCATATTGTAAGCTCGAGTCGGTGACTTGATTTTTCGTTTTGGGTTTTTTCTGCAGCGAATTTCATGTTTTTCAATCTTCTTGAACTCTTTTGAGCAATGAGTACATCTACTTGTAATACATCTTAAAACTCTACTTGATGTCTGGGAGCTGGAGGACGAATAGATTTTTAGGCTGCGAAGTTGAATTTTTTTTCCAATTCCAGTTACTTTCTTCTTTTTTATGTTCTCTTTGTCAGTATTTTGCCATTCTGTTGAATCTGTGGTAGACACGATTGCTCTTTCTAGATTACCCATTTCTTTGGTATCATCATTACGAATATTTTCCGAATTTTCTGGAAGTGCAGTAGAAATGACTTCTTCTTCGATATTACCCGTCTCTGCAGCACTAATATTAGTCAAACTTTCAAATTGATCTGTGGTTCGTGAATCGTTCAAAAAACTTATTGAAGGGATTTCTTCTATATTAGGAAAATTAGCTGCATATCTTTCCAATAATCTATTCAAATTTTGCGTCATAGACGTTTCTTCTTCAGCCTCATTTCCTTCAAATGTTGGGTTGTTGAAAAGTTCCGATAAGTCTCGATTTGAATTAGTAGGATTATTTTGTAATTCAAAAGTAAGTTTGTCGAAACTGCAGCTAGAGTCATTTTCTGTCGAATTTTCGTTAACGTTTTGTAGGTTATGTCCTTGTGGTTCCGTAGTACGAGAGTTTTCTTCCAAAAATCTTTGCGCAGCAAACGAATTAATATTTCCTAAAGGAATTTGAAGCTCTTTTGCAAGTTTCAGAACTTCATCATAAAGATTATCTGAGAAAATCGAAGATCCATAATAGATGAGATCCAGCAAAGCTTCAATAATGTCATATTGGGTGTTTATGATCACAGTTTGGTTATCCTCCAGCATAGTCTTAAAAAGAGAAATGATTGTTTTTAACATTTTATCTTTATCACTTTGATATTATGCATTACCTTCAAAACAGGACTATAAGCACATAGAATTGCTGTATGTGCCATTATTGAAAATGTTTCATTTTCAACTGTCAAATTACAATCATACGGCTTATTTGTGATGTAACTATGAAGCATATGAAACAAATGTGAGCGTTCCATTTGATATCTTGAAGTAGACATTTTGGCTTGCTTTATTTTTCACTTCGCTGTTATAGATATTTTTATTTGGAAAAAATAGTTGGAAGACACTTGCGATTTCGCGACTTTTAAAACCTCTTTTATTCGCGCAAAATTTTAAAAAGTAAAGGGTATGAATAATCTGATTCCAATGTTTTAAACTAAAAGTTGCTTGCATCAAGAACGTTGTGCACAATGCTGAATGTTTTGTTTTGATTGACCACGTTGTATTTCAATGCTTTATTGATGCTTCTTTGCTCTATTAGTGTGCTGGAAATGTTCAATGTTTTTTCTTGTTCATTCGCGTCGAGAGAGTGAAACGAGAAGGTTGAGTTTGAAACAGTGAATTCAAGTTAAAAAGTTAATTTAATTGAGTCAGGGAAAAGTTTTAGTTTATTAATCACTTGATTTATGTTATTTTTACCGATACTGTTCAACTTAGTTTATACTTCTTCCACAAAAGAGAACATAAGCCAAAAAAAAGTGAATAGAAGAATAGTTGCAAAAAATTGCGATAAAAAAAGGAGAAAAAATAAGTTTACCGATATAATGCAGAAAGTGCATTTAATTAAATAAATTTGATCATTATAAAATGATCAGTAGTGTGTATATGATAATAAATATAATTAATTGTGTCTAAGTGAATAGCCTTAAAAGGATTTTCAGACAGAATTTTGTCAAATAATTTTTTGCACAATGGACGTTCCAATTTTTCTCGATGGTAAATATGATTTTCTGACTTAAAAGTATTAACAATCCTTTATTATTTTGAAAGTCTTCTATCGAAATTTCATAAAACAAATAAATTTGATCTATAATTTGCAAGTTTTCTCGTGAAATTAATTTACAAGACTTCTACCTACCATAAATGTCACTAACACATGAATGAAAAATCCACCCTGCACTTACACCATCTCATAATATTTTTACCATCCACCCTCGATTTTGTTTATTTTCGTTACACATTTCACTCTCTTAAGTCGCTATATACAAAAGAAAAAAATTAAAATTTTAGTTTTGCAACATTAAAAACCATTGAAACAAAAAAAGAGATGAACATGTGCGTAGTTGGATTGGTTTGCAGCTGGCCTTACAGAAATTCAAGAAAAATTTAAAACTACATATGCTTGTAATAAGAAGTTAATAATAATAAGAAGAAAAGAAACATAATTTATAAACATGTGGGCATGGACCTCTTTCGCGTACGAAGTTGAATACTTTAGAAGGACAGCAAAAAGCAAAAAATCGATTCAACTCATGACTTAAATTTTGTTTTTTCATATCCCATGTTTCTTCAATTTGTTTATATGGCTTCAATATTTACAATAATTTATTCATAGGCAATTGAATTACACTAATAATAAGCTAAAGATTCCGTTCTAAATATGAGTGAGGAATTCCGGGATTTGACGTCAAAAGGCTTTTGATGACTAATCGGTATTTTTCAGCTTATTTTACTTCTTTCTCTTCTCACCGATTCACGATTTTATTTCATAAGAAAACAAGTTTCTTTTCCACTGAATTTCTTCGCAGTCTCTGCGATGTGTCATCGTAAGCGTATCGAATGAATGAGTTAAATAGAATCACGTTTTCATCGTCGACTCGTGCTTGTAACGTTCGATGCAGCGTTAAATTTCATTAATGCTTGATTGATTCGACAAATCATTCAGTTAACCAACAGCTTTTCAAATGCCTGCATTATTTATGACCAGACAATTTCAAACTATGTAATGTTTCATTAACTTTTTAAAAGCTGTCTAGTCTTTGGAATTTTATTGCGGCTTCTGTTGCTGATCTCATAAATTTATATTGCATTTCCAATCGATTCTAAGCAAGCATTATCTATCGATGTTTTGCTCTCATTAATGAAATATTTTTTAATAACAAACACTGTTATTATCATCATTTCTGCCCGATTTAATATAAAGCTAAGGAAGTAATGAAAAATTAAAATTCCATCCAACTTCATGGTTTTCCTTTATAAGAATATTGAGGATAAAATTCTATCAAATCTTTATCTTATCAAATTGAATCTTCTTAATGACTCAATCATTTGAATATTTTATGGTTTTATCTAAATTTTCCCTTTTTTAATTCTTCAACACAATTCAAATTAAGCACGTGATGATAAATATTTTTATCTTTTTTATCGTGTTTGTGTGATTTATTTTTGTTCTGAAATTGGATGGCGATAATCTAAACGAGTGTGGTGTTGCGTTCATCTCTTTTATATCCTCTCTCATGTTACCGAAAAACATAATTCTTTAAATACTTTAAAATCTTGAAATGCTTATCGTTTCTTATCATTCTCTTGTTACAGGTCGAGTTGGATCTACGACACCTGATAAAGGTGTTTCGGATATGACGAGCATTCCAGACATCGACGAAAATGGAATAAATAGAAACTTAAAAGTTCGTTATGATCGAGATGAGATTTATGTAAGTTTAGAGGAAGTTAATTTTTTAAATCTTACGAAATATTTGCTGGGATAAACTTCGATTTTGAATGAAAACGAATTGCGAAAGCAAACTTTGCTTACATCTTCTTTTCAAAAATAAGATAATCATAAAAATCGATCGCCTCGCTGCCTTCATTCAGCGTGTTTTGCATTTTTATGACGGATTAACTGTTATTACAGCTCTTAAACAGCTGTCGAATATTTTTTGTTCCTAGTTTCTTGCTTTGTTTCATGATATCAATGAAAAGAGATAATTCATTTTGGATTAAACGCTACCGGATGAGTTCTTCATTCACACTTCACCCCAGTGCAATGTTTTACTAAACTTTAGGTCAATGTACTTGTGTGAAGGGTTAGAAAGGGAAAGAAATCTCGTGTAGTCTCATCCTCGGTAGAAAATATGTAAGCTAAGTTTTCAGTTAATAAAATATCATATAATGACAAATACAAACAAACGTTAAAGCGTTTAGGGGTTGAGGGATATGATGCTGATGGCATAGCATGAAACAAGGCATGAAATGACTGATCCTTTTGCAATACAGAATCAGATATTTTTATGACAATGACTTTATAGTTTCATTAGAATGTCTTAAAGCTTTTAACAAAGGAAGTTTTAATAAGAATCTTATGCTATTGAAAAAACTGTGAATCAATAGAAAGTGATGAATTACAAATTCGACAGACGTAGATAATTGAAATCATGAGAGTTTGAAAAGTCAAGATTATTGATATTTGTAGAATGAATGAAAAGTCATGGAGATCAAGATTTAACAGCTTNNNNAGCTTGTTTCGCTTTCAACCGTTCCTCTCTCAATTGAAATCATGAGAGTTTGAAAAGTCAAGATTATTGATATTTGTAGAATGAATGAAAAGTCATGGAGATCAAGATTTAACAGCTCGCTCGCTTGAATAAATTATCGATGATTTCGATACGGGAGTCAATCATGTAAACATAAAGCATTGAGCAAATAATAAAAAATAATAAAAGGAAGGAAATTCGTAAATGCAAAACAGACTTTTAAGAGTCGTTAAAAGAAGAAATTAAAAAAATGTTCGACGTTACTGAATACATGACACGACTTTAATTATCTGAAATATATTAAATATCGCACAATTCCTTTAAACTATTTTATCACTCAATAAGTTTGTTTCCTCTTTAAATTTCTTTGATTTGCCTCAAAACATTTTATTACGTCTTAAATGGTTTGATTGTTTGTTGTTTCAGTAACTTATGCTGTGGTGTTTGGAATTAAAGTTGTTTTGATTGCGCAAGAATTAATTTTAAATTCTTGTCTCACTTCAAACCGGTTTTTATATTTATTTATCTTTTGAACTTCTCTTCGATAGTTTATTACACGAATATGCGAATGCGACAAAACAATCACAAACATCTCCGATAAAAACTTTTTATTAAACACCATTATAATCATGATTCATCAACTGAAGGAAATATAAAAAAGTTTACCTGTCGCTCTCTCTCCCGACCGCTTCTCAACTCAATGTTTCGTGCTAAACTTTGTATTCGCGTGATTTATGTTCGGGAATTTCATTCTCATTCTTTTAGTTTTTCGTTTGTATGTTGACATAAACAAACAGTTTTGTTATCGTGAATTTCTATTTCATTATTTTGAAAGAAATGTTATTGTTGGTTTACTTAAACTGCTTCAAGACAGATTTGCTAAATGAAATTGTTGAATGTTGTTGATTGTTCAACATTTGATGCTTCTCACTGAGAACTTTTATTTTTATAAATTCGGGATGAGTCACTCGAATTTGTATTATTTTTGCAAATTGGTCAATTAACCAGAAGACAATCGTTTCGATATGATTCATTTTTAAGATTCACCTTTGAGATTCAAAAGTAATTTTAAGACTATCAAAGTTGATTGCATAATTAATGATGAATCATCGTAATGAGATGAACCTTTAGAATCAAAAAAGTCATTCATCGAAATCAACACAAAACTATTATTCACCATCAAGTTATGTACACTTCATAGTTACACATTAACCAAGCCATTTGTTGTCCTTCATAAATCACAAGAAACTTTTTATTACTTTTTTACTTTATCTCAACTGGATGTGGCAAACCTGAACTGCATTTTAATTTCTTCTATCACAGGAAAGAGCAATTTTTCAATTTAAAGAACTCTTTCTCTTCAAATTGCTTTGTTTTCTTGTCAAGACAGTATCGAGTTCAATGGCAAAGAAAAAAGTTTTTAAATTTATTGAAATTAATCACAAAAACAAAAGTGTCAACTTGCTGATCCGCAAACTCTCAGATTACAAAATGTCATCAGAAATATTCTTAATTATTGAATTTCATTACAGCTTTAATACGATGCGGATTATTTTTTGCTGAAAGTGTTGAAATTTGAAAGTTTTTGTTGATGAAAATTTTTAAAAGTCATCAAAACTATGAAAACAACGACAAACTTTGCGATGACATTTCATATTTTCATCCACGATATTTGATTTTCCTTGAAACTGAAATGTCGTGAAATTGAAAATTTCGTCTTTAATATTGGTTTTAAACATTTCAAAATGCTTCGTTTGATGTAATCGTGTGGGTAAAGCTTACAGACATGAAAGAATAACAAGTATCTGGATGTTTTGTGTAATAGAAAGAAGCGTCTCAATTCTAAATCTGTAGATGAGATTGATGTAAAAGGAAAATAAGAAAAGCCACAGAAAGAGAATTTTCTTGCTTTGTTATTTTTATTCCGATTCTTCAGACTTCTTAAAAATACGCTTGTAAATTTCTTCACAGCCTATCTGCCGCTTTTTACATGACAATATCATAACCGGGGAGTCGAATAGTGAATCTAATCATGATCTTTGCATATTTTGCCATTTTTGTAATTCCGACTCCATGCCGCTGAGGTTCTTTGATTTCTTATTGTTTCTTGGCAGTAATGAATCCCGGTCGATTTGATTTATGTTGCGTTGTTTGTGGTTCGTCGATGTTATTTTTAAGTTTCTAAAGTTTCTACTTTGTGCCTCCTCACGATTTCGTTCAAATTGAAGTAGTAGCGAACTTCTGAACTGTAAACTGACAAAGTTTTATTGGACGATTTTAACAATACGGCACAATTTTTATGAGTCCATTGCCATTTTTAAGTCTCTCTCATTTTGATTTTATCTTATTGCGTGTTAAAACTTCTAGATAAGAATATTTCAGCTTGATATACTTTTATCTCCCTTAGGCCATTGCTTTCATTGAAATGGAAAATTTGTCGCCTCGATTTTTATTACGAAAAGAGTTTCATCATTCGATTTCCGATATGTTTTAATTTTAGACATTTATTTTGAGATCAAAATGAAAAGTTGACATGTTTCAGCATTTTATTCAGTAAAGAGTGCAAAATATTTTCAAGAACGTGTTTCTGGTCATGATTTTGGTCGATACCTGAAAGGAAAAAGAAGAAAAAACCAAATTTAGTAAAACTTTTGATAACATCGACATAACTCGCTACTTAAAACCCGTTAAGTCTGTCTCTAAGTGGCTTTTCATTCAATCATAACTTCTTGTTTAGGTTACAAACACAAATTTGTATTATATTCAAATATGTTTAGGAATGTCAATGTCATTTCCCTAAAATATTTGCACATTAAAGAACTATTCGAAATGGAAAATATTTTTCCTGTTATTTTTCTTGTAAAATATTTTTCTCTTCTGTTTTATGACCATCCGATATTTAAATTACCTGTTTTGATACTTTAGTATCCATTTATTGTTCGTTTTGTGGGTGTGTTGGGAATTGCACATAGTGGAATGAAAAGAAAAACGGCACAAATCGATTTGTTTTGACTGAGGTAAAGTTTCATAAATAAATACCGAAGCGAGGGTTGTTGAATAACAGACGAGAGCCGTCATTATATGTAATTTGGCTTTCTTAGTTAATATTTAAATTTCCTGGGTGAAGTTTCATAATTACTCCATCCCATAAATCGGTTGTGGATGATTTTGATGATGGGACGATAAATTATGTGTTAATGTTGATAATTTAATTAACTATCTAAACACGAGCTGAATGAATATTTATTCTGATAATAATTTTTATATTTTCAGACTTACACTGGATCGATTCTTGTTGCTGTAAATCCCTACAAAGAAATTGACTGCTATGGACTGGGAAGTTTGAATCTTTTTTCCTTTATTTGCATTCTGTGGATGACGGAAGAGACTTTTCTTCAAGTTGTTTTTCTTCTGTTCCGACATTCCCTTTGTTGTAATCTTTCCATGTCAATAAAAGTTTTCGATTTTTTTTTGCAAGTAAAACTCTCCACCATCATTGCTGGGACTTTTCTTCTATCTTAAATATTTATTCAGCTTTTTATGTAAACATTTAATATCATGACCGTAGAGATTATTTCTTTCTTTCAATGTTGAAAATCTGGAAAAAAATAAAGAACTTGTGACGATCTCGACAGACAAGATACTTAAGGGAAACACATGTGAACAATCAACTAATTCGATAACTTCTTCGAACGAATCATAGATTAGACATCAAGGGGAGATGAGTGATCGCATGTTGAGATTCAGTCTATTATTTCAATACATATTAAAGTATTTTAACTTCCAATGCTTCTACATTATGATTTCTTACAGATGTTTTCATATCGTCTCATCTTTTAATATCCTTCTTTTCAATTATCCATAATTTCCAAGAGACATAGTGTCACAATATATAAAAATGTGTTAGTAAATATTTACAAAGAATTTCTCGATGGATTTCAGTTTCCCATCGAGATTCGCATGAAAGAAAAATGATAAAGCGTTGACTGTAATGAACTTTTATGAGTGTTTTTTAATTAAATTAGATTTAATTGTATTGGCGTTCACCCGTGCCATGCATGAATGTGAAAAAAATTCTATCGAGTTAATAGTAAGCGGCGAGTAGAACACTTGTGAAGTTTATTTAAAAACAAAGACCTGCAATTATGCTTCATGCTGCATTATTCAAATATTTTATAGAACGAAAGGCGTTAAATGCTTTTAGTTTTGTTTTTGCATTTAACAATGAAAAGGCTGGAAATTTATGTTGATGTGGGTGGTGTAAATGAATTGACATTTCCAGTGATTTCTTTTTGACTTGATTTCTTTCGTGACCTAATTCAATAGTTTCTGATAAAAGAAGAATAACGTTAGGTGGAAGCGAAATTTAATCAAGTGCCCTAAAGTAAAGTAAATTAATTCTGCTGCTGGTTCTAACTTCCGGAAATTTGATAAACTTTTAACGTTTGGGAGTTTCCAATTCAAATACACTTTAGATCAACAAAGCCAGATGGTTATTCGACCCTGTGCTGATCCAAGACAGAAACTTTGTTATAATCTAAACAAATCAATTTGATGAGCAGAATGAAAAGTTCTTAAATTTCATATCAAGATGGAATTAAAAGAGAGAAAAAGAGAGCGAACAAGCGGCTAAATGTCTGAGAGCTGAAATTTAAATTTAATTAATGGATATGTTGATGCGACGATAGGCGGCATTTTGTCTTTACTTCCCTTTCGGCAGTAAACAAAATTTGGATTTTAGCGAGAATATTGTAATTAGATTGAAGGATTCATGATTGCGCACATCAAGATTTAAATTGAATTTGGCTTTTGTGACTTCGTCTGTTTGGTGAACGAATCAAAAGTTACATAGAAAGGAAATTGCTTCGTCATAGAAGTTTTATAACATTTTATAAAGAGTAGACTTAGTTCAGGTTGAATATTTATGTATAAATAGTTAATAAACTCTTTTTTATTATGATATACAGCAGTTAACAGAATAAATAAGAAATACCGTCAAGAACAAAGAAGAATGTCTTCTTGAATAGCAATTACAAATATTCTCACCAAAATTTCATTCATTAGTATGAAGTTGTAGTTTGTTGACATTACAAACAAATGATTCTCAGCAGTTTTGTAACGCAACTTGATTATAATTAATTGATGGAAAGAGTCATGTTTATGTTAAGGTCGCGCCTTAAGTTTCAGTGAAATTTTTGATTTAAAATATGAACGTCATGACATCATGTTTAATAATAATCGTCATTTCATTTCTCATTATAATTGTCGGAAATTGTCGTTAATATTCGTTTTCAATCTTTCACGGCGCTTCAAAACCATATGCTACAAATTTATCAACAGAAATGAAGGGAAACTTAAACTTCATCAATCCAATTCATTTCGTTTATGGTGCAGTGGGAAAACATACAAGGAACTTGGTAAATTAATTAATTAAAAAACCTAAAATCAACGATTTTATAAAAATAAACATTAGAAAGTGATTCTAAATGAGTTCAATGAACTTTTGCTCTTAAAAAAGTTTTTAAAATTCTTCAGATTGTTTGGAAATTACGTCATGCAGGCATAAAACCTTTAATGGATGTCGAAAGTCGTTAAAACTATTCCACAAAGAAAGTCACGCTAATTAATAATTTTACGGGTACATTTAGGTTTTTAAAGTGTTCGAGTTTACAACACTTTAATCAGTTTTTTTTTCATCCTTTTATTGCGATAGCCTCAAGGGCTTTGACTTTGTTCTTTTCATGTTTTTGAATTCTTTCTTCGAATATGAAGTAAGAAGTCTCATTACTGCTGTTCCAAATCTATCGACCGTGAAATAATCTCATTTGATTCCGAAGAAGAACAGAGAATTTCCCATGTCACAGATATTGTATTAAGTTTGTTGGCGGTCTCCATTACTTTGTTCAAAAAGAAATGCTTAATGACGTTTAATGCTGCTTATGTTTTATACTCATGCAAGAATGAGTTCAAGGGTGGTGTGCGACCAAAAAAAGAGGCATTATGTTGATGAATGACCAGTCGTACGAATTATTTCTGTTTTCAAAACAACAACTGAACTTTGTTGCCGCTTTTACTTTTTGTTTATGTGAGGCAGTCAAAGCGTAAAAAAACAATTCAAAGAATGGTAATTTAAGAAGTTTAAATCAATCTTTCATATTTTTTTCTCACGATAGACATCAAGACAAAACAAATTTTGATTTAATTTGCTTATTTTATTTTCTTTGATTGCGACTCTCGATTTAGTTCTTTGCCTTGTCAAACTGTTTACATATTTTATTTATAGCGAGGAAATCAAACAAACGTAAGATTCTTGTAAATAAAATGTGAGAAAACATAAATTGCATTTCTTACTTCAATCAATATTCAAGCTCGTGTGAAAGCAAACGTCTTGTATCTTGAGCACAAGAAAAACATTTGAAAGTTGATGAAATGGAAAAAGGGAATTGTTGGTTCACTGCCAAACATAATTCTTTCTTAAAATAGAAAATTTCTCAAATGGAAAAAAAAGAAATTGGGGAGAATGAAAACTGTCTTATCGATCTCATGTTTAGGAATTCGGGAAGTTAAGTCGAAATCATTTTTAATGTTAAATTCTCACCTGAAATGGAAAACGGAGAAAAATCATAAAAAACTTTTTCTTTTCTCAGTCTTTTTCCATTTTCTTCTACAATGTTCTTTACTCTTCTATTCCATAAATGAATCAATAACCTCGACGAGGTGAACTTACATTTTCTTCCTTTTGCGTGAATGAAGAACATTTCATTCACATCTATCGACCCTTGTTACCCATACATAATAGAAAAAGAAAGAAAACTGTGTCAATTGTTTCGGATGCTCACGTTGGGGAAGTTTTCTGATAAAATCCTTCATTTTTTTATGAGGATTTATAATGTTTTGAAGTTGTATAATGTGATGATGTCTGATTTGATTGCCACATTGTAATAACTGCTTTTATGACGTGTCTAACAAGAGATTTTCAACGCCTTTTGTTTGCTATTAAAATTTGTTTCTTTTGTTCCTTATTCCCGCCATTTAAACTCATCATAAAACTAGGAAAATTGCAAATAAACGATAATAATAAAATATTTATAACATGCTGTGAATAAAGTGCAAACATCCTGGAATGATTCAAATTCTCTTCATTTTGGCAAGCATAAAGTATGTCGATGTTGGGCTTGTGTTTAATGTACAAGCATAATGGGTTTACGTGACCCAAAAAGAGTCTTTTATCATATCTTCTTTGACCCAAATATCTTTCAATGAAAACTTTGAATCAATGTCTGGCGCTTTTGTAAATTATTCATCAACTTTTGATGAGAATTTTTCAAGAAATTTTGCTTTGAAAATTACAAATAAGACAAGCTTGTTTCACAACCTGCATTCAATCTAATGAGATCTAGAGTGTTTCATCATTAACCTTTCCTTTGATGTACACATTCATTGATGAGTCGTAATGTTTACCATTTTCCTGGAAACATAAACAAGCATAAACAAAAACTCGTTCAATCAAATATTCCACATCGGCGATACAATCAAAGTTTTTATCCATATTTAGTTGTCATCATTTACGATAATTGCAGTTACGATATATTAATTCACGACACGCGTTCCATGACACGTTAAATTAGAAGCTTTTCCGTCAAATCACACAAGCAGCAGTCAGCACTTTATGCTCAATTGATATCTAACAAAAATATTCATTTCTTTTTTAGGATCACGTGTTCAAATATCACGGACAGAAACTTGGTTTGCTAGAACCTCACGTATTTGCACTCGCAGAAGCTGCTTATCGAAATATCATCGATAATGATGAGAATCAGGTAATCATCATCTGTTTTACAAATTTGGTTGTTTTATTAGTCAGTTATTTAAAAGTTTTATTTTTGCATTAATTACACATTCACTTACTTTTATGAAACATCAAAAACTATGAACAATTGCTAATAATTTAAATTCCATCCACAGTCATGTGTCATTTCCGGCGAGAGTGGTGCCGGCAAGACCGAAACAACCAAATTTGTTTTGCAATATCTTTGTTCGGTGACGTGTGATGTGTCGACATGGGTTCAACAGCAAATTCTTGAAGCAAATACGATTCTTGAAGCTTTTGGTGAGTGATAGAAGATTAACGTGACATGGCGAATAAATTGAATTAATTTTCTTTTATTTAATTTCTCTCTCGTTCATAAATGAATTTATAAACAGGCAACGCGAAGACAGTTCGGAACGACAACAGTTCGAGATTTGGGAAATTTATGCAAGTTTGTTTTGATGCTAAGCACACAATAAAAGGTTGCATCATTCAGGATTATCTTCTTGAGCAGTCACGAATTACATTTCAAAGTCCTGGTGAACGTAATTATCATGTTTTGTATCAATTGGTTGCTGAAGGGCAGCATAACAAGGAAGTTGGTGAAGCTTTGCATTTGCGCGAGCCAGTTTTTTATAAATACCTCAACGCATCGGGTAGCGTTCAAGTTGACATTGAAATGGAGGCTAGAAAGTTTGAAGGACTTCGGCTGGCATTTCAAGTTCTTCAGATTCCACAGCCAATGGTCGATGGAATCTTTCGAGTTCTTAGTGCAATTTTGTGGCTGGGAAATTTAACATTTGAAGATGTTGATGGAGAGAAATGTGAGCTTGCTGTTGAAGACAAGGAGATTATTGCAAAGGTTGCTGAACTTCTAGGCTTAGAACCAGACGATGTTCGTCAAGTCGCACTAAAACGTCAAATAAATGTTCGCGGTAATATCACGGAAATCCCGTTGAAAGTACAGGAAGCTCGCGAGAATCGTCACGCGATGGCAAAAGCACTTTACTCGAGAACATTTGCTTGGCTGATTAACCACATCAACACTTGTATTAATCCGGGACAGGATGCAACAAGATTTCTTGGTGTTCTTGATATTTTCGGTTTCGAGAATTTCAGCACAAACAGCTTTGAACAATGTGAGTTGAAGAAACTTTTTGAACCGGTTCAAAAATTTCTATGCCGATGTCATGCATCGACAAATTTTTTCGCTTATTTATCTGCTATTTTTATTCCTCAGTATGCATCAATTACACCAACGAGAAACTACATAAATTCTTCAACCATTATGTCTTTGCATTAGAGCAGGAAATTGTGAGTAGAATTCATCACCAATGAAATTGCAACTTCACATTCTTTGTTTATTTACAGTATAAACAAGAGGAAATAAAATTCTCACATATTCAGTTCACTGATAATACGCACTGTCTCGAGTTGATTGAGAAACCACCAAGATGTTTATTAAAATTACTAACTGAACAGTGTCACATGCCAAAAGGATCTGACGGTGCTTATCTCGTGAATTTAAACAGTGAATTCGAAGGACATTCAAGATATGAAAAAAGTGCTGATCGTCGACATTGGGAGACTGAATTCGGAATCAAACATTATGCTGGTCTTGTGACTTATCAAGTGAAAGGCTTTGTCGATAAAAATCGTGACGTTCAACAGGATGTTTTATTCGATTACATGACACGAAGCAAAAATGCTTTTGTTCAAGAGTTAAGTTCATATCAAGATTTATTGACAATTCAAAGTCAATCTCAGTCTTCCACGCAACTGTCAGCATTAGCAAATGGTATTGGAACTGTCCAAAGAAATACTTCAAAAGGGAAACTCACTGTTAGTGATACATTTAGGTATCAATTACAAGCACTCGTCGACGTTCTGCAAAGCACAAATCCATGGTATGTCAGATGTATCAAACCGAATTCTGAGAAACTCCCAAATGATTACGATAATCAAATGGTCCTCGATCAGCTTCGTTACTTAGGAATGCTTGACATCATTCGAATACGTCGTGAAGGCTATCAAATTCATCTTCCATTTGAAGATTTCGTTCACCGTTATCAATGTTTGACAAAACGAGTCAGTAAACTTCCGATTCAGGATCAGGTGTTGTATGTAATAAATGAATTGCACGTGCCGCAATCTGAATGGCAAATGGGAAAGACGAAAGTATTTCTAAGAAGTTGTGTTCATGAGCCACTTGAGGATGCTCGCAAACAAGTCATTCATGCAAAGGCAACAATAATTCAGAAACAATGGCGAAGTTACAGTGCAAAGAAAGGTTTTGGAAATGTTCGGAAAGCTGTTCTTAGGATTCAACATGCATACAAAGGTTGGAAACTTCGAATCGATTTCCTTCGTAAACGTCGCGCTGCAATTGTCATTCAAAGTCATTTGCGTGGCGTTTTTGCACGTGAAGTTGCAGCTGCTTTAAGAGAAATGCGACGAGTTGAAGAAGAAATGAGAAAACGTGAACGGTTAGAAGCTGAAAGGAAGCAAAGAGAAGTAGAACAAGCTGAAGCCGATCGTCAAGCATTGGAAGAATCTGAACGGTTAGTAGCTTTTTATCTTGTCATCTTTAAGAAAAAAAACACTTTAAAACACATTTAAACACAGGAAAAAAATAAGAAATTCGTTTGCATTCCCTATCAACTGATTGTATCTTTAGATAATTTTGAAAGTTGGAAGTTTAATGTTAGAATTTTACCTGCTTTCCTTTAATGATATTTCTGTTCCGGAAGGTGAATTTTACTTCCGGTACTGAAAGAAGTTTATTGATTTTAAGTGGGTAGAATTGAGGCAAACAAAACTTTAAATTTCAATCTTTTGACAACAAATCGATTTGAGACGATTCTCGTTAAAAATATTTGACGAGTCGTCTCAAGTTGCGTTTAGAATATTAGCATTGAAAATCCATTTAGTCAGTTTTGAGTTTATCAGTAGCATTGCATACAATTGTAGTTTGTTTAGAGGTCATTTCCTTTACTAGACCCTCAATCACCATCACCACTCACTTCAGCAGTCATTTTAGACACAAAGAAACATCAAAAATTAGTTTTAAGAGTTGCCAAATTGGAATTCCGGTCAAATCATTCCTTCATTCATTCATGTATTCATTTTAATGGATGAACGAACGAATAACGCGACCTTTAATTTCCGTTTTTATTATTTTCCAAAAACTTTTCTCTCCCATCACTTCGTTTCTCCATTCGATATTGAAATTATCCTGAAAATGAAAAATTACTCGAATTGAAATCGTAAAAAAAGACTTGCTAAGTTGAATCATCGTGGAAAGGTGAAATCGAGCAAACGACGGTAAGTTTGGTGATTTCTGTCGCTTAGAACCTCCTGTAGTTAGTCAGTAAAGTTAAACCTTTAAGGTGTGTTTGATTAATTTCTTTGATTTATTTGATTGAAGCACACTTTTAAATTTATTTGATTTTCCCTCTGCCACCTCACAATCTTCCTTATCACTTGGTTAAACATTTTTCTCATTTTTCATCTTGTCAAATAAATATTAACAGTTAACATGAAATTTTCCAGTGTCGCAAAACAGGAAATTCTTGCACTCACACAAATGGCTGAACAAATCAACTCAAAATTCTCAGCACAACAACAAAATCAAAGGCGACCAGAATCAAATGTTCCAAATGGTGTCAAAAGCAATAGCGAATCAGTTGATCTTGACAATTTGTTTGCCTTCTTAAGTGAAGTGACACCAAATGGTCAGAATTCAAATTCAAATGCCATCATCAGTGAGATTGGAGAGAAAATGAATCATTTGGTTGAAGATCTCGATGTGGAACTTGAGAGTGTGATTCAACAAGAAATTGAAGGTTTGACGAATGAAAGAAACTTAATAGTTAGTCAGCAACAGAATCAACATCAACAACAGCAACCACAACCACCTCAGCAACCACAACAAACTCCTCAAAGTTATCAACAACAACAGCAGCAGCAACAACAAGCACAAGGAAAACTTGGGTGAGTTAAATTTATATAAAACTTTTAAGAACAATTTTAATAATTTTAAAATCTCAATTAGCGTTCCGTCACTACCCGAGCCAACAATGCCACCACCACCAGTCCCAATGTTTAATGGAGACTCAAATGTATTACCACCACCACCTCCAGCGCCTGCTAAGAAGCCACCAACTGCACCGACTGAAGAACCAATTTATGAAGCAGTTATTCATCATCGTGAACCACCAAATCATCACATGATTCAACTTCCACCACTTCAACCAATTGTCACACAAAACATTCAAACATTACCGACGGTTAAAGAAGTTCCTGAACCACTTCCAACACCACCAATCGATAACCACATAAAACTGCGTCCAAAGAGTCCCGCAGTCCAAAATGTTCGCTCGTCAAGTCCAATGAATCGATTGTCAGGTGGACCTTTGTCACCATCATCACCAAAACATTCAAGACCAAGTTCACGTACATCATCGACCGGTGGTGGTCATCCATTTGAACGTGAACAAAGACGAAAGCATCGTGTGGAGAAGAAGCTTCAAGAAATGCAAAGTGATCACATTGATCGTGAAAAGGAACAACATCAACGTGAAGATATTTATCACGACATTCTGGAGTTTGCTGAGAATTTCTTTAATACTCATGAGAGATCGCCGGAAGGTACAATAATGGCGACATTGACAAGAAAGGGAAGGAAATCTGTCGACATGGTACCGAAGTATGAGATGATCACTTATTACCGTGGAAATTCCATTCCATCGTCGCACATCCACATGTATGATCCGGAAAATGTTACACTCGCTTGTAATATCTTCAAAGAGCTTTGCAAATATATTCGTGGTGAATTGAGTGCTGAGCGTGAACTTCAAGTTATTCAATATGTGATTGGACAAGGAATTGAACGTGAAGAGCTTCGCGATGAGATTTTTATTCAGGCGATGCGTCAAGCAACAAATAATCCATCAATTGAATGGACTGATCGAATTTGGTTGCTTTTATGTTTAGCGATTGTCGCATTTCAACCAAGTAAGTTGCTGTTTAAATATTTCGTGAGCTTTTTGAAGAGAAATCTCGAGCAATTGGATGGAAAATTGAGGCAATATGCGCAATGGTGTTTGGATAATTGTAAGAACACAAAAGTCAGTTGTCGCCAATTTCCACCATCATCAGTTGAAATAGCAGCAATGCGTCGTCTTGGAACAATTGTTTGTCGTTTCTTCTTTCTCGATGGTCGAACAAAAGCAATTGATGTTCACCCAACTGACGCAGCTTCAGACGCTGTAGCGAAGCTCGCTGAAAAATTGGGACTTTACAATATCGAAGGTTGGGCGATTTATCAGTCAAGACCCGATGGTGAAGAACATGTTAAAAGGCATGATTTTCTTTATGATATTATTGCTGCATGGGAAATAAAACAAACAAAGATTCAAGCAACGAATTCAACATTGAGAAAGAACGCAGCGACTTTAGGTTCGGGTGAGAATCGTTTTGTGTTTAAAAAGCGAATGTTTAAGACAACACGTGAACTTTCACAAGATCCTATCGAAGTTAATATGCTTTATGCACAAGCTGTTTATTCAGTTGTTAAATGCGATGATTTCCCTGTAAGTGAGAAAGTTGCTTTGCAGCTTGCTGGTTTACAAGCTCAGGTAGCACTTGGTGATCCATCGAATCAACCGAAGCCAGAATATTATTCAGAAGTTTCGAGTTATCTTCCTGAAAGGATTTCAAAAACACGCGAAGAACATTTTTGGATTCCAATTCTCGCACAAGCGCATCGCCAATATGGAGCTGGTCGAACAGAATTGACAGCCAAAGTTCTTTACTTGTCATGTGTCATGCAATATCCGCTTTACGGAACGACAATGTTTAACGTTTCTTATCGTGGTTATTGGAGTTACGGCAATAGTTTAATTCTTGGAGTTAACTGCGAAGGGATAGTTTTAATCAAACCTGACGACAAATTCATTCTTTACGAGTTCAGATATACTGAAATTGAATCGATTATGTTAGATCCATCGGATTCTTTCATCACAATCAACCTCCTTCGATCAACAACCGCACCACCCGAACAACAACGTTGTTATGTCTTCGAAACGAAACAAAAGCAAGAAATCGGTTCTTTGATTGTTTCATATTTTCCTCCACTTTCTAATTGGATTACGGAGAATGCTGAAAATCCTACGAGAAAAGCTAAGGGAATCACAAATGAAGATCGTGTTCGTTTGCATCACAATATTGTCGTATGTCGACGTCAGCTTGTTGATACCGAACTTCTTCGAAAGCCTCATGACTTGTCGGGTGGATTTTTGAGAAATACTTTGAGAAGATTATCAAAACATCGACTCGAGAAACTTCGTGCTGAACATGGAAATTCTGTGAGTGATCATGGTGAGAGTTATAAAGGCTTTCCACATGCGTATTGGGCATTTAGTCGTCAATCATTACCACAGTCACTTACGAAGCTTCCAGATCAAGAAGAACAAGCAATGTTGAATGTTTTTCAATCAATTTTAACATATTCCGGTCTTGGACAGAATGGAGAGGTCGTTCAAAGAGCTGAAGACGAGCACATCACATTAATTCAATCGATAATGGAACGATGTATGCGAAAAGAATCACTTTTGAATGAACTTTATCTTCAACTTGTTAAACAGACAACTGATCATCCCGATCCGAACTCTCGTGTTAACTTAAGACATTGGGCTTTGATGGCGCTTGCATGCTCCGTCATTCTTCCACCACAGAAGATTGTTAGAAAATATTTAATTGGACATTTAAAGCGGTGCGCTTCTGATTACATAAGTGAAGAAGGGAAATATGCGAGATTTGCTGAGAAATGTTTTATGAAGACGCAAGGAACACGGCGACGACAATGGCCACCATCACGTGAAGAAATCGTTTGTACAATCAATCGAAGACCGATTTATGCTCGCTTTCATTTTATGGATGGACAATATCATTCAGTTGAGTTTCACCCAAGTTCGACAGCGAGAGAAGTTATGGAGATTGTTAAGAAGAAGATTGGCTTGCAAGAGAATGCTCAGGGATATGCAATTTACGAAGTTCTTGGCGCAAGTGAAAGAAGCTTATTACCAGATGAAAAGGTTGCTGATGTTATGTCAAAATGGGAGAAATATCGAACAGCAGCAGCTCAAGCTGTTCAACAAAGCCAAACGCAATCAAGTTCACAACAAGCTCAGCAGCAACAAGTTTGTCGTCGTCAACATCATTTGTTCTTGTTTAAAAAACATTTATTCTGCGATCAATACATGAATCTTGATGATCCAGTTGAAAAAGAACTTTTATATCATCAAGTGTTACATGGATTACGAAGTGAACGTTTCCCGATTTCTGAAATGGAAGCGGTGAGTTTTTTAATTCTTTAAGAACTATAGATATTTATGATCGTGTGGTATGTTGTGTAACAACTAAACAGACGACAGGTGTTGCAGAACACAGTAACACGTTTGTTGTAAGTTGTGCACTGGATAACACATGACACATGTTACATGACACTGAAACATGTTGTATAAATGTTGGCTGATTAAAGAAACTAAAATAATTTTAATTTCTTTGAAAATTCTTTAGATAATGTTGACATCACTTCAAGGACAAGTTGAGCTTGGCGATTGTACGGAAGTCGTCAATGATTATCGTGTGATTGCTGGTCATTGTCTTCCACCACGTTTTGTTCCAAACATACCAAACGAAGGTGTCGCAATGCATCATCAAAGCTTACGCGGTATGACTCAAACTGAAGCTAAAAAATCGTTCCTAAATCTTATTCAAAGTTGGCCATTGCATAAAGCAACGATATTTGATGTGATGCAATCATTCACTTCTAATTGGCCGCGAATTTTATGGTTGGCTGTCGATCAGAAGGGTTTGCATTTGCTTGAACATCGATCACGAAACACTTTGTGCACGTATGATTATCATTCGATTCTATCGTTTTCACCCAATATGAATTGCTTGATGATCATTACGGGATCAGAAAAGAAACAATCGAAAGTCATCTTAACAACATCACAGGTAAGAGAAAAAAAATAATGGTAAATTCAAAAACTCTTCAACTTTTGTTTAATTTTCATAGGCTTTTCAAATTGCAAATCTTATTCGAGAGTACATGGAAGTAATAAAAGCTCAAATGTTAAAAGATGAAGCTTTAGCACCACCCGTTGCACCTCATGCGCCAGCCCATGGCTTAAATCAACCAACAACTCTGATCGGAGCTAACAATAACGTGGAATTAAGAAAAGGACAACGACCAACTTCAGGAATCCTTCGTCATTCAGGATTGGCAGCTCCTAGTTAATAAATACTTTTAAACAATTGATAAAAGAGTTAATCAGCTTCCAAATAATCAAAAGAAATATGTTAAATTTATTGTCTAGTCACATGGAAACTTCAACCTTACTACTTTCATTTTTTTACCTTTGAAAAGAAAGACATGCGACATCGGTTTTTAAAATTTTACTCCCAAATCTCCATTAAAAAATAAAAAATACCTACTCGTAGAATAATCGACATTTGTCTCTTTAAAATGATATTTTCAAACATTTCCTTACTGCTTTTAAGTATCTCAAATCTCAGACTTAATAATCTAAGAATGACAAATGAAAATTTACGTGGCAGTCATCAGTCATCACCGTCATTTCATTTAGAATATCGAAAAAGAAACTTTCAAATCAAACAAGATATCCTTCAATGACAAAGAATTGACGAAACTGTTGTTGATACTTAAACTGAAGTTAATCCTACACACATCTAGATAGTAAAATATTATTATTAATTCATGTACATCAAATTTCTTACAAATTCTATTTTAATTATTTTTTTTCTCTATCGAAAAGCAAAGCCAATGATTTTTATAAAAATATTTAAGTAAGTTAAATTACCTATTTGTCTTTCGGTTGAATCGAAATAATTTAGCTCTCTCTCGTGGTGATGATTTCTTTAATTATGTTTTATGGTTTTGATTTGGAAATAAAACGATAATCGAATCCTAATGTTTGTCTTTTAATTTCTTTACTTCCAGCTTGAACATTCAATTTTATTTATTTATTTAAAATAGAAAAGTGATGATTGAAAAGTGATAAGAATCATAGTTAAATTGTTCAATTTTTTATTTCGAGATGTCATTCGAAAAAGTTTACAAAATCACAGCAAACAATCATTCGTCACTTTCACATCCTGGTTTACAAGATTTTGCAGTACATGGATGTCCAGTGGCTGACTTTGATTTCTGTTGCTTTGGCTTGACTTCTGGGTCCGCATCTGAAGTGCATCCTGGACGGCATACTTTGACACTGCATGGATGAGATGATTTTTTGTCTTTTGCAATTGATTTGGTTGCATTTCCAGCCTCGTCTTTATTTGAATCTTGTGCAATGTCAGCTTCACTTTCATCGTCAGAATCACATCCAGGTGGACAACGTTGACGACTACATGGATGATCCACAGGCTTTGATTTCGTTTTTGATTTACTAACAGAAGGTTCATAAGCTTTGTCTTGACCAGCAGCTGATTTCGTTTTGCTTGAAGCTTCATCAGTTTTCTTTTGAACATCAGCATATTGTGCAGTATTTGCAGCTTCGGTTGGTGAAACATTTGCGTAATTTAAGTTACTTGGTGCATAAGCTTTGTCTGTCGGTTCTTGAACACCACCATACTGTGCAGTATTTCCAGCAGCAGCATTTGACATATTAGGAGCATAAGATTCATCTACCTGTTGCTGAATTCCAGCATATTGCGCATTGCCAGCATAATTCATTTGGTTTCCAGCATAACTTTCATCAGCTGGCCCTTTAGCTGCAGCATACTGACTTGGAGCATATGCTTGTTGAGCGCCAGTATAATTCATTTGGTTTCCGGCATAACTGTCGTCAGATGGCCCTTTAGCAGCTGCATACTGACTTGGAGCATGAGCTTGTTGAACACCAGCATAATTTGCAGCATAACTGTCGTCAGATGGACCTTTAGCTGCAGCATATTGACTTGGAGCGTGAGCTTGTTGAGTTCCAGCATAGTTTGCACTATAACTGTCGTCAGATGGACCTTGAGCTGCAGCATATTGACTTGGAGCATGAGCCTGTTGAACACCAGCGTAATTCGTTCTATTCCGAGCATTACCATATTGGGCACCAGCATAATTTGTTCTGCTTCGGGAATAAGGTTCTTCTGCACCTTCTTGAACATTACTAGCAAACTGAGTTCTGCCTCCAACATAAGCTTGTTGAACACCAGCATAATTTGATTGATTTGGAGCATAGGAATCGGTTGCGTAATCTTGGACACCAGCATAATGAGCTCTGATCGGTGCGTTAGCTTGTTGCACTCCGGCGTGGTTTGATTTACTTGGAGCTGCTGCGTATTGTGCGTTGTTTCCAGCATAAGCTTGCTGAACACCAGCGAAATTTGAATTGTTCAGAGAATAAGAATCGTCTGCTAGTTGTGGACCACCAGCATAGTGTGCTTTGCTAGGACCATAAGAAAGCTGAGCACCTGCAAAATTTGATTGACCAGCATAAGCTTGATCTACCGGCTCTTGATTTCTAGCTAATTGTGCTCTGCCTGGGGCATAACCAGAAGCATATTGTGCACTGTCAGCATCATAAGATTGTTGCGTCCCAGCATACTTTGATTTATTTGGAGCGTAACTTTCGTCTGTTTCTTCCAAGCCACGAGCATATCGTGCTCTATTTGCAGCATACTGTGCATTGCTTGGTGCGTAAGCTTTAGTTGCAGCATATTGTGCATTGCTTGGTGCATAAGATTGATCAGCAGCAGCGTACTGTGCATTGCTTGGTGCATAAGCTTCCTTAGCTTGATCTTGAACACCAGCGTAGTTTGCTGTATTTGGTGCATAAGATTGTTGAGCAGCAGCATACTGTGCACTATTTGGTGCATAAGCGGGAGCAGCAGCAGCAGTGCTTGGTGCATAAGATTGTTGAGTATCAGAATATTGTGCGTTGCTTGGCGCATAAGATTGATCAGCAGCAGCGTAGCTTGCTGTATTTGGTGCATAAGATTGTTGAACACCAGCATACTGAGCACTACTTGGAGCATAAGATGGAGCAGCAGCATATTGTGCGTTGCTTGGTGCGTGTGCTTCATCTACTTGTCCCTGAGCAGGAGCACGATTTGCCATGTTTCCGGCATAAGTTTCTTGAACACCATCATGATGTGCATTTCTTGAAGAATAAGCCTGGTCTGCTTGTTCTTGAACACCAGCATATTGTGCTTTATTTCCAGCATAAGCTTGTTGAGCACCAGCATACTGAGATTAGAAAAAAAAATTAAAACTTTAAAATTTATCGGTTTGCATCTTACTTGTAATTTATTCCCAGCAGCTTCATTTGTATTTGCCTGGGCACCAGCGTATTGTGCAGTGTTCCCAACGTTAGCTTGTTGAACATTGGCATGCTTAGATTTGAGAAAAAAAAAGATAAAAAATTGTATTTAAGACTTCTTTTGTTAATTTTTACTTGTGATTCCTTTTCTGCAGCTTCAGATGGCTTTTCCTGAACGTTAGTTTTCTGCGATTTGGGTTCAGATTCACTTAAACTTCTACTCAATTTGTCTTCAGCAGCAGATTTCCTGGATGGTGCAGCTTTTGACTTTGTCTTCAAATTTAAAGATGAACTTTCAGCTTCAGATGCACAACCAGGTTGGCATGCTTCAACGCTACAAGGATGATCAGATTTCATAGATTTTGATTTTACTGATTTACTTTTATCAGATTTGGTTGGATTGCTGAGAGATGTAACACCTTCAAGATCAGTTTCACATCCAGGTTCACAAGGTTCAACGGTACATGGATGGTTGACGGGCTTAGAAGCTTTTGAAATTCCTTTTGCAGTATTTATTGGCATCTTGAAAGTTTTATTTGATTATTGATATTTCTTTCTAATTTCACGAGAATTTGGAAACGTTAATTTATTTTTTAATTCTTTGTGATGTCGACAACTCAAAAGATAACAAGTAACTGGAAATTTTAATCAACTGCCACTCTATTTATAGAAAATTTTCGTGAAGTGAAAATATCAAAGATTACTGAAATCGTTGAACTTAATAAATTTCCAATTTGAACATCAATTTATTGGAAAAAAATTATTTTGAATCTTGTTATGCATTTCAAATGAAAACATATCTAAATATTTTTATTTGAAATAACATTTATGAGATCTGAATTGAATTTAGCATGCATATTGTTAACATCTTCTAAGTTACTTGAGCTTTAAAGCTTCCTTTGAAGTCCCCTCCCCTACTTTTTTGTACAAAAATATATTTGGAGGGGAAATGTACTAAATTTTCAATATAAGAAGCTTTCATGAAAAAGCTTTAAAGCTTTAACAAATTGTTCACAATATATTTGGTGCAGCAAGAAGAACAAAATCGACTCTTTTTAAAAAAGAAATAGTTTTGAAAGAGAATGAATGAAAATTTATTCAAATACATTAATCTACATATTTTTTAATTAAAATATGAATATATTCAGGTTACACATTATTAGCGATAAATGTTTTAAATATTCGATGTTCCATATTCGCTATACACATTTAGAAATCTAATTAAATAGCTTCATCAGACTCTGATTTAAAATGTATTGTTTTCTTGCGGATCGCCAATCTTCTTCCTACAATATCTAATTGGTAATTGAACAAAACCTGAAAAGGTAATAAAATTCAGTTGATTATTTGAATTTAATAAATTAAAACAAACAATTACTTACGTTCCTTATGAGTATTATTCCAAAGATCAAGTTGACCTTTTCCATTAAACCATTGGTACAGATCACGAGAGTTATTATAACCGCACATAATAACTACGCAATTCGGACAATCAGCACTTAAAGCTTTTGGAAGAAGCGATATGCTCATGACTACTGTTAATAAGATTAGAAAATAAATTCCAATACTCTAATATCTTTTGACAACAACTTACATGTTAAAATTGTAAAGATGCTGAGTTTCATCTTTCGTGTTCCTTTGGTAACTGATAAAAATAATCTAATTTGCAAATGAAATGCCTGAAAGACTTTTCTTTCAACGTGCAATGGTGAAACACGTTTTTCAATAAAAAAATATATTTTGAATCGTTTTTGGCGATGGTTTTAAAACTTCAATCGCAAATGCACAAAATTTTGTGAAAGTTAATGAGTTATCTCACAAGATATCTCAGTTTGTATAATTTTATCACATAACTTTTTGCAAGGTGTGTCTCAAACGGCGGCTGTTGTATGTTTGCCTTAACTTCATTTTGGTCCGATGCTTTTGACCAATAACATTTTCAAGAGTCATCTACATTGTTTGACGTCAGAGCTACCTAAATTCGCAATTAAACGAAGAGAAAAAATATTCAAAATAAAGAACAAAAAAGAGAAAAATCAATGTCAAGGTTTTGAAAAATTCATCTTTCGTCATTTCTTCACAGTTGATTCAACCCTTACTTATACAAACTTATGACGAATCTTCAATAAAGTCAATGTCAATAATGATTTCAACTGAAAAGATGTCATAAAAATATATTTCAAGATGATTTACCACATAGATGTTAAGTTAAATACTTATCTATTCAAGTCACTTACTCAATGTGGCATTGAAATATTAACGAAGGTTTAATGTTGATGTTAGATATGATAAAATAAAGTTTTAAGATTCTGTAAGCATCAACTTTAACTCATGTTGATATGAAATTAAAATTGAATTTTTTCGCCTATTTTCGGTTCAATGACACAAAAAAATTAATGAAAATGAAATATGAGAAGCTCATGAATCGTGATATGAAATTGTTTCCGTGAAATCTCATTATCACTCAAAACATCATTTAGATGACCCTAAAACTTCCTTCAGAACCTTAAACGATAAATTGAAGCTCTTTTTAAATTCTATACAAGTAATTAATTTTTTTTATTGATTAATTAAATCAATTTTTTTATTTCGTACAAATAAAAAAGCTTAGATAATTTTTTAGCAAAAAATCTAATTCGTTATTTATGAATCTTCTTTTTTCGATCGTTTTGACTTATCTGAACGTGTGCGATCTTTATCTTTATCATCAGTTTTACGATCTTTGGATCGCGATCTTCTTGATTTCTCTCTGCTTTTCGAGCGTTTGGTTTTCTCACGGCTTTTCGATCGGCGAGTTTCACGACGACTTGAAGATTCACGATATCGGCTTTCACGGACATCTCTTTCATATTTAGGACTAATTATAAGAAACGAAAACCAATTAAAATTTCATTAATAACTTTATAAAGAAGAATATCGATTTACCGGTCATCCCTTGTTCTTTCTCGTTCTTTTCGCTCTCGTTCTCGTGATAAAGATCTTTCCCGTGGTCTTTTTCTGCTTTCATCGTAATTTCTTGGTTCCCTTTCACGACGATCTCTGTTATCAACTGGCTTCATTGATTGTGGCATTGATGTAACTTGACTCATGAGTGGTGGAATCATTCCAGGTTGAACAGAGGGCATCATATTCAGTGGCATTCGTGGTGGCATTCCACCCATCATTGGAGGAGGTATGTTGAGGCTCATCATCGGTGGTGGCTGATTTATGCCTGTCAACTCCTTAATCTCACTTGGCTGCCATCCTGGATTTTGGTTATCCCATTGTGAATCTTGTGTGGGTTCGTAACCATAATTAAACGCATCTTGTTCCTCATGGTTGTAGAATTCCTCTGGAGGTACGTTGAATTGTAAGGGCATTGGAGGATTTTGTGGATTACCAACAACAGTTCTCGAGTATTCACGACGATCAGCTGTCATTACTTGAATGACATTTTCACGAGGAGCTTGAGGCCGGATTGGATTTTGTGTTGGTGCTCCAATTACATCAATTGTTCCACTTGGTTTCGGTCGAGGACCGCCAATACGTTTTAAACCAATATTGATACCCTGTCGTGGTTCATTGATACCCTGAGGATTCTGAGCTGCTGTTAAGCCAGCAAGGCCTATGCCACTTTCATGAATTCTCATTTTTTTCTGGCGCTCACAGTAAGCACGCCAAGTTTCTTCATTAAAACCATAATTAAAGTAGTCGGTGATGTCAGCACCAGGTTTTCTCCATGGCTTATCTTCAATATTTTCAATAGCAAATTCAAAAGCCGGTTGTCCATTGATTGATCCCACACTTTCAAATTCTTCAATATTAAATTTACTTCCAGGAAGTTTTTGTTTTTCTTGTGGTCCTTTGACATAAGATGTTCCACCAGATTTTATATCACCAATCACTACATTGATATCGTCATCGTCATCATCATCACTATCGTCCTCTCCATCTTGAGTTCTTTAAAGATGTTGAAAAACAAACATAAATAAAAATTTTCATATTCTGAATAAATTCTAATTTGAGAATCATTACCCAGTGCCAGCATGTTCTTCTCCATCCTTTGAATCTTCAGCAATGAGATGTTCATCATCACCAGCTTCCTGTTAAATATATAGGTACTTTTAAAAAAAATTCTAAATTTAAATAAATTTTTCATTTTACCTCAAAGTTATGTTCATCGAATGTCTCAAAAGCTTTGCTGTTGTCTAGCGTTCCATTCTTTGTAGGCATTTCAATTTCACTTTCATCATGATCTTTGGTTTCTGATTGAGCTGCTTCATCACCACCAGCTCCATAAAGCCAGCTATCGTCGTTATCATCAGCCATTATTAATATTTTATTTTTGTTGTCAACTCTTTCGACTATTTTCTCGATATGAAGAGTAAATTGTAACACGTTTTTGCAGCAAGGTGGAAAGGCAACCATTTAAACCTTGGAAAAATTCAAGTAACATATCTTTGGTACATTCGCACGGATTTGACCTTCCATGCAAAACACACAGGTTTGTCCATGTTTATTATGTCTAATTTCCGACGGTTCGCGCGGATTTGACCTTCCATACAAAACACACAGAAAAAATTTCTCCGTGTTCACAAATTTCTCCGTGTTCACAGGAGAAAGCCAGTTGATATCAGCTGAAGAAATTGCTGAGAAGTTGAAGGCAGCAGAAGAGAGACGTTTGGTGAGTTCATTTGAATGATTTAAAGTAATATTTTTAATTAATTTATATTTTTAAAAGAACTTGGAAGCCAGGAAAATCGCCGATTGGACAGCAAAAATGGCGAAGATTGAAGAGGCTTCAAGGAAGAAAGACGAACTCAATGCCGAATTCATGACTCAAACGAAAGAAGCTCTTATTAACAAAATGGAAAATACCGTAGAAAAACGTGAAGCTATCATTTCGGATTTGAAAGGGAAACTAAAGGTAATTTTCTTATTTATGTAATTGTGATCAGATTTGGTTGATAGAAAGAGAAACAATTTGGAATAAAAATCTTAATTTCACCTTTTCGTTGTCGTTGGTTTCCCTTTTACAGGTTCATGCTGATGAAATCAAGCGAAATAAGGAAATGTTGGAGAAACAGAAAGTCGAAGAACGTAATGCTCTGAATGACAAATTAAAAACCGCTGCCAATCTACGTGATGAGAATATCAAGCGAATCTTGGATCGTCTACGAGAACATGTAAGTTTTCCACCGTCAGCTTGTTCATTGTTGTCGTTCAATTTCCTTCTTGATGTCTCATTTCGATGTTTATTTTAAATTTCATAAACTTTTTAACAACTTTTTGTTCACTTACAGTGAACAATGAAAGGAATTATTTGAATATTTTGTCACGTACAAATATTCTCAAAATGTTGCAAATCGATTAAGATAAAAAAGTGTTTGTATAAATAATTCCGTTCATTATTTAATTTTCTTACATCCATCCATGTACACACAATTCATTCAATTAAATATACACGAACAATGTTCATGACTCATCCATTAGAATTCGGTCAAAGTATCGGAAGTTCGTCATACAGCTGACACGAGAGAAGCACGCGAAGAGCAAACGCGCATTATCGAAAATAAGCTTTTCATTGCGGAACGAAATCGTACGAAAGAGTTGGAAAAGCGTTTGGAAAACATTCGAAAGCATGTAGGTTGAGTATTTGATGTTTCGTTACATTATACAGTATGACACTATCAAGAACCGTCACTTTGGTTTCAAGTTTCATTCTCACGGCTTTTTCATTGGCACAAACAAAAAAAAGGAAACAAAAACTTGCTTTATTACCCACTTAACAATCATGCGATAGCTAAAATAAGACTCAATCATTTTCAACCTTTTGTTGTTCGTTTCAGGAACGTCGTGCTATGATTGTTCGTCAGAACAAAGCAGCGATATCAAATCAACAAGTGAATGATAGCGAATGCCCAGTTTCAGCTTAGTTAACTTCACAGCTGAACGTGACATTAGATTTTTAGTTGCGTCACGATTTAAGTGCTTTATTGTTTCCTCAAGCAAGCTTTCAGAAGAAAACTTTTCATTGAATTAAACTTGAGCTTTTGTGAAGATGTTTGGTAGAAGGAAGCAGGAATATTTTAACAAAACTTGCCTTGTGTTGTTGGCAGCATAAAAAGCTTTACATAAATTTCTAATTACCTACACATCACTTCATGATTTCTTTCTCGATGTTGTTTTTGTCAAACGTTTTCTCTAGAGAATCAAAATCTTCTTTATGAAGCTCAATAACAAAATATTCAGGGAATTGTCATTTGATGATGATAAGCATAATGATTTGTTAACTGTGCAACAATCAAAATGTGGGTGGTGGGAAGAGAAAACTACAATCGAGGAGAACTAATTCAATCGTATAAAAACGTTAATTGTTGCCCAATTCAAAACTCATCAATCAACATATAATCAAATATCTATTAACAGCTGAGTCTTCAAACATTTATAAACTAAACTTTTTCTGTAATATTTCATATCTTTAAATTAACAAAAGTGATTCATAAGGAAACGAAAGAAAACGGTCGAAGTTGAAGAACTTTAATAAAAAGTTCAATAACATTTCATTTACTATTCAAATATTGTCGTAGACGATTTCAATGTTCACATCAATTTTCCTCGACTTGACACTTTAATGACTTCAACTTTCTTAATAGAAAAAAATATCTTTTGCCNTTTTTTGTTGTCAACTCTTTCGACTATTTTCTCGATATGAAGAGTAAATTGTAACACGTTTTTGCAGCAAGGTGGAAAGGCAACCATTTAAACCTTGGAAAAATTCAAGTAACATATCTTTGGTACATTCGCACATATAATTTCTCCGTTCACAAATTTCTCCGTGTTCACATTTCGATCGTAGCGCCGCCACGGAAACTTGTTTTCCTCACTCCCTGATAAAAAAATCACTCCCTGGTATTGCGATGGGGTATTCAGGTTATTTTTTTCGAAATAATTCTAAACGTTACTCTATGCGGGAAATTCCGTTAAAATAAATATTTTACATCTCAAAGCAATGAAACTATCTGGGAGTAAAGATAACACGTTCGATGGCAGTAATTATTAACACATTTTATGGGAATTCCTTTTCAAGTTCTTTAATGAAAATTTCAAAAATATTACAACTTCATATTGACATTATTTTTTATGAGTCACGAAATCAAGTCCACTTCATGCATTGTCATCCTAGAAAGCAATAATTAAAAATCGTTTTTTATTCATGGGCATATTCTTTGTTTAGTTTTAAACTTAATGGATTTGTTCCTTACAACTTATTTGGTAAATTTAAGGAAAAGATTTTTTGATAAGTTAAAGTTAGAAAGTAGATAATTTACATCTAGACATATGATTTGTCGATAATCTCTTATGATAATGATCATACCCTTGTACGCCCGTCATCTAATTTATCAACTACTCTTGAAATAAATGGGAGATTGAGAAAACTTCCGATGACTGGAACCCTTCTTAGGAATTGTACTGTAGCAGGTATGAATCCACCAAACAAGAGAACGAAACCATATGTTTCTATAATCATTCCTATCAATGGGTATCCAATGAGGACTACAGAGATCCCAGCAAAAAATGCAATGGTTGCTTTAACCTTATGTTTTTGAAAAAAGAAACTGTACGTTCTTTGGAATCCTATAATGCATGTTAAACCACAGATAAACAAGATCTAAAAAAGGTAAAGTTTATCATGGAAAATGTTGAATAAATAGCAAAAAGTCCACTTACATTTCCAATTGCAAGAAGTCCTCTATCAAAAATAAGCAGAACTCCTAAAAATAAAAAAGCTACGCCAAATCCAGCTAAACCGACCCCGATTTCTAAAATTTCACAATAATAATTAAACAATCTATATTGATTTATTAAGTAACAATTTAAATACTTTGTGTGTCTGTGATTTCAAACATTTTTGTAATATTTATCTTTTATTTCCAGGTCATCACTAAATCTTAGAAGTATACTCATATTGAAGAATTGTAACACTTTTTTGCAGAAAGGTACGGAAAAATATTTTGCAACCCTTGCAAAACAGGTTTGATCCAAGGGAATGAGGAATTTATAATCAGGTAATAAAAGAGAAAACATTATTTTTTAACTGATTAATAAAATTAAATAACAAATTTTGACATTGGATGCAATCATATTTGCTAGAGATAATACATAAACAGTGTGAAAACTTGTAAGGAGTAAAGAAAAATATGCCGCAAGACGAGGAAAATTCAACCCAAGAAATTCCAGAAGGATGGGAGAAACGAACTTCGAGAAGCACAGGGATGGTTTACTATCTAAACAGTTATACAAAAGGTAAGCAGATTGTAGCATGAAATGAGGAGTTTAATTTTTTATTTCCTTCCTGCTTCTTCTTCATAGAATCGCAATGGGAATTGCCAACGAAGAAAGCTGAACCTCGAGCTGATCAATCGTCAGAATTACAAGAAGTTCAAGCGTCTCATCTGCTTGTAAAGCATGAAAAATCGAGACGACCATCAAGCTGGCGAGAAGAAAACATCACTCGAACCAAAGAAGAAGCGCGAAAAATTCTCGAAGGTTACATCGAAAAGATTGAGAATGGAGCTGACTTTGCTGAGCTTGCATCCAAATACTCTGACTGCTCATCTTATAAAAAAGGTGGCGATTTGGGAAAATTTAAACGTGGAATGATGCAAAAGCCATTTGAAGATGCTGCTTTCGCTCTAAAGGTCAATGAGATGAGTGGAATCGTTGACTCTGACAGTGGTCTTCACATCATTTTGAGAACTAAATAATTTCCTTTCATTTGCTTTATTTCATTATTATAATTATTATTATTATTATAATTCCTTTTTTATAAATTCTTCAACAAAACTTTCGCCCCAGAATGTTTTTGCTTTTGTAAATTTGACTTATGCTGAGCCAACATCGCCATTAACTTTGATTTAACTTCATCTTCAGCATGTTCAAGAACTTCCACCAATACAAAGCATGCACGATTAATTAAAATCCACGATTCAATCTGAAAGAAACAAAGCAGAAGAATTTTTAAAATAAAATCATTTTGTTCTTTTTTAATTAAAGAAAACAAAACTTTGACTTACAAGTTCGTCTGTTAAATGATCAACAAATTGTTCAGCGAAATTTGGAAGCTTTGCAATCTTTTTGATGGCAATATGAAGTCCTGGATCTTCAATCCCTCTAATCATAATCTGATCTTTCTTATCGATGACAATCTCTAATGGATTCTTCCTCTTCTTTTTAATCTTTCCAGTATCATTGACTTCAGCTTTTTCAGTTGAAGTTGGCGTATCTTGTGTTGTACTTTCATGCTCATTCACTTTCCAATTTTCATCACAAATAACTTTACAAAGTGTTTCAAAAGTTTCTGATAAATCAAAATTGTTTGCAGCTGACAAACTTTGAAGTGCAGCGAAAGTCACACGAGCTGTGTGTCCACCTTTCAACCAGAAATTGGGATTTTTCTTAATCGCATCTGTAAGTTCCTTTGAAATTCCTTCGATCAACTCTTTTCGACGAATTTCTAAATCCTTCTTTTGTGTTCCAAATTTCAAATCAGACTCGAGTTCGACGAGTGTCGTTGGATGAAAGAATTCTTTTGTCGGTGCAACAATGAACATAATTACTCGCTTTCCATACTCACTATTGACGATTGTTTCAATATCAGCGATAATTTGTGCAATTATTGTCTTCTTAATGTTCAAAGTATCGTCAGTTGAGTTCAAAATTTCAAGAACTAACAAATGTCCATGTTCATGAATACATAATTTTGTTACATGTTCTTTAATTGCTTTTAACATTGCTCGACGTTCTTTTGCAACTGAATAAAGATAACACAAAACAGCAGCTCTTGATCCTTGTTTTGTTGATGCGATTACAGCAAGATGTGGAATAAATGCGGTGATCATTTCGTTTCTTTCTTGTTCTCCAACTTCCTCAATGAATTCTAAAAGAACGGAATGAACTAAACTATTGTCTACGAGATTCTTCGATGCAATTTTCAGTAAGTTCATTTTTGTGCTGTTTATTATTCCATTTCGAAGCATTTCACTGCCAGACCAAGTATCTTTCAACGTCTTCACGTCCCGACTCTTATCGTTTTTATAAAGATCTGAATACATTTCTTGTTTCATGAAGAGTTTCTGCTCTGGTGTCGCATGATTGAGGAAAATGGCATCGATGAGTGGACTGGAAAAATTGTGACAAGTCAACTTCACAATATTCTTCAAAAGTCCATTGACAGCTTTTTCACGAACATCTTTTCCACAGTAAATCATGAGACGACTGACACAGAATTTACCATATTTAGAAAGTGCAACTTCAGTGATATGAGGAATCATTTTCTCAGCAATTTCAGCCTTTATAGATTGAGGAGCTTTCTTCAAAAGCATTTGAATGATTCGAGCTCTGTCTGGACTTAAACTCAGTTTACTATAGTCTGCATTCTTCATCAAATCATGCAACTGTTGACATAATTGCTCTTTGTTAGACTTTGTGCTTTTCCTAAAAATAAGTTGTTCAATCACCTAACATATAATTTATGAAATTTAAGCAGCTATCATCTTACATTTTCAATTCTTCGTAAATTTTTTTAGCTTTCAAATCAATTTCGTAAAGATCCTTCGTTTTGTTCTTCTTTCGTTGTACTTTCAAATCTTTTTTCTTTTGTTTCAGCTCATTCCAATTAGTTTTTTCAGTAGTTGCTGGTTGCTGAGGCTTCTTTGCGAATTTATTATTACCTTTTCCGAATTTTTTATTCTCAAATTTTTGTTTTCCAGAAAATTTGTCAAATTTTGGTTTACTGTTCGTTTTTGTTTTGTCTAACGATTCTGAAGGCTTTAGCTTCTTAACATTTGACTTTTTGTCAGTATTGTCAATTGAGCGTTTACCGTTTTTCTTTAATTCAGTCATATTTATTTTATGTTTAGATATATTTAACCGCGTGTAAACTTTACAAGATCAAATCCACGCAAGTCGACATCGAGAAATTATCCTTTCCGCAAATTCACGGAACACTCATATGAGTAATGTTTTGGGTTCGTGTCTTGGCTAACAAAGTCTACTTCGGTCAACTGACGAATAAATAAAATTAAACATCTAAATAGCATCTCAATAAAACTATCATCTTTTGAGTTGTCTAAATTAAAGACAAACTAATTAGTTTTGATTGCATATAGGAGCCAGTAAAGTAAATTCAGTATAATGCCGAAGGTGGCGAAAAAAAAGCATGTTTCGATGAAAAAGAAATCGGCATGGCGTAAGAATACGGATATAACAGATGTTGAAAACTTTCTAGAAGACCAACGCTTACAAGAGAGAATTGGAGGGTAAATAAACTTAACGCTGAAATCAATTTCAATTCTGAATTTAATATAATTTTTTAACCTCTTCCAGGGATTTAACTTTTGCTCCAAATGAAGAACTTTTCCAAATCGAAAAGAAACCTTTGAAAGCTTCTGTGTCACTCCGAGCAGAAAGGAAATTACTAGCTCAAAAGCCTGCAAAATGCTTTATTTCATTAGAAAACAATTCAAAAGTGGAAGATCCAATCAAGAAAAGGAATCGAGTGAAAACACCAGAGGAACGTAGACATCCTCTAACAAAAGCTAAAATTGAAAGAAATAAGAAACTCGGGATAATTCCTCAAAGGCAACTTGAGTCTTTGAAAGATCGTATTACAGCCGGAAAGCGAATTTTAAGAACAAAAATTAAGAAAATTGAATTTGAGAAAGATATTTGGGCTGATGATGTTGATAAAAAAATTCCTGAACTTGAAAGTCAATGGGTGAGCAAAAGTTTGAAGCAGTATCATCTTAAAAATCTCGGAGATGATGTAACTAAAGTGCCACAAATAACACATGAAAAAAGGAGTCAAATAAAGGCTATCGAGAATCCCATTGGCGGTGCAAGTTACAATCCAAATCCACAAGACTTCGAGGAACTTATCAACAAAGCTGTTGAAAAGGAAGAGAAGATCATTAAAACTGAGAAAAAATTAAGTGAGGCGTTGAAGCCTTTATATAAAATGATTACGAAAGGAGAAGCTAAACGTCTTAAAAGAGAAGAGTTAACTCAAGGATTTCCAATTAATGGTCAAAATGATGTCGATAGTGAATTGAGTGAGAGTGAATTTAAAACTTTAAATCCACCGGTGAGAAACAAAAAGAAAGATTTGAAGCAGAGAAGGAAACAAAAAGAATCAAGACTTCGTAAAGCAAGATTGGAAATTGAGAAACAAGAACTTAAGAAGATTAAAGATTTGGGAACGTAAGTTGAATGCTTTATTACTCAAACCTTCTCCTTAAACTTTTTTTTATATCTTTTCAGATTAAAAATGTTTAAAAAACAACTAAATAAACAGGATGAGAAAGTCGAAGAAAAGAAAAAGCATCGAATTGAAAAGAAAATTAAACAGAAGTGCGAGCCACGTCGAATAGCTAGAAAAAGGTTCGAAGGTGATGAACTTCCCGTTCCTGATTCGATGGAAAGTCTCGGAACTTTAAGGAAAATAAAGCCAGTAGAAAATATTCTCGTTGATCGTTTCAAGAGCCTTCAAAAGCGCAACATTCTTGCTCCAAACATTAAACGTAGACCGAGAAATCGCCGCCTTACAACTGTCAAGAAGAAGTCACATAAACAAGAAGACCAACCACCTCCAAACATGAAGAAGAAAGGAAGCAAAAGTTTTAAAATTCATAAATAATCTTGTGGCTTAATTAAATTTATTAAAATAAAGAATTAAATTTCATTAAAAACTTTTCATTTGATCAATTTCTCTTCAACAGAAAATCATTTCAAAACAGATTTTTCTTTACAAACGATTTCAATTCTTTGGAGGCGCACCACCCAACTGTGCATGTAAGATTGGAACGTAATCATCAAATTGTGCAAGATAAAATGTTCCTCCAATCAATTGCAAGTTATAATCAGCGATCAACTTTCGTGTGTTGCTTGATAATCTTCCTTCTCGTGATGTATTCGGTACAGTTGGCAAATCAAATTCTTGCTTTCCATTCTTTTGCTTGAAAACGAGGAAAGTATAACGATGAAGACCAGTGTCCTTCGGTGCACCAGAACCGATATATGCCCACTTGACTTCTCCCTTACTGACGTCCCTTCCCGGAATGTTGACAACTAACCAATGTCGAGCTTCTCGAAATTTCGGCTCAGCTCGGCTTGGAGCATCGGGATCTGAAAAAAAATTAAAACAAAGCATGGAATTTCATTGTTACTTTCAAGTTTTAATTTTTACCTGTAAATAACAAAGTATAGAAAGCTCCTTCTTCAGCTTCCCACTCAACTTCTGGTTGGTCTTTCACCTGTGTCGGTGTTAATTCAACTCCTTCAACAGAAACTCCTGATGGATATGAGACTTTAACAAGTTGCTTGGGAGCTTCATCAACAACATCAGGAACAATTTGTTCTGAAATGAATTTATCGAGAATCGACATAATAATTAACAATACCTATTTTAAGTTCTCAAAAGAAGAAACAAAACTTGTAATAATAATTCCCCTTGTTTGTTTCAATGATGGAATAAAATTTAGTCGTGTTCATATCTAAGATTTTCATTGTAAGTAGTAGAAATTAAAAGAAATTGTGTTTATGAGATAAAATTAATATTATTCCAGTTGTAATGATATTAACTCGAGCACCTTAAATTTAACGGAATAACGCTAGTTAAACATTTAAATGACACAAAATTTCATCTCATGCGTCAACTTATTCATCATCTTCAACCAAAACTTTTGCGTTTTTAACAACAAATATTATTCTTTATTTATTATTTACTTGTGGGTGGTGGCCCACCCATCTGAGCATGCAGAACAGGAACATAATCGTCATATTGAGCGATATAAAAGCTGCTTGAAATTAACATTAAATTATAGTCTGAAATCAGTTGTCGAGTGCAGGTTGATAATCTTCCATTTCTTGATCGATTCGATACAAATGGAAGTTTAAATTCTTGTTTTCCATCAAGTTGTTTGAATAAAAGAAAAATGTAACGATGCGTGCCTGAACCTTTTGGTGGCCCAGAACCAACATATTGGATTTTTGTATCACCAAGTTTCAAATTGCTTCCTGGTATGTTGACTACTAACCAATGACGGACTTCGCGAAATGGTTCTGGAGCATCAGGATCTGTTCAAGAAACTTTTTGTTATTGAAAATAATATTAAAAATCATAAAATTATTCAACCTGTCATTAATAAAGTATAGAATTCATTTTCATTTCCTTCCCATTCAACATTTGGTTCATCTCTCACTTGAGTTGGTGTTAATTCAATTCCTTCAACATTAACACCATTCGGGTATGATATCTTCAAAACACTTAAGAATTCATTATCGAATATATCAGAAAGAAAATTTCCAGGAAACGCCATAATGTTGATTTATGTTGAGTCACATAGGAACTGATTAAAATATCGATGGAAATAAATACATTGATAATAATGTTGATTAATGTTGCTTAAGTATGTATTTCATTTTACTTTGATTGTGTCATTTACTTATTTGAAATATTTCCAACAGTTTATTTTTATTTGTGAAATATTTCCTTAAATAAATGTTGACTGAAATTTATGCTACTAATACATGAAATTGTAATTTTCCTTATTATATGATCTCAAGAAATTTTGAGTGGAAATTTCTATGATCTAGAAATTTGTTTGTTAATAAAATTAAACAAAAGTATTTATTACAAAGCTGTTTGTCTTTTATTCTTCTACATATCTAAATATTTTCGAAAATAAATTGGAAATTTTAATGAGATTCAAATGATTTAATTAACTTTCCGATTGCTAACGAAATTCAAGGAAAATATTGAATTTGTGGTCAGTTTAATCGTGGACTTCGGTGCATAAAGTTGGAATTAAAGGACAAGTCTAGAGAGTGGAGTGACATAGTTCGGGTTAACACCATCGAGGAATAAAAAAGAAAATAAAAAAATGAAGAAAGTAACTTGTGAAGGAAGCGCAGTTAAAATTGCAAAGAAAACGAGTCAGAAAAATGCACATGGAAAAAGTTCTTCATCTAAGAATGTTTCAAGTAGTCTAATAAGATGAAAGATTAGAATTTCATATTAATTTGATTGTATTTTTGAGGTGACATTATTGATCATGAATATCAAAGGTCGTTGGAAGAGCGAGAAAAATTTTGGAGTGAAATTGGCTCACAAATGGTTTCATGGGATAAAATGTACGATCAAGTGATTGATGATAGTAGTTCACCATTTACTAAGTGGTTTTGCGGAGGATATCTTAATGCTTGTTTCAATTGTGTTGATCGACATATTGCTAATGGACATGGAAATAAAGTGGCATTAATTCATGATAGTCCAATAACGAACACCGTTAGAAAAGTGACTTATCAAGAACTTCTCGATAGTGTAAGTTAAAATGAAAAATAATTAAGGAATTGTTTCATTGTGGTAACTTTTTTTTTTTTTGTTTTGTTTATTTGTTCGTTTAAGACGACACGACTAGCTGGTGGACTTAGAAAACTTGGTGTGAAGAAAGGTGATCGTGTTGTGATTTATATGCCATTGATCCCCGAAGCAATTATGTCGATGTTAGCAACTGTTAGACTTGGCGCAATTCATTCTGTTGTTTTTGGAGGTATGTGAAGTATTCACATGTATGTACGAAACTTTGAAATTATAAATTCTGTGATACAAAGGTCAGGTTTCTGAATTATCATAAAGTGTAAATTAAAATACCTAATACACGATATTGTGACAGTTTTAAGAAGCTTTACTGACGAAATTAGAACACGTGCATTTGATATGTGCAGAAATGTTTAAAGAAAGTTTTTGTTTTTTCCTTTCTTCATTCAACACAATGACATTTGATTTTTATTATGTTGTTTATTAAAAATAGGATTTGCTTCAAGTGAACTTAGTACAAGAATCGATCATGCGGAGCCCAAAGTGATAATTTCAGCTAATTGCGGTGTTGAACCAAACAAAGTCATCCCGTATTTGGATATTTTGCATGAAGTAGTTATAATTTAATCACACTAATTTGTATTTAATTAATCAATTTAAATGAAATATTTTAAGGCAATAGACATGTGCAATTGGAAGCCGGATAAATGTATAATTTTCCAACGGAAAAACGTTCTCATTTCTGAGTTAAATCCACTTCTTGATTTATGTTGGGAAGAAGCATTGGCTGAACCAGTTGAATGTGTTCCAGTGGAAGCAAACGATCCTTTGTATATTCTTTATACTTCAGGAACAACTGACAAACCAAAAGGAATTCAACGTCCCACTGGAGGATATTTAGTGACACTCATGTATACGATGAATACGATTTATGGTGTTCGACCTGACGACGTATGGTGGTCAGCAAGTGATTTGGGTTGGGTTGTTGGTCATAGTTACATAGCATATGGACCTTTACTTTACGGTAAGTGTGTAAATTACAATTTAATGTGATATAAAATAATTCATGTAGGCTGCACAAGTGTAATGTATGAAGGAAAGCCTGATAGAACACCAGATCCCGGTCAATACTTTCGTATCATTGAACAACATCAAGTGTCGGCTATATTTAGTGTACCAACGGCTTTTCGTGTTATCAGAAAAGTTGATCCACATATAAGATATGGAAGGAAACATTCATTGAACTCTTTACGGGCGATTTTCATTGCTGGTGAACATTGCGATTTGGAAACGAAGCATTGGATTGAAAATACTTTCCGAGTTCCGGTGTTGAATCATTGGTGGCAAACTGAGACAGGATCAGCTATAACAGCGACATGTCTAGGTAATGCACAGAATATTTACGTTCCAAACTTCACAACTGGTCTCCCTTTCATCGGGTATGACATCAAAATTATGGATTCAGAAGGAAACAGTATGAAGGAACTTGGGCCAAATCAGCTTGGTCGAATTGTCGTTAAGCTTCCGCTTCCACCTGGCAATATGTCAACACTTTATAAGAACGATGATTTATTTGAGAAAGTTTATTTCCAACGATTTCCGGGATATTACGATACAATGGATGCTGGTTATAAAGATGAAAATGGTTATATCTACGTCACTGCCAGAGACGACGACGTAACTATTCTCAACTGGTTGGTATTTATTTGAGAAAGCGTAAAAAAAAACATAATTTTTTATAGGTAATCAATGTGGCTGGCCACAGGTTATCGACATCGAGTCTTGAAGATGCAATTTTACGTCATCCAGACGTCGCAGATGCCGCTGTATTTGGCGTTCCAGAAAATACAAAAGGGGAAGTTCCATTGTGTCTTTATGTGACAAAAGATGGAGTAAAGAAACCTGCTACAAAGCTATCGGTTGAAATCATTAAAATAATTCGTGATGTTATTGGGTGAGAATTCTTGAACCTGATTTGAAAGTTCATTGACAACATCTAATTTTACATTCAGACCCATCGCGTCATTTCGATTAGTTGCTAAAGTTCAAGCATTGCCAAGAACACGAAGTGGAAAAACAATGCGAAAAGCTTTAGCTGATTTTGCTCGTAACAAAACCGTCAATCTTCCAGCTACAATCGAAGATCCATCAGTGTTTATTGACATTCGTCGTGCTTTAAACGAGTTGGGATATGCAACGTCAGCACCATCACCGTTATTAGGATACAAGAAACGTGATTGAAGATTTTAGTGTTTTATGTCTAAATTTTCAACGTAGATTCATGATAAGTTTGATATCATTATGTGGGAGTTTTGTTTCGTTTTGATTGATTTAAATACTTTACCTTGACTAAGATGGGAATCAAACAAAAGTGGACTAAAAAATGTAATCATATTTAATAAAAAAGGTATTGAATTTTGTTAAAAAAGTATCAATCAAAAAGTTTTGTTTTCTTTATTATCATTATTGTGCATTTTTTTTGTTTGTTTTTGTTAGCTTTTTAGATCATTGTTTTCAGTTTTTTATTAAGAATACCAGTGGTATAAAAAGAGTTAAATAAAGTTGTTTAACAACTTTGATCTTAAAATATTTGTTATATGAAGAAATAGAATAAATGATTGGAATTTTTGTGAGAATCACCAAATGACGATCAAATAATCTACAAAATAATCACTAACTCTATTGCATTTTCATATTCTTTCTGGAACGAGCTCGACATTCCTGTCTTGTTGCAGTATATTCGAAAAATAGAATATTTGGAATTAAACTAGTGTCACGAATTAACAAAAGCTCAGATATCTTCCATGATACAATGCGTGGAAAGACAAATGGTGTAAGAATCACATGAACGAATAAGAACCAAATGAAGCCAAAAGAAGCTCCAATGCATGCACCGACAAAGACTTGACTAACTGTATGATAAAGCAGATATACCCGTCCATAACACACAAGAGCTGTAATGATACAGCAAAAAGCAATAACGAGACCGCGTACAATCTTCTCTAATGGTGAGTTGTGATGTAATCTATAAAGAAAAAAGAATGACCTTTGATAAATACGCTATTAATGAAATAATTTAACGCTATTACGCTTCTGCATAATAAGTATACAATTAACTATCTGCTAACCTTTTGAGAAGAAAAAGAATTGTGTACGTTGTAAAGAATAACATAAATTGACTATGACTTGAAGGCATCCCAAATTCTACATAGTAGTTATTTCTTACAGCCGGACGTGGTTCTCTTATCATATATTTGAGTGTCATATTTAACACTTCATTGAGTAGTATCCCGATAAAGAAAAAGATCTGAAAGATAGATAGACACAAAAAATGTATTGTTATGCAAAGTAAGTTTCACTTCAGCAAACGTCGTCATAAATGAAAGTTTAAATTGAAATGTGCTTACTGTGTGTAAGTCTCTACAACGGAGTATCACACCCGAGAAGGCTGAGCCGATCCATAAAGGAGCTAAAGCTAAGATTGCCATAAATTTACCAAAAGCATCATCTGCAACATAAGAGAATAGAAGATGAGACTTAATCTCTGGTGATGTGTCTGTTGTCAAACTAACTCACCTTTTGGATATTCCACGTAAGTAAAACTCAGTGTTTTCCACTCTGAGCTATTGTAAATTAAATTGTCTTCACTCATTATAATGCCTACTTGTTTCTGTTCTTAATTGTTTAAGCTTATTAAATTAAATCATTTAGGTTCGGTAATGTTTTCTTAAAAATTAGCTTTATTTAACCTATGCTACTTTCACAGCGCAAAAGTGTCGGTCTTGTCGTAACAACCGACAGCTTAAAGCGCTTTTAAATGGTAAATTTGTCAACTTGTTCCATTAAGGGTATACAACTAAAACACAGTGCTTAAGGCAGTCTTCACTTGTAAACATTAGTTTTCAAACTTACAAATTAACTAAAATATAGAAAATATTCAGTGTCATAAAATTAAATGAATTATTTGACGCATAGAAAATAAAACTTATATAATGTCAACAGAAGCATCTTCAAATTACATCTTCAAAGTTGTTCTATTAGGGTAAATTATAGCTAAATATGAATGATTTCATCTTACAAATATTTTTATTATCAGTTTATGTTTAATTTTTTTCGTTTTTGTTTTCAAAAATCAATTACGCGTGAAGGTTTTTATGTAATTCTTCTGAATCTTCTTAAAGTTTTCATATGAACGTCACAAGAAAGAGTTCAGACCATGGCAATGAACTTTGTAAACTTGATATAACTAATTTGATTTTCTTTTGTTCTCCTCAGCGAGGGAAAAGTAGGAAAATCGTCAATCCTACTTCGATTTGTTCACGATCAATTCAACAAAAATCATTTATCTACTGTACAAGCCTCATTTATGAACAAAAAAATAAACTTCGACAACAAAAGAGTTAATTTGAATATTTGGGATACAGCGGGACAAGAAATATTTCATGCACTCGGTGAGAAAATAAATTTATTTACATTCATTCAATCAAGGTATAGAGTTTCACATAGCTAATTTTCTTTATTTTTCAGGGCCGATATACTACCGCAACTCTCATGGTGCAATCTTAGTTTACGACATTTCCAGTGAAGATTCTTTTGATAAGATCAAAGTATGGATTAAGGAACTTAAGAAAATTGTTGGAAATGATATTGTATGTGTGATAGTCGGGAATAAAACCGATTTGATTAAAGACCAAAAGTTATCGTATGACCCAGAACCGCATTTGAGTTATGCGAAGAGTGTTGGTGCAATGCACTTCTTAACATCAGCAAAACTTAACGAAAATATCGACGAAGCTTTTTTGGAAATATCCAAAAGTATGATGAAAATTCACGACGAAAAGCAATTAGCAAACGCGAGTCTTAATAGAACAGGATCTATGCGAAGACAACTGAGAGTCGAAGAGTCGACAGAGGCAGAAGAAATGACGGAAGCTCCGACAACCTCACGATGCTGTGGTAGATAAACACAGCTCATTTATTTAATGAAATTATTTTTTATTTGATCAGATTTTACGATGAACGATTATGATAATGAATGAATGAATGAATGATAAAATAAAATTATTTTTATCTTAATTAATTGTTGTTTTCAATTGGAATTTAAACTTAAGTTTCCGAATCGATTGCATTGATGTAACATTACTTAAAGTAGAAGTAGTTTGACTAAAAACTATTTTTCAAATGAGATTTTCATTTTATTCAATTAAAGTTTTATTCCATAAAATTCTTGTTCCCTTCCGTTGCAGTTTTACGAAGCTTTTTTTTTTCATTTCCATGTCAGATCATCGAAAGCATTACGAGTTAAGTTTTTGTTTGAAAAAAGTTGTGGTTGGATCAATGCATTTATAGAATTTTCCAAATTGAATTAAACTTCGATTGGAAAAATATTCTTCATTGGTCAAAGTTTGACCAATGAAGAATATTTTTCGTTGAAATGAATAAATCAAGGAATCAATAGATAAGTGAAAAGAATTTTATCGTTGATTCTATTAGCTTAAAAATATAGAAGAAATGAGATTTACGACGAGCTACATTAACTAAATTAAATAATTTTCCACTACAGATTAAATTACAGCTAAGATTATTGAAAATCTATTTGAGCGAACATAAATAACATGAAATGAAACCTTTGATTCTTTTATATCTACTTGTATCATGTTTAAAAATTTATTGAATGAAAACTTTTGACCATTCGAATGAATGAAAAAGTTAATTTCAATTTTATAAATTAAATGAATCATAGCGATCTAAATATAGATAATTCAAAAGCTGAGTTTTCTCAAATATATCAATATCATCATGTTTCAAAATCATGAAAGAGTTCGGTTTTTACTAAACAATATTTAAACTTTATGACGAATAACTCAACAAACTTTGTTGTTGTCGTTCAGGATATATTTCCTTACTCGCTTAGAAAACCAGTGATGCATTTTCTAATTATTACTTTTCTTTTGTTTTGTAAATGCATATTGTTATGCATCCTGGACAAATGTGAAAAATAAGTATTACGTCAACAGAGTATGTAAAAGCATTTCAATTTCTTAACTTCTCTCACCTTGCTTTTGTGCTTTTAAGTGATAACAAAAGCGCAAAATTTCATCCATCTATGCAACAGTAAGCATGGCAAGGATTATTACAACAATGCATCATCCAGAGATTAAGAACCATAAATATTCATGGTAAAAATGACTTCAACACAGTAAAAGTTTTTCTTAATTTAAATCTACAAAAATTCATTTCATTTCTCTCTTTCGTGAAATTTCAAAACATGTCTGCAGGAAAATTAATATATTTTCATTATGATGTCTTATTGTGTCTGTTTTAGATCTTTTTTTAATATTCATTTTCCTCGAATAACAAATATTTTGTCTTCAAATACAATAGGAAAATTCACTTTGCAAGACATTTCCATTTGTTGAATTTCTTTTTATATTTTTCATGTACAACAGAATGACTGATACACAATGGTGTAGCTTCATCATCATCGCAGTGTTATTGTATTTACTAATAGAAGGCGTGAGACATAAAGGTTTTCCTTCAATAAGGTGACTAGATGGGAGAATGAAAAATTTTTGAAAAACTTAAAAACGTTTGAGATGAAAACCATATTTGTTAAAATTGTTCGTTTAGACAAAAGTAAGGAAATGAATATTTCAGACAAATTAATTTTATCTCTCTGGTTATCCGACTTTTTCACGAGATTAAAATTTCCGCTATCGATGAGATTTTTTTTCAATTATCTTCCGAAGTTTATCGCAATCCAGAAACAAAAGCAATTTTTCCTGTTTTTCGATTTTAATTTTTCTTTCTCGCCTCAATATTAAATTTCCACATTTATGCATTTAATTAAAATCATAAACGATTATATGTAGGTATATGATAAAAATGGGGAAAAGTTGATGGAAATTTATATTTTCTCTCTCTCTCTTTCTTTCTCATATTTGGATAAAAGACATCAGAATCTGAAAATTAAAATTGCACAAACAATGAACATTACAAAACATAATAAAAACGGAACAATGATTTGAAGCACAAAATTATTTTTACACAGATGTTATGAGATTGTTTTGTTTGGTTAAAAACGAGAGAAAAAAATTTATATGCTTTCATGTCTATAACTAGAATTTTTGCATGTTGAAATATTTTCATCGAGGATGAAGAGAAATTCATTTTTCTATTGTGTTGTTTATGTCATTTAATTACATAGTTAGCGGCATGTTGAATTTGATTGATTAAAATATCTTTCAAATTGATTTAAGGGTGGAATCAAAACTGATTTTATCTCGATTGATTAATCATATTGAAAATGAACTGAAAGAAGAAATAAATTAAATTTTTTAATCTCTTAATTACAAGATTGCATTGAATTGATTAACTTTAAACAAGAGTAATTAATTAAATTCTCATTTGCTTGCAACTTTTTTGTTTCAAAGTCATTCGTTCGCATCGCATTCATAACTCTGAGAGTGTTATGATCAAGGATAATAAGAAATTACAATTAAACAATGTGTTTGTTGCCTATTTCAATATTAAAAAGAGAAAAATGCGCTTCATACGAACATTTTCTATTATGATTGGCTTTTCGGTTTCGCTTCTGTCCCGCCCTTAATACTTATATCTGTGTGTTATACACTTTATTATATTATTTTTTTTCCATTGTTGATGAACAGAATATTTTTCATGTATTGAATTATGTGCTCCTTCTAAAATGGTTATTACTAACAATTAAAAACACTTCATCGTTCCCCCCTTCACTTGTGCATTCATATCATGCTATAAATACATGCGCATCACATAACATGAGAATGGAGAATAATTCAAAATTAGTTTCATGTTTTGATCTCCATTGTTGTTTATTTCTACTAACGAGAAATTTTTATACAAAATGTATCAGAATTTCACTCTGCTGTATTAATATGTATGAATGAAAGTGGTGGAATGTATTTAATACTTTTATTGAATGATTCAATTCCGGTGAATTATGAAAGTCTATCATTTTTATTAAACTGTATATAAATATTGTTAAAAAGATTAAAACACCAAATTAAATGTTCGTTCATAACACATCAAAATAAAATATAAATGCAAGGAGAAAATCAAACATGCGCAGGAAATTTTCAGGATATGTTTGTTGAGGGGAAGTGCAATAAAAGCTATAAATTAAGCGGTACTTTAATATCCCTACATCAGTTTGTGATTGATCGTGATTAAATAAACTCAAATCTTATGGCGAGTCCTTTCTTAACACCTTTACCAAGTGATTTGGTTTTATCAGATTATATGTTTGGTAGAAGACGACAAAGAAGGAATCGCACAACATTTAATTCAAGACAGCTAGAAGAACTCGAAGGATTATTCCAGAAAACTCATTATCCTGAGTAATAAATATTAGATCAAGATGTAAAGTTCCTTAATTATTTTTATTTTCCTAGTGTTTTTCTCCGAGAAGAAATTGCATTACGAATCAGTTTAAGTGAAGCAAGGGTTCAAGTCTGGTAATCCAAAACGTCAATCGTCTTGTCATAAAATTTAAATTAACGAATAAATATTTAGGTTTCAAAATCGGCGTGCTAAATGGCGAAAGCAAGCTCGCTTACAGTTGCTGCAAGATGCTTGGCGAATGAGATTGAATGAGATCAATCCTGTTTTGGGTATGTAATTTAAAACTTTTAATTCATAATTATTCTTATTTAAAATAAAATATTTAATTATTTCTGACAGCTTCGAAAGCAATGAAGGCCAGCTTAAGTCCGAATGATTTATCAAAGTCACCACTACATTCATCATATGAAGATTTTATGAATGAAGGCATGATGAAAAACCAAATGAGAATGGAATGTGATAAGAAAGAAATTAACGAAAACTATGATATCAAAAAGTTGATGAGTGAACATAAAAGTGTTGATAAAAGTCAAGATGAAAGTGAGTCAGACGAAGAATCAGAAATTGATTTGACAACAACAGGAAGTCCTAAAAATTTCATTCTCGTTAATGGATGCATCGATTTCTCGAATAATAACAATAGTGGAAAAAAAACTTGTGATTAAACCCTCTAACCTATTTATTTATTATCATAAAGCTTTCTTTTGTGTCAATATTAAATCAGAAACTAACAAGAGATGTTTGACAATCCCAAAGATTTCATAAGTAGTTGCATCGAGTTCATCAATTATGGCGTGAAACGTTGTTTAAAGATTTTTCCGCGACATTTTTCTCAGTGATTATCGTTTTCTAGTCTGAGTGCGTTTGTAGAAATTTAATTAAAATTCAATGAGTATCTAAGAAGAACAGATAAAGAAAAAAAATAAAAAATAAACTTTCAGCGAAAGAAAAACAAACATAAACAAGTTAAACTCACTAGATATCATCTGCATTTATTAATGATTTATGAAAAAGCATTCAAGAAAGATAGAAGAAGAAAAAAAATAGAGAGAAAAGTAATTGTGGAATAATTTTTACAAGGAAATTATTTTCTCATGTTGCCCCAATTCACTTCGTTGTGCCGTGAAAGACGTAAGAAAAATAAAGTATCATTAAACTATTACGAGAGATTATGACCTCAAATACAAAAATTAGAAACTAGGTATGTCGGATTTTTCTTCTAAAGTAGGTTTATGTAATGAGAGATGTGATATAAAATGTCAGAAAAAGAGAGATGGCTTTTAAAAGGTGAATGAAAATACTTTTTGAAAGAGGTCAAAGTTCAAATTATGTCAATTGAATACTTTCCAAAAAAAAAGAATTCTTAAATTGCATTACGACCCAGCCCGTTGAAACTTTTTCTACTTTCGCAAGTTGTAAACAGAAATGGCTAACAGCCATTAACCATCACTATTGATGAAGTCTTTAAAAGGCAATTGACTTTCAATAAAAGAAAGATAATAAGACAGAAGTATTACAATTCTAATGCTGACAAGCTAGTCGATGCGACTTCAACACTTAACATATATCGAACTAAAAGTTTCCCTCGTAAACCAACGTCAAACGGAATCAAACCGGCACCATCAACACGTCGTTATGTGTCGAAGCATGCAAAACTTTCCTTCCTCGTATGTGAAAAGTTCAATGTCCTAAAAACTCGGCTGATACAAACGTAAGAGTAAAACTAGATTCATGCGATTGACGGCAAATTGCAAAAAAAATGTAGACCTTGAAATAACTTAAACGATTTTTTTCTATTGCATATTTGAGTAAGAAGTGAAAAGTCATGAAAGTCAAGTTTACAAAAGCTTTCAATCTATCGTACTACTTTGAGTGTCTTTTTCCTTCTTCTCATTTTTATATACTTTAAAAACATAATGTTTCTTTTTTTATTGTTCCATACTCTCTTTACATTCATATTTCAATGTCAGAGTCAATAGATTTTTTCTAGCCGTGAAAAGTAAATGTGTTAAAGTCAAGATGAGTGATCGTGATCGAGTTCATGTTGTTAGAAAAAGTTCTCTCCTGATTATCTATCTCTGGTCCAATCAAAGGTTTTCTTTCACCAACGTTAATTTGCATATGACGAAGCAATCAACTTGTTAAAATTACGTTACCGATTACGAATTAAAATCATAAATAACAAATTTATGCTGATAATGCGTCTGTCACAATATTTGAACGAAAAAAAATGACGAAAAAGCATTTTCATGTCTTATTGTACCCTTTTTTTGTTACCGGAATCAATGCTTTAAAAAGCTAAAAATATTGTGAAGAAAAAGCGGAAAGCAAAAGAGAAGATATACAAAAAAAATATACAAAGATCAGCCTAAGACCTACAATTCTACATTCGCCAAGAAAATAGGTCATCAATATATTTTTTCTCTTAGAGGTGTTGTGGAAAAGCTGTACATAAAAGTCGAATACAACCACAACGACAAACGGAGATCAATGACCTATTGAAAAAAAGAAGTTTAAAGCATAAGATTGTAAGAGGAAGAAAATCGAGTACGTAACACACTAAAGCAGACAAGCAAGCAACTATTTTAGAGTTAAGTTAGTTATGCTTTTGACGCTGGCGAGGTGAGGCCGCTCGCAAAAATTTTTTCGCTTGCAATTTTTTTTATATTTCACGAATCTTTTCAATGCTCTCGCTTCACTTATTGGGAATACAACCAGAAGAAAAAAGAAAAATTTCTTAAGCTATAAAATGGGACACAGTCGAGTAAGAAGCTTCAAAAGATTTTCTCTTGAGCTGACTTTTGATTCCAAACATATTCGAGTTATTTACTTTTATTTATTTTTTGCTTTGCTTTTCGCTTCATTCAGTCAGATAATCTAAATGAACAAGATTTATGTTTAATAAATTTTTGAATTAGTTAGGTAATGGACTGGTTGATTGGGTTTGACATTTAAATCAGGCTCTTGACAAGTTTTTCTTTAATTACCTCTGGCTGCATCATTTTATACACATATTGTTGGTTTTTCCGTATCTAACGAAATATACTTTTGCAAATTTAGTCGTTATCGAACGAACGAACGAACGGCTTCAAACCGGCTCAATACTACGCGTTAATCAGAGAAAAACCTTTGTGATATCTTTAAAGTGTTTAAAATGATAATGACTCGTTAACATCTTACTCCATGTATCGTTCACGAAACTGTTTTTGATGTTGAATATAATAAAAAAATCAGTTCGATTTTCGTGTGATTTCTTGTGCAGGTCATCAGCCATCAACAGGCAGGCCGACTGTGAATGAAATGTTGAAACGGCAACATTTTAAAATTTAAAATTCGGCTCATAACTTGAAAATATTGTGTAAAATAATGAGGACTTTGCCTTGTCGCTTTTGGCTTTTGGCTACTAACCATCAGCTGGGTATGGAGAAAGTCTCTCGGGTTCAATAAACTTTAAGAAACACAGTTTGAGTGAGTAGTCGTCTTTTTTTTTCGTACAGACGCAACATCGAATATTTAGAATAAAGAAAGACTACTGTCGAATTAATATATTCAGCAAAATTATGGGCTCGAATGAGAAAGGCGATAAACAGAGAAGAAACTATTGCATTGGTGTCATGATAAAAAAAAATGCTTCACTCAGTAAAGTAGTTCTTGAAGATTTTTTTATATTGCGAGATTCAACGAAGATTGAGCTCGCGATGTTGTTTATCTCGAAACAACGAAAGTTTCTTACAAATAGAGAAAGAAATTGTTTTTTAGTTCAACGAAAAGCTTAAAAGGTAATATTTTGAATCAATGAAAGAACAAAATTAAATTTAATTTCTTTCTGCAAATTTGAAAATATTCAATAAAATGTTTACTTCAAGATCTCAATCAAGATTCTTTATAGTTTGGCGTGGTTCAACTTATAAACTCGATTATCGAGTGTTTATTCTTCGTAAAGTAAAACATCAGCTTAACTCATGAAAAATAAGCTAAACTGCCAGAACAACTTAAAGCTGTAATGTTTTAATCTTGTTAATTAATTACTTACACCACCCGAAACGTGTAGTTAATGCAATTCTTCAATTTTTCGCTAGCTCAACTGCGCAAGCAAAAAAAAAACATTTAAATAGCTTGAAATAAGTAGGACAGCATTGAAGAAAATTACATTCATTCATATCCGATTATCCTTTTGTTTGTTTCAGTTCTCTTCTCATCTCTTGCAAGTTGCAACTATGCAATAAAAAAAGTGCAGAAGCAGAGAAAAGAAAAGAAAAGCTTTGGTAAGATGAATGATTATTCAATTTTGAAGTACGTATTGCAGCACAGCAACATTGTATCCTTGATTAAGGAAATGCGGTGTAACTCATTCTTTACAATGTAATAAATAATAAATATAGATATTTTTTTTTACTGTTAGCGTCCATTTATCCATGAGTGACTGGTCTTCGTATATTTCTCGTCTAGCATCGGCGCTCGCGATATATGTATATTAAGTCGTACGACAGTTACCTTTGTATGTTTGACTTTCACTTTCGATTGAAAGGTCGATACCCCAACCGACTTATATATTCTTTATTTCTATATAAAGTATATTAATTCTTTCCCGTATGAGTGTAGCTTTTATTGCTTATTTATGTTTCTTCTTCTTTCATATTTTGCTTCTTCTCCATATCCCGTCATATCAAGATTCAAGAAGCTTTAGCTTTTGGTCAATAAAAATTTGTCTTCTATGATTGTGTAATCTTCAATCGTTCTTTACGTACGTCGTCAACTTCTCTTCTACTTATAAGCGATTGAAAGACGGGAAACTGTTTCGTCGAAATTTCTTCTTCGTGGTTTTTGCTTTGCCAAGAATTTGAGTGAAATTGGGGATTGCGGTAAATATTTACAAAAAATAAAAAACAAAAACTACCATGCTAATATGTATCTCCCATTCATAGTAAGTTGTTGCAGCTTTGCCTCTTTTTTCACGTGCAACATTGTAAGTCAGAAGAAAGATTAATTGCTTTAGAGTTCATTGACATTTGATATTTGCATTCCGCATTATGTGTTGTTGAATTTCAGCTATTTCGTTTGAATGTAGGAAAATGTAGTTTTGCTGTAGCGGGTTGTAAGTAAGTAAATAGTGAAGCGGTGAAGCTTGAGTATAGAGATACAAGCAGTCTGCCATACGATCGTTAAAATGCACACACCTTTGACACTTTGCCAACGAAACAAACGTGATTCCGTTGTTCATAGCGCGTAACGACGATGAACAAAATATTTTTTGTTGAGATGCAATCCTTTTAACAACAACTTTGATATCTATCCAATTGACTATAAGTAATGTTTTTATTCTTTTCCTACAACTTACGTCAACATCACGCTTTGTCTTTTTATATTTTCTTTCAACAATTCAAAAAGAAATTACGCAACTTGCTTGCACTAAGCCATCGCACAGCTCCTTGAAAAAATGAAAAAACGTGATGATGAAATCATGCCGACGTCGCGCACATACACCATGTTAACGGATATCCAATCATTATTGATGGTGGAGATTCGTCGATCGACAACGCGGTTTAAATTTCCGTGCAATTAAATTTCAACTGACTTTAAGAAGAAAAAGAAAAAAAATAAATAATCATACCCAAAATATAAAGTGGCCTTGTAGAGTTTTTCGACCTGAATTATGAATTCTGGAAACTCTGCATTAAGCGTCGAACAATTTTTAAAAATAGTTTTTTCTTTTTTCAACAACATTTTGCTTTTTACAATTAAACATGGATACCTTCAGCTTAATATTTTTGTACTTTAGTAAACAACACGTGCTTACCTCTGATATGCATTTATGTGACTTAATCAAAATAGTAAATATCTTAAAAATACATTTTGTTAATGGTCATTCTTATTTCATCTTTTGGGGTTTAACTAAAAACTTGAATTTTCAATTCTGTGTTGTAGGAAAATGGGAAGAATTTAATTTTCGATTATATGATAAAGAGTTCTATTAATATCAATGATAAAAATAATAACAAAAACAAGCCAACGGCCAATCGCAGTCGATGGAATTCAGTTGATGAATTTGTTGTACACACAAGTAAAGAAAAATAAAATAAAACTAGGCTTTAAGCTTTAAAGATTTAACAAGTTGCTTGTTTAAACAATCATAATATATAGACAGCAATGTTGACAATGCTCGAACCCGAGTAAACAGAAATCTTTTAGACATTTTGCTGCTTTACAATCAAACAAAACTCGAGGCGTTAGCAAAAAAAAATCATTTATATATAAAACAGAAAAAACGTTGAGAAATAAATATTTACACACTAGATTGCATTTTTCAAATGTTAATCCGTTGCTGCTAGTTTGTGCTTTGCTCATATTTATAGACCACCTCGCAAAGTTTAATGAACTCACTCAGATATTCACATTGAACAAGGCATCTAATACGAATTTTAGTTTGATTTCAATGCGAATTTTGAGATATCCGGAATATTTCTTATCCTCGTGGTCATGCCACGCGGTTGAAAGGGAACGGAAATTCCATGATTTCGTGTTCTAAGAATCAATAAGATTTATTGCGATGAAACGTGAGAAGAAAAAAGGGAATTAAAAGAATCGCCGAGAGTTTTTGTAAACACTTTTTCTTTCAGCCATGAATCATCATCGTTTATTATCATTTCGCTGTTTTGATCTTCAAATTTCGCTTTCCGAAATACCACAGCTATGAGATCATTCACTTTACCTTTCATTCAAAAGAATTCTCAGTCTGAAGAGTTGAGAGATTGAGATAAATGAAAAGAATTAATTCTTAGTGCAGGTTGAAACACTCGCTTAGGTTGCGTGGAATTTTCCTACACCTCTCATGACGAACCAAAATTCTCAAAAATCATTGAATTTCTTTAGAATAAAAGATTTGCTGATTCATTTTTAAGTGTTTATATTTAGTGAAGATTATTTTTATTATTATTATCGAGCATCAATATCAAATTATATTTGAGTTAAAATATCTTAATTAAATAATTTTGTCAGTTGTTGAAAAATTATCTTTACTTAAAAATTATTTTTTTTGTAGCGTTGAAAAATAGAGACAAGAAGTCTTTGTTGCCTCAGAATAATCTCATGGCTTGTTTCATAATCTAATGACCACCATAAAAAATTTAAAAATTTAAAGTTCGCATGTTAAAACGTGAAGATTTCAAATATTTCGAATCATTCAAATAATTGTTGAAGAGATGGAAAAGAGAAACCATGAAAAAGTTCAAAGCATATACAGAAGAAATAAAATCTTTATTACATTTCTAAGATGATGATTTTGATTTAAAAATAATTAAGTTAAATGACAAACGATTTAAGTATCTAAATTAGGCTTTTATTATTAAATCTTACAAGCTAATGAACGTTCTTAATTCTAAGAAATGATGAACACATTGGAAAAGGTGGATGAAAAATTCTTTAGCATTTTCGAAAAAGAAGTCGTCAGCATCTCCCTAACGTATGGCAATTTGTCACCATTAAAATGATCTCTTCAAACTACATCTGACAACTTATGTCACGACCATGTGCTAACTGCATACAACTTAAACAAATTTGTACATTTTTAAAGTTTTTGTTATTTTTTTAGTTTTGTTTCAATTTTTGACTCTTTATGAATGGTATGCGTCAACTCGAGAGAGAAAAGTATGCAAAACCACCGCGCTCTTGAAGTTGTAATTAACTTCAATTGATGTTTAATTAGCACCAAAAGCTCTTAAAGGTGCAAGCTCATCAGACAACGCCTCGAGTTCTCGCTCTTTTAAGCACACGGAGAATTTATTTGGATAAATTGTCACGCCAGGATTTCCATTTAAACTTGGAAGCTCAGCTCCTGTTGGTAGTGAAATATCGAATCGGTGCATCATTGAAGAGAAGAACAGGAATGATTCTATTCGTGCTAAAACATCGCCAAGGCACATTCGTCGTCCCACACCAAATGGAATGAAATATTCGGGCTTCTCAACTTTTCCTTCAGCGTTAAGGAAACGACTCGGTCGGAATTCTTCAGGTTTATCCCAAAGAGTTGGGTCCATGTGAACGCTGTTGATGAGGGGAATTACGTGACAGCCAGCTGGTATTTTGTAACCATTGATCTCTTCATCACTGTAAATAATAGAAAACAAAATAAATTTGCTTACTTATGTGAAATCTAAATGTGTTCAAAAGATCTAAACGAGCGAAGTCGAGAGGTGATTTAAAATTTACACGTCGGCGCAATGTTCACATTACAGGTTTCAGAATGCGGTAATGAAAAGAATCTAAAAACTCATATGATCATGAGTTCAATGTACTCGCGTTTGTCTTCTTTGCCTTCAAAATAAAAACCTACCAGACTGAAGTCAGTGCTTTCACTTTCACTGACCAGTTTAAAGAAATATGAGTCGTCGCAAAGAAAGGAAAGAAAGAAAAAAAATCTTAGTATATGTTGAAGAATATTTACAAGAAGTACCGTTGAAAGCCCGAGAAAAAAAACGATAAAAGCTTCGCGTATTGAAAAAAAGAAGGAAGGAAAAATATTCGCGATCGGTTGAAAGTCGAGTGTGGTTTTTTTTTTCATTTTTTACACATTCGATACACTTGAAGTGCAATTGCAGCATTTAATCGTTTCCTTGTTGAAATTGCTTAAAGACTTGAAATAAAAATCGCAAACAGAAGCAAAAATGTTTTCTTTTGTTTTTCGTGACTACCGAATGCAAGATTAAGAAGAAGAAGCTAAGAGTAAAAATGTGTAATTGAAGTGTCAAGATTAGAGAAAGAGAGAAATATAAATGAAGAGAGGGAGAGAGAGAGAGAGAGAAAGAAGAAAAAAGTGTTTAGAGGGTCGTTCGTTGATCGCTGTCGTAACCTTGAATGTAGTTTCACTGTGTGGCTTAGAAAATGATACTTACATCATCGGGGAATGTGTTGTTGCAAGCGGCACTATTGATGACATTCTCATGACTTCCAAAATGGTGCTTTCAGTTTTCGGACAGAATGGTAAATCGCTTACTTTAGGCATACGGTTTCGTCCGACAACGTCGTCTAACTCGTCTTGAACTTGTTTTCTAGCATCGGGATTGCGAAGCATGTATACGATAAGCCAGAGAAGAGTGGTTTTGATTGTTTCCATACCGGCACTGAAAAGATCGCCAATAACCTGCATAATCTGTTCTTCATGTTTATTTCCTTCAAAAAGTTCGTGTTCGCTGTTGTTTAACTTTGCTGTTTCAATCTCCATCAAATAAGCGTCAACTAAGTCACGAATGTTGTTGCTGTCGAAATTTTTTTTGTGATCTTCGATGACTTCTTTGTAAAATGAAAACATTTCTCTGCGATTTTCGGCTATTTGATTTCTTGCTGATTTCATTCCTGGCAAATATTGTGTGACGGGAAAGTAGTCGATAGTATAAATTTGACCGAATAAAATCATTCCTTCATCAATCATTCGATTGAATTTTATGAATTTTGGATCATCTCGTGTGAAGCGAACTGACATCAATAAATTACAAATCACATTACTGACCGAGACGGCAAAAAATGGATCTAAATCTACAGTGTGACTTGTTTCATTTGACAAATTACTTATGAGATCATCAACTTCATTCTGTGAAGAGAAAAAAGAATTCATTAACTTTATGTCGCTTTTAACAACATGTAAAAATCATCTTACCGTTATTAGATTTTGCAACTTCGTATTTTTACTGCCCACTAATGTCATACCGAATCGTCGTAATTTTTCATGAAGAAATCGTCTTTGGTCCTTCCACAGCTTTCCATCAGTATTTATAAATCCTATTGAGACATAAAATAGAAAAAAAATGAATTAGTTGAGTCGATTGTAGGTTTGATGAACTCGGCGATGTTTTTCAATCTTTGTTTTTTTTCGAAAGGAGAAAACTAAAAAATATTAAAATAAGCGATCCGAAACAAAAAATCAAAGGATGGAAAAAAAAATTCCAAGGTGAAAAAAATTATTTGTTTCTTATTAGGTAATTTGTTAATTTGTCAACGCTAACAATTTAAGTTCAGATTTTTATGTTAATTTGAATTTCATAAAAAAATCAACAAACTCAACCTTCTCGAATTTAAAATAAATTTAATTATTTCTCTTCTAAATTCTCGTCTCAAACACTCAGAAGTTCGAATAAAAGCGTTAACGAAAACTGCTGAATGGAGAAAAATGTCGTAATTAATTTTTTTCCCTCGCAAAGACTTGCAAAAGCAAATAAAAAGTGAGTAGTTAGAATTGAGGGCAGATTTGTATTTTTTTTTATGTTTATAATATTATTTCAAACAAACTAGAAGCTTCTCTAGTGTTGGTTCATTTTCCGGTAGATTAAAACTTTTTTTTCTAATGCGCACTTTTTATATAAATTAATTTAATCTTGAACTCACCGATTCCATTAAGTTCAGAACAAAGCAAAGTTCTTGGTCTTCCAGTCAGTGACTCCTTCTTGAATATTTCTCGTATAAGTTTATAGTCACTAATCACTATATGAAGTTGTTGTCCCAATTTGCAACTGAACAAAGGTCCGTAAGTAGCGGCAAGTTTCATGAATGATTTGTGTTTTTCAGCACCGATAAGTTTTAAAATTCCGAAAGGAAAAATTCCATAAGGTCCTGGCGGCAGTCGAAGATTTTCAATTATAACTTTAATTAGATATTGAGCCAGGATAATAAGTACTAAAGCGCAGCAAAACACAAAAAGTGTTTTCGAAATATCTTGTTCCAATTCTCTCTTCAAAAAGTTTAGAATCATCGAGTCCAGTGACATTTTTTGGCTTTTATTTTATTTTTTACTTCGCCGTTTCAAATTTTCTTTTTTTTTGGTAAATAAATAAATAATTTTACACAAAATGTTCAATCTTCTTAGATATATTTTATTCAGTGGCACTTTTTCAGCATTTTATTTTTGACTTAAATTTTTTTATTATTATTAAAGTTTCAATTTTATTTTAACTTCTTAAAAATTATTCACTAAACAAGAAAGTTTTAAAAGATTTTAAATAATAAAAATCTTAAGACACTTTTCTCAACGCGCAACGAAAAACTAATGAGTTGTGTCTTGTGTATGTCCTGTATTTTTATACTCTGCCGGCTTTTTAATTTTACAGTAGAGGGGAAATGCTTCGATGTGTTAAGAAAAAAAAATACTGAAAAAGAGCGATATATGAAGCGTCTTATGTATGAGTGGAACAAGAAGTTTTTGCAAGTTAACAAGCTTTTAAATTATCTATCGAAAGGATAAGATTGTCATCTTAGAATATTGTATCATCACTGTCATTGACAATCGCAAATTCAATAAATTAACTGATGATCGGTGAAAGAAGTCTTTCTGAAATGAGAACAACATCTTGTGGTGTTGTTCAGCAGTGTGAGTAGCCGTGAGAGAAGAAAAAAATGAGCGCTACAAGAAAAATCCTATTTTATGATTTGGTAAACTTTTGTTGCATCTCGATGAAAGCTCACTTTAAGGAAATTGCATTTTAAAGACTAAACATTTCATTGTGGATAAAGAGAATGTGTTAAGAATGTTTTTTCTTCTGTTTCTTTTAATATCATTCAAAAGAGAAAGATTTCAGCGAAGTCAGTCGAAGCAATGTAGACCTTCTTGATGTTCTCTTGAATTTTTTTTCTTCTCGCCTCGACTTGACGATGTAAAAAAGAAAAAGCTTGAATGAAAGTTAACTTGGACTTGTGCGTAACATTTTTGTTGCTTGAACTGTCTTATATACTCCTTTATATACAACTCAGTTTGTACGTTTTTCGAATTTGTGAATATACGCATAAAATATCGTCAAGTTTTAAGTGCGTAAGCTTCGACTCTTATGTATCGAATTTTTGCTTAATCCAGCTCCAAAGTGTTTTTTTTATGAAACGATTTTTTTTCTTAACACACAATGGGCGATGGAGTTGTCAGGCTACCAATTTATATGCAAACGTGTATTTATATGAAACAACTGTTGTCATTTAATTAGTGTCAAACTCATCAAGTTTCTTTCGTATGATGTGATAATGAACTCTTTTATTATCAAACGTTGGCATTTTTTTCAAAGAATATTCAAAATAAAAGTGAAAACAATAAGTTCAAAGACATGAAAACAATTGCAATCAGATGCAATCAGTATTTGTAATGATAGAACGAATAAATGTTTAAACATTTTGATGCGATCTCAATTCTAAATCAAACATTTCAAATAATTCCTTATTTGATAAAGTTTTCTGATCGAATCTAATCAGAATTTATTTCATCATGAAGTTCATTGATATTGATAATAAAAATGTGTGCCTTCAGATTAATAATATTTATTAATAAAACCTCGAATGAAATTCTAATATGTTGGCGTTTTAATCTATTGATTAGCTTTTTCAATCCTTCATAAAACTAATTGAATAATTATTTTATTTTATTGTAAGTTCATGAAAGTGCGAAACGTGTGTAAGATTGCATTCATTCGTCATAATGACGTAAGTAACTTACATATTTTATTGGAAATATAAATTTTTCTATGACTTAATTTTGTATTATGTGGACTCGAGAGATTAATGTAAACACGAAGTTACGGAAATGTCAAATATTTAAGAAATCTGTTTACTTGCGGAAACAACGCGAAAACAAAATTCTTACCTCGAGTTCAACGTTTCAATCCAAGGGGAAGAATACAAAAAAATAATAAATATTCTCATAATAACATTCTCACATGTGTTTTGATAGATATACTTAGACGTTTAATAAGTTTTAAGTTAAGATTTCAGCAAAAACGCAGAAGCATAAATTAAAGGCATCGAAAACGATTTGAAATAAATTTTTCATTCAAGGTCGGTGAGTAATTTTTCTGAATAGAATTCTAGGACCTTTCTAGTATTTTTTTCACTGTTTATATCTTTTTTGGGAAGGTTCTCGAGGTTATAAATAACCCTACATCAAGGACAACGACTTTAATTGTATATTCAGTTCATCAACCTTTAGATTAACCCTCAAAAATTGTGAAAAACAAGTTTTCCTTTCTTTTCATATCCGATTGACGAAGCATGCCATTGCAGAGTTGTTTTTTGTTTTTTGGGACTTTGACACCAGCAGTAGCATTGAATTTTTTAAAAAAATGTGTTTATAATTTTTTCTGAACCACCTTCTTTCTGCCAAAAAAAAAAAATGAATTTGATATCAGAAACTTTGCACATTCTCGAATTTAACACTGTCAATGACATTCAACATTTTGGAAGACATTCGACGATCATCCAAAACTAAACACAAAAAAAGTTTCCTGTTTTTTATTTCTTTCAATTTTGGTTGCATTTGCGAATAATGAATATCAATAGACTGAAGACTTTACTGATTATTTGATCATAATTCTTACGATTTTTAACAAATGATCCAGACGATCTCATATACATGTGTCAGATATCTGCAAATTATTTCAATCGATTTTCATCAACTCGCTTGGTTTCTTTGTGCGAACGGGAGTTTCGATCTACCGCAGAGAAGAAGAAATATATTTATTCAGGTTGGTGATATCAGCTTATTTTTGTTTTTGATTTTGATACTCAATGACATTAGAGTCTTTTAAGACTTTGGTTGAAGGCCACCGTATTTCATTACGGTCATTTCAACATGTATAAAAAAAAGACGTGTGAAAAAAAATATCTAACGACTAACGACACCGTTTTATTTTTCTTTAAACTAATAACCCTTTCAATAACCACAACTTCCCTATAAACATCACGCTAAACCTCGAACGTCCTTTTACGTTCATTGCCCTTTCCATTGATTTCTTTAAAGTAGTTCACGAAATAAAAAGTTGCATAGTCTCTCTTTATATAATGCAAAAAAAAAGTAAACAGTCAGCCAAATATATGTACATATTGTATTGTATTGTTTATTATTACCCGAAGGTTTTCTTGTTCATAAGATGTACATAGAAAACATGACTCTGCTCGTACATATATCTACATAAAATTACAACAAGATTGAATTCGAAAAGTAAAGAAGAGCGTACGTTTAAGTTACATGCATTTGTATATCCCAATAATTTGGTCTCTTGCGGTGGCATTCATAAATGATGGTTAAGACCTCAATGGCAAGAACTGTAAAGAACTATCAACAATCAGACAATTTCCTCATCTTTACGATACTAAAGATATAAACTAGCTGTTCGCCGTGACGTTGCTAATAAATCTTCCTTAAGAATTTCTTGACCCAAAAAAAAAGAATAAAAATCGTGTGTTCAACTCTCTCTCTATCTTTTCGCAAAAAATATAAAGTTGAAGTCGTATTGCGAAGTCTCTTACCGACAATCATGCTGTCGCTATTTTCTAGATCAAGTCATAACGGTAATTAAGTAAAGAATTGAAGTTCTACACCCCCGTAATGACTTTTGCGACCTGCACTCAGGATAGAAGTATGGAAAAGTAAGTCAAACATTTGTTATCTAGATTTTTCTTCTTCTCCTTCTTTCTATTCAACTTCTTTTTACTATGATGCAAGAATCATTTTTCATTCACATTGACTAGATAAATGTTCAAAAACCAGCTTCAAACAGAATTTATAATTCTCAATCATAGAGCATCGTATCAACAATTGGCTTGTTTTTATTTATTAATTCTTTTTTATTCAATCAAGAGGTCGAAGAAACCGCCGAAAAAAAAAAACAGATACAGAGGATAATGACGCGAGTTCAATGGATTGCTGCCGCGACCATTAGCATGAAGATATAAAATGTTTTGCCAAATCTTGTTACGTGTCTTCAGTCTTGTTTATTTCTCATCCTTAGATTGTCTGTTCAATGTTCTTTTGTAGATATTTTTAAACGCTTGCTTGCATTCAGGTAACAAGTTTCTTTCTCGATCAGAATCATTAACGACAAAAACATTCTTCCCGACAAAAGAATCATCCATCGAGCAACAATTGCCAGGGTGCTGAAAATATTTGATCGGTTTTATTCTTTTATTTTCCTTTGCAGCCTGTCTACTTTTGTCGTCATGACGGTTCAATTTTTACGTCTATTTATTCATTGAATGAAGGAAGTTTTCATAGGAAAGGACAACATCACAGGATGATCAAAGGTGATTGACCCTTAAATATTGAACACCAAATGTCTGTCGTTTCTTTTCTTGGAATTCTTTTGGTCGTTGTCCTGTGTTGTGTTATTTTTGTTTTCAATGGTCGTTAGACTCAACATTCGTAGAATTTTTAAGGGTAAAGAAAAAAAATAATAAAATAGGAAAGAGATAAAAATGAGAGAATAAAAGTTTGAAATCGTTTTTGTTACGACTGCTTCTTCATAACATGTTGTAACAAGACTCCCAAGTCTTCCTTCTTCCTTTATTTATGTCAATTTAATCTGTTATGAAATTTGTTTTTAAATTGTGAAATATTTTATGAGATTATTGATCTCTTAGTAATTTTGGATAAGTTAGAAAAGGAAGGATCTGGATAATAAAAGACTTCAATGCTTTTGAACGGCAAACGTTCTTAAGAATTTAATTCTTTTTTTTTGAAAGTTTATTTGTTTCATTTATGAAAATGTTGTTCAGTTACTTACCATCTATTTTTCTATTGACGGAATGAATTGAAAATTTTCCATTTAGTTATTTATATTAAATGAAATGATCCTTCTTAGAAGAATTAAAAGAAATCTTTGAACACCAAAAACTTTTTTTTATAAATGCAATAAAAATATAAAAAGAGATTTTTCTTCAACTTAATGCTTGTACATTTTAATCTTGTTGACCTTAGTCTTTAGATATTGCATCATAAGATAATTTCCTGATAACTTAGTCTCTTACATGCGAGATGCCTGAAGCACCAAACAAACATTTCATTTCAAAACAAGAGAGGGTTTAATGAATCAAAAAATTAAAGTCGATGGGAAACAATTCAGAAAGAATTTAGCGTGTGCAACACAAAATTATTTCAAACACAAATTGATTTTTAATTTGATCATTCAGATTAAAAATCACATGGAAATAATTGCAATTTTATTTGTGCTTCGTTGTCTCCACCACAAGACAATGACCTAAAAATTATGATGAAAAATGCTATCTAATTTAATTTATTTTTATTTATTTATTATTGTTTTCTTTTTTTCGTCGTTTGCTGCAAAACATTTTAATCTCAAAGACCATTTGCCATTGACTTTGATCAAACAACAAAGCCGAACAACTATGAATCTAAATAAATCTTTTGTCGTAAATAAATGGCCAGGCGAAGTTAGCAACAGTCAGAGCAATGTAGACTTCATGCGTCACTTTGCAGACAGAAAACATTTCGACAAAACTTGCTCAAGGTCATTATATCGTGAAAGAAGCTTATAAATGGCAAAAATATATTACAAGACGCCAAGTAAGTACGAGAGTCATTCAAATTTCAAAATCTTCTGAGAAAAATGAAAGTGAAAGTTCTAGGATCGTTGGCTTGGCTTATTCACCGTTGCTTCATTACTTTTTATTTCTGTTCATTTCTTATTTAACTCAACTCCCGCTCTTACTTGATTACTATCGTTGCCTGGTTCGAAATGCAGACACAGTTGTATAATCTTGAATTAAAATAATTTAGCATGCATATTTATGTGTCTGCTTTGTGTTTGGACGGGATCTTTTCTCTCGTTCACTCATGCAGAAGTTCAAAGACCTTTTGTGAAGAAGAACAGAAATTGTTATTTTTTCTACCACGCGGTTGCTGCTATCATCGCTCCTTGAATGGAAATTGATCGTTTTTTTATAGCAAAAATAATTTGAATCTTTTATGGCATCAAACTTATGAACACTTTTTTATAGGAAAAGCTCAATGATGATAAAACTCAAATTTTGTATTTCTTTTTATTGAATTTTTATTTTCAAGATTTATTTTATTTTTATTTTGCATTTTAGCTCATAAAGCTTACATCAGAAATAAAGTTAAAGAAAAAGAAATTAAAACTTCTGAATGATTCAAAGTAGGTAATTGCATTAAATAATGTGATGTTTGATTTTTAGACAAAGTATAGGATTGAAAGAATATTTATAAATGAAAGCTTCCTAAAGTTTTAAAATTATTGGAAAATTTCCTCATAAAACTATCCCTCGTTTTTAATTTAAGGAACAAAAAGTTCGTTTAATTTTCTCCTTAAGATCTCTCCAAAAAAAAGTTAACTAATTATATAAAAAGCTTTTCGCATTACGTAAAAGGTAGACTTAACCAAAGCTTAATCTCTCAAAGCATCTTTTTAAATAACTAAATTATTAAATAATAAAATTTAGAAGCTTTTTCATTAAAATTCAGGCAAATAAAGCATTTATCATAAACACATATAAATGTTTAAAAAGCAGCATGTGATGTAGTTTTTATTAAAGATTGGTGCAACAAATATTGTATATGTCTGATTTCTGAACTCTACGCGGCAATTTTTATCTAAACTTGAATAGCTGATTGAAGTCAAACCATAACTTCACAAAATATATTATTGTAGGCATTTTTTCTTTTTTTTCATTCAATTTTATCTTTTAACAAAAATATATTTGCAAGATTTTTTTTTAAATTCTAATTCAAGCTTTTTTTCATCTAGCAAGTTTTCATATTAATTAATTTCCCAATTGAAGAAATGTGTCAATAAATTACTCGTAAAATTTCCTTTCTCTTATTTTTCTTTTGGTTTCAATAAATATTTTCAGGTGATGGAAATTACATTTCAAAGCATGATTTGAAAGCTATCATCAAATATCATTAATAAAGTATCGAGAATTTCCAATTCTTCTTAAATTACTTCTGCGATTATGAGAAGCTCCAATTAGTTCTATGCTCATTCAACAAATATCTTATTGTTTAATTCAATTTTCATCTTATCTAAAAGCATTTTTAAATGTTTCGGTATGAAGAACTTTTGTTTCCAGCTTAAAATAATCTTGCGCGCCTTTTTAATTCGTTTCGTCTCCATTGAGGTAATCGGTAAAACTCAGCTCGTGCACACTTTAAAAAAGAATTAATTGTAAATAACTTCTATTAGATTATAAATTAATGATTCATTTCTTACTCCGCAAACAGCTTCAAATTCAGCGTCAGACAAATGTCTTTCCAAATTACAGCGATCAACATCAGCTGGCAACCGATAGTTTGTAATGAGAAGCAAGTGATAAGGATAAATCTTTGCTGGCTCATGAACAAGCATTGAATGAGCCATGTTTGGCAAGGATCTGCGAACTAACCCAGATTGTGGATATTGATTGTAAATTGCACCAGAATAAGTGCTTGATGCTGGAATTTCAGCTCCTAAAGCACGACGGTCACCTTCCGTTATAGAATCGACTGAAACTAAACCAAATTAGATTAAATTTTATTTAAAATCTCCAAAGTCATGGAAGTTTTGACTTCGAAGAAGCAAGAAGTCTATTTTTCATGATGATCTTAACTTACTATCAGATTTTCCACATGAAAATTCTGTGCTATGTGTCTTGTCACCTAATCCACCGTAAGAAAAGTCCTACAAAATTGATTTAACATAATTAATTTCTATTTTCATAAAATAATATTTTCTCTTAATTTCCATTAAAATCAAACCACTTCTAAAACTAAATAATTATGATATGAGATAAAGTTGCAAAGAAATCTAATGAACGTGCAACAGAACTGCTAGAATATTAAACTGTTTAAATAATTAATCAAAATAATATTATGGATGTGCATATTAAAAATTAAAATTGATGAAACTCATAAAACTACATTTTCATAAACGAACAGGTAGATACATAAATTGAAAGCACAGAAAGCAATTTATAGCAATTTTCGTTTGTTCTTTTGATTTTTCTATCATACATGACAAAGTCAATTAAAGCCAATTGTTTTAACAGAGAAAGCTTACGGGCGCACGATGATCTGTTGATGAACTACTAAAAGTTTGAGATGGGGTAACATAACATCCACTGAATTGTTGTTTCTTAACCGAACTCACCGCTAAATGTGCGCATAAAAATTTTTTTTTACATGTCATCAAGTGTCATGAGATTGTAGTTTTAAGGAGAGAAGAAAAATAATGCAAACTCGGTATTAATGTTTTTAATCGAAAACTAATGATAATTGTTAACGAAATTATGATGATGAGGGGAGCATTCCAAAAACCAGCTAAATACTTTCAGAGCCATTAATGAAGAGAAGTTTTTAATGAGCGTTTCACCATCGCTACACAAAAGGAAATTATTTAGACTTAAAAAGTGTTAATTCTTTTATTTTGTTTCGATCATTAAAACTAAACTTTTTTCTCCATAACCAATCGTAAGGGCTTCTTTTAAACTTACAGAGCTATAGCCATTTCGAATTGATGACGGAAGAGTTGAATGTTTGTAACCACTTCCTGGTTTTGGGGATCGGTAGGAATTTATAGCTAGTTTTGTCGTCATTTTTATAAGAAATTATTCATTTTTTTTGTTTGTTTTCGAAGATATTAATAATTGATAAAATAAATATGTTAAAAAATAATAAGAAGAAGAAAGATTATGCATATATTTACCATTATAACTATTTCCAACACCGGTAACACGACCAACTGAACCTCTGTAGCTCATGGATCTATCAAAAAGTTCGTCTTCAAAGGGACGAGAGTGATCCAAGTTCCTTGAGGGACTGGCGCCAAGTGGACTTTCGTACCTGAAAGGATTTTGAAATTTTAATTTATTTAAACTTCTAAAGAAGGAAAAATTTCTCACCTCAATTTATAAACAGGTTCTTTATTCGCTGATGGCGTTCGTGATGCATTTCTAGGATCTAAATTATTTTGTTTCCATATTTTATATTTTTGACGTTCCTTGATGTCCTTTAATATAACTTTACTCATTCCTGAGTTGATTTTCTTTAACTCTTCTTCTCCTTTCTTCAGCACCGGTTCGATATTTTCCTCGACAGCTTTATCAACTTGATCTTCATCGTCCGATGTTTGAACACCTTTGTATGAGTCGGAATATCTTCTTCTTCTTTCAGGATCTGTGCATGGATGTGGTGGTGCTGGAAAATCATCGCGTTCTATTTTCGATTTTTCACCCGGTTTTGGTTTCTTTCCACCAGGATAATGACTCATTTCAATTGGTTCTTCATTGTTCATTCCTGGACTCTTTGGACGCGGCGTTTCTGTTCGAATGCTGTCAACTAAAACTTTCATTGCAGATCGACTTCTCGATTGAGGACGAGATGGTGGCCGTCCAGCATTGATAAAGTTGGGACGATGAAAATGTGGCGAAACTGGCTTCTTATCATAAGGATCGATAGGTTTTCTCAATCCCGAAATATCTTCAGCTAAATAGCTGTAGGTGTAAATCCGTGAAATATCTTCGCCATAATTTTGATTGTATTCACGAAGAACAAGACCCGGACTGATTGTGCGATGATACTAAAATAAAAACAAATATTTTAAAAAACAAATCGTGATGTTATTTTGGTTTTTTCATAAATAATAAAATCAGGGACTGGAACTGTTATAACAACTGACATCTTGAAGCATATTTGAATGGTCAGTTCTGTCACATATGGACTAGAACTTGATATTTTATATAAAACACGAGCTTTGTATAAACAACACGAAAACAGCTACCTTGATAGACTTGTCAAGTTCCAATCTCTGATTAAAAAATGATTTCATTTCATGCATATTTTGAAATCTTAAATCAAAACAAAGATGATGTTTGTGTAATCGTGCTCATAAAATTCAATAAAATATTTTCAACAATAAAGGAAAGATAAATAAAAATTTAAATCAAAAACTTACTCGTCTACCAGTAAATGGACTACAAACGGATCCATTGATACTAGGAGTGCGTGAACGTAAAGAAAACTGTGAACAGTAAATATACAAAACAATAATAAAATAAATAAAAGGAAGTGAAAAATTAAAGATCAAATGCATGTAAATTAAGATACATAACAAAACAAAGTGACAATGAAATGAAATGTAAAAGCTAAAAATAAATTTGTCTTGTGATCTAATGAAAGTTGTGAAAGTGAAGTAAGGAGAAATGATTTAAACTCACTTGAATTTCGCTCATTGCACTATTGCTTATATGATCAATTTCAGCAGCTCCATTTCCATTTAAAAGTATTCCATTCTCTGATGGTCCCGGACCACATCGTGGATGCCAAATTGCGGTTCCTTGCAAATACATTTCTTCACCATCACCAAATGGATCACCACATTTAGAACAACGAGCACATGTCGGGTGGAAATGGTGATTATCCCCAGCTTGAAGAACTTTACCGCTAATGTAACGCTCGCAATAAGCACATTTTACACCAAAAGATTTCTGATAATCTTTTTCGCAGTAAGGTTGACCATCTTTACCCATGTATTCGCCGCTTAAAACAGTTCCACAGCAGACACATCTTAAAAGTGATTAAAAATAAATTTAAAGATGGGATAACAAGAGAAATATTTCAATAAATCTTTTACCTGAAACACCAAATATGCCATTGTCGTTCTAAAGCAATAAGGGCTTGTCCCTCCTTCAATTCTGCACCGCAACCTGCACAATTGTTCGGGTCGATATCTTTGGGGCTTGTTGGCTTTTGAAGAATCTCATTATGCTGTTGTTGTGCCGTAGCTTTTGTTGGGCTAGCGTGCTGTTGTGTTATTGTTTTCTGCTTTATCGTTCCACCCACGACACACTTTTCGCATAAAATTTCCTTTCCGGTGTTTGTGACCTTTCGAAGAATCGTTTGTGTTAAGAAAAAATTAAGAAACTCATTAAGTATACAAGTTTGTGCATTTGCGATAAAGAACCTTTTTTCTTTTGTGCTACATAAACCTTTTACCCATGATCTAAATAAATTGTGTTAATTACCTTGCTGCCTGACTCGAAAGGCTGATTGCACCTAGTGCAAGTGAAGCATTTTTGATGGTATGTGTTGCCCATCGTCGAGACAACTTCACCTTCAACATATTGTTGACAAACGGCACATTTTGTACCGAAAGTTTTCTGATAGCAACCGACACAGTAATAGTTGGAATCTTTCGAGAAAAATCCTCCAACAGCCAATGATTTTTTACATTTGATGCATTGAAAGCAGCTTTTATGGAAGTATTTGTCAGTTACGCGCAGCACTTCACCGGAACATTTTTTCTGGCAATTTGCACAATGAATTTTCGGTTTACCTGGGGCGAAATGAAATGTTTGCTTGTTAGAAAACGTAATAAAATGATGGAGCAAGTGAAGAAGATTTGAGAACAAATAAAAATGAATTATTTCATTAAAATAAATAAGTGGATGTCATTTGAAGCTACCAAAACCACACCATAATAAACATAATTTTCTTCTTCTTCACATCTCTGAAATATTATTTTATATTGTACATGGAGTGATGTGTTCAATTCTATTTTTAGATTCTTTAGCTGTACATTTTTTTTTCTTTTTTGTTGTTTTGGAGTTAATGTAGCCTTGAGCAAGATGCTGTTTTTACAAAGATACTATCATGAAAAAGAAACAAACGAAAGATGATGATGACCATTCATAAGTTTAACATATCTTGACTTTTAACAGACAAGACGAAAATGCTGTGTTTCATTGAAACATCGAAGTTAAAGTTCAAAGTTGTTCATTAGTAAAGGAAAATATTCTGATTGGAATGTATGAGTAAATATTGATGACATAATTTTCTTCTACCCAGTTATATATTTGCTGAAGTTCATAGCAAAAAAAAAACTCAATCACTTTCAAACTTCGATTACTATTAATTACTTCATTTTATACTCAACTTTATCTAATCAAGTAAAACAGCAACAATTTTTATACATCAGAGCTTCTCTATATGTGTATATGGGATTTTTTTCTACACTTTTTTCGACATTATTTTTATGTACATTTCATTTAGTCTCTCACACATATTTACGACCGAAAACGCCCAATGGAAAAATTGAATTAAAGATTGCTTTTTATGCAACCAATGTGCGAGCTTTCATTGATTTAATCATTAAACGATGATGTCAGAAAATGTGCTAAACGTTTTATGAAGGATTGTAAATATCAGCCAATGTGGAGCACATAATATGGATACATAAATTGTTATGTATCGACCGGAAAAAAAGTTTTTCTTATAAGAATTCTATTCATTGTCCGTAGCAAAGCTTGAATTTCCGCTAATTATAATTATCACCCACTTGCTTGCCTTTAACCATTAAAATATATCACAAGGCTTTAGTTTCAATAACTAATGATGTGGAAATTTTCTATGAACTATGGTGAAAAATCATGTTTCGCCATTTTTCTCAAGTTTTTCTTCACTTATCGAAATTTAAGTAACTTAAATAACATCTCAGTGATTTCGTATTTTCTTACCCATTTTTAAATATTATTATCCAAAATTTGTTACAATTTATTTATTTGAATTGTACTTGCTGAATTTAATAATTATTGAAGACTGCTCGAGACAGAAAAAAATCTGATTAGTGTGTGAAAAATCGTGAGCTGGGAGCAATATTAGGATAATTGCGAATGATCGTGAGCTGGGAGCTAAAGTACGATAAATGCGAAGACATATGCTAAATGCTAATTTTAGCATGCTAATTTATTTGAATTCTGGACAAACAGACAGTTTAGAGTTAGCATAACAACATTTAGGACACCTAACAAATGCTGCTAAACAATGAATTCAGTTGAAAATTGAAGTCGCTTTAGTAAACTATTGAAGTAATCAAAATGCTCAAAAATAATTAAGTTTAAATAAGAATAGAATTTTTTTAATGTCCTAAAAGCAGAGGATAGTGTTGCACAATGATTTCAGCGATTTTATCACGTCTTATGATGTAAGTTTGATCAAAAAGTTCGATTATATCGATTTTTCAATCAGTCCATTAGAAATGTTAAAAAACGATATTAAAGATTCGCGAAATGTCCGATTAGGTCAAAAAACCTTCGAATTGTCTTCTTTTCAAGTGGTTGCTCATATAAACTCGATCTCCTTAAAAGGGAGTTTCAGGGTTTTAGAAAAAAAAACATCGTTCGTTTAAGTTGAATTATCCATCATCGCATAAAGAGAAAAAAAGAATAACAAAGAATCTTCTTGTAAAAAGCTGAGCTTACTTAGTTTCTCATTTCTTTGTGTAAAACTTGATTGTCTTTTGATTTGCAGGAACTTGTGAAATGATCTCTCGACACAGAGAATAATTTAGATATTGTCTCAATAATCAAAATGTAAAATCATAAATTATTTAATAAGGCATTTCTCACAAGTCTGTTAAAAGACTTGTCATGTGAGTCAAGATATAAGCTATGCTTATTTTAAAATACGAAAAGAAAATTGAATTCTGTTTTGTGTTTGTTTAATTGGCCGTGCAATTCCATCATTTTGCGTGATGACAAAAAAACCTATTCGGGTCGTAATCAAACCGGAAATGGTTGCCGCATCGTTCTACAATACATGGAATTCTTTTATTATAAATTTCTTTTTTTACGACAAGTTGTCCGCCTCCTACTTTTCTTCATTTTAATACTTTGATTCACGATGTCTCATGTCTTGAAAAAAGTTTAGCCGATAATTCGCACAACAATCTCTAAAACTTTTGTTCGATGTTTGGTTTCGCCTCTTTCCAATCAACGAGCAAGCACCTTGCCATTTTAGGGCAATCATTTCTATTTTTCTTTTGATATTAACATGTGAAATAAAAGTCGTAAATTAACGGGTTAGTTGCGAACCGTGCTTACTAAAGAAATCATGAACTCGATTGAATAATATTAGAATAATTTTTAAACGAATTGTTTTTACCGTAAGATCACTTTCGTAATAATTATTTATCTTATGTTTTCATCAAAAACTTTTTCAGACTTGTTTTCGGTACAATTTACCCTGCTTACTGTTCGTACAAAGCGATTCGCACGAAAAATGTTAAAGAATATGTTCGATGGATGATGCATTGGGTAGTGTTTTCATGCTTTGTTACACTTGAGACATTCAGCGACGTGTTCTTGTCTTGGTTCCCATTCTATTACGAGGTCAAGGTTCTTATTGTGTTTTGGCTTCTAAGTCCGATGACAAAAGGTTCATCGATACTTTATAAGAAATTCATTCATCCAAAGTTATCACGACATGAGCAAGATATAGATGAATATATAAATCAAGCGAAGGAGAAAGGTTATAAAGCAGTCATTGATGTTGGCTCAAAAACTTTCGATTTAGCCTCCAAAATCATTGTGGAAACAGCTATAAAAGTGAGTAGATAAACAATGTGCACATCTTCTCTTTTTTTATTTTGTTACTAAATAATCACAATGACTCACCCACTTTATGCCATTAATAAATAACATCTAAATATCTTAAGTAAGAGATTTCAAACTCATAATTAAAAAACACTTTAGGCAACAACCGTGTTACCGGCACAACAAAGTCACGATAGAGTTGATAGTGCTGATAGAGTAGTAGAAGAATTTCGTCATTTATCATCATCAAAGATTGAAGAAACATGGAATGAAATGGATGTTGATGATGGAGTTGATGCGATGATTGTTCGTGAAATAGAATTTAGTGATGCTGATGTTGAAATTGAACCAGCAAGAAGTAGAACTCGTAGTCAATCACGAGCGAAAAATGATAATTTCGCACCTCCAGTTGTTGACATTGAACCTGCTGGAAAGCAAACTAAAGGTCGAAAACAGAAGAAAGTTCAACCAGTACTACAAAAACCACGGCGACGACGTGTGATCAGAGAAGAGAAACTTGTCGAATTTACCAGCGAAGATGAATAAGCGTTACTACTTTTATACTTTTTTATATTTTCTTTCCAAACTCTATTTTTCTCCTTAGAATTATGTTTTGAGATAAATTTAGTGATGACCTTGTTGTTGAATATTTTAGACTGATTCTTGATTATCACCTCAGATGTCGAATAAATATTTTGTTTTTGAAGTATTTTCAACACATTTTTATAAAATTGGTGTTTTTATTTGTTATTGTGATTAACAATTCGTATGCTGCTTTGTGGGCTAATGCACAGAAATTATTATCATTTAATCCACGTGATTTACTAATTCTATTCATGATATAAAATAATGGAAAAGATTTGTAATTTCTTGATACGAGTCAATGCTTTCGGCACTGGTTGTAAAGGTCGAATTGCGCTTGTTTCATTTAAAAGTGATTTTATTTAATTTCAGGGAGTGCATACAATCAAGAAATCTTATTCGTTGAGTGACTTAAGTGAAACTGATGGAACAGTTGATTGTTTTAAGCAAGAGATGATTCAAATCAAGCATAGAAGTCGTCCAAAAATTCTTAATAGTGGAAATGGTGTGATGAGTCGTTCAACATCGTTAACTAAAAGGCCAACAAGTGATTTGTACTTTTCAGAAGTAGATGTTAAACAAACAGTTCGAAGAACATCAAGTGATAGCAAGTAAGTTAAAAATTCATAGTTAGAAATTCTTTTCATTGTTGTGAAAAATTCGTATTAAGTTACATGCGATCAGTCGATGATGTAAGCTCAGGTTACTCTTCCACCATGGATTTATCTCGATCAGAAATATCAAGGACGTCTTCCAATGCTTCACTGCGCAGCAAGCGTTCAGCCCGTGATTCCACAACATCATCGACATTACCACGACGTCGAACCAGTGAGAAATCTAAAGTGCAACGATTAACGAAGTAGTAGCTTTTAAAATATTCAATGCCAAACGATTTGCAAAAAATAATTTTCTATTCAATAATTTCTGAACTTTAAATGAATCTCAATTTTAAGTCAAAGAAGTGTGAAGATGAATCGGTGCTAGTTACGCCTTTGGTCTGACATTCCAACTCACCTTATAATCGATCCTATAGTTTATTAGAATCTCATGTTTCTCCCATATTCGTTGAAATTTAACATAACAAAGTCATTCTTAAACATATCTGAATACTTATGATACGCGAGCGATATTTCATTGTCATTGATTGATTAATTAAGAGCAGAGTTGATTATCGTAAATAATGAAGATTTTAAATTTTAATGAGGCTGATGAAAATGCTTTTGAAAACGAATAGACGATTATGAAATTATCCAGTAATTGATTATCAAAGAAATGTTGTGAATTGAAAGATATGTAAATTAAATACGATAGATAAGTAACAACCCTGCAATTAATTTATTAAATTATTTCTTCAATTCTTTCCTGCAATTTATGTGATATGATGTGTGATTGCACTCACAAATAGCATTTGAATTTAATTAACTTCCTTTTTGTATGATTTTTCTTTTATTTATTAGATAAATTTTAAATGTTTTTGTTTTCTTTAATTAAATTATAATTCAGAAATTGAATGTTCAAAAAATAAAGAAGAGATAAAATAAGAAAAATCCTTTAATCGAACCATCTTTTACTCCTTAATCTTCTATCTATTAGTAACTTCTTATGGAAAATAAAGAGTTTAACCAATTGCAGAGCTTACAATTTCAGCTACTTCTGTGTCTGTTGATCTTACTGTAAGTTGCATCGTTACACCATCGGCTAACGCAAGTTTTGCACGCAAAAGAACTTCAGCTCCACCACGAAAAACACCTGCAATTGAAAATACATTATAATCTTAGTAAAAAGAACTCTATAAATATGTATAATGATTAATCTCACCAGAACAAAGTAGTGTGTGGGTGTGTGTTTCTTCAGCGACTTTCTCAGTTGCATTTGCTGGTCCCAAGCCAAGGAATTTTATAATCGTATGGACAGCATCTTGAAGTGTATTTACTGCTGATAGTTGATAAGTATCTTCAAGTTCAACCCATTCTTAAATTTAGAAATAAAATTTCAATTAAAATTTCAAATCAATAATTGAATTAATTCTTCACCTTCACTATCAGCAGCATCCCAAGCAACAACAAAGTTATTAAGTTTTGTTTTCTGTATTTGATCAGCAACAGTGATTTCAAAATCTTCAAGCATATACTCATCATCGTAGCCTTCATCGGAATCAGGCAATCCAGTTGTTGGATCACAATCTTTAACAATAAATTTTAAGGTGGCTCCAAATGTGGCTGTGAGAAAGAAATAAATCAAAATTAAATTATAAATAAAAGTGTAGCAATTAATTAACTTACCAGATGAGCTGGCAACATCACCAGGATACTCAAGTATAACATAAGTTGATTCTTTCTCGCCATAAATTAATTTAGCGCATGGAATAACATGTCGTACGATGAAACCTTCAGGCAGTAAAAGATCAACACGAACATTTTCAAGCAATTGATCTGACAATGTGTTCACGCAATCAAATTGTAGTACAACATGTTGAGCAAAGCAATGTTTAATGCACGAAACTGTGTATTCAGTTTCACTTTCTGTCAATTGCACCGACGGTGATGATTTATGAAGTGGACCGAGACGTTGAATGCCAGGAATTTGAAGTAAACGCTCAACATTGACTTCTTCTCGTGTTACGCGTGGAGTCTTCTGAATGGAATTTGTTGTAATCATTGCATCGTTATGAGCGTCTTCAGTAACTGTTGGTGTTGGTGCTGTTTTGGGGACAAGCGACAAGTCAAATGTTTCAGTTAAAGCACCATTGAGATGTTCCTTTAGTGTCTTTTCAAGCAATGACAATGACACAAGTTGATCATTGCTTGAGATGTAATTCTTCCAAAGTGATGGATTTGATGAATTTAAAATGGTGAGATAATATGTTGCACGATCACGAACTTCATCATCGATATCCATTTGACAACGTCCCAAAAGCACTGTAACATTATTTAATAAATCAGGACATGAAGCACCAAATTGTGCCATTGCTGATACAGCTGCTGCTCTTACTGTCGCATTCTCAAGTATTACGCGATTGTAAACAAAGCGAATATATTTCGATGGATTCTTTGAATGTGGTCCTTCCTTTCCTAATAAATGCAAGATACGTACGGCAAGTGACGTGTGCTCACAATCCTCAATGAATTCACACAAATGACTTAAACCAGATTCTTTTGCGTCGGGGTTTTCTTCGATGATTAAGATGATTGTATCAACGATTGATGTTTTATAATCTAATCCACCTTCTTCTCGTAACATTGCACTTAAGAAGTTCATTAAAATGCTGTGCTTTCGTGGGAATTTTGTGCATAATGTTCGAATCGCTTGAACCACAACAACTTTAAATTCATCAGAAATTTCAGCAACAAATGTTGCGATTTGTTTCATCAAACGTTCAACGGAACTTTCAGTGCCAGTTTTGAGAAGTGTTGTGATAGCAAGTGTTGCAACAGAACGATTAGAATCAGCAATGAGACCTTCAAGATCCATATTGAAAGCAGCAACAGCAGCTGGATAAAGAATTGCAACTTTGTTCATTGTACGAACAGCAGCGAAACGTAAAGTTGCTTTTGATGATCCACAGAAAAGTTGAAGAATACTTACAGCTGGTGCTAACTCACGTGCTGATGTACGTTTAAGATTGACAATGGCATGTGCTGCTTCATAAATGACCATTTCACTTTTATGACGTAAACATGATTCGACGAATTCTAAGAAGTGTGTATCAGAGATAGTGGTGGTGCCATTAGCATAATCTTCTTCAATAATCTTGCTTCCAATTCGAATTAAATAGCAAACGGCATAAGGACTTTTCATGCTTTGTCCAATCAATTTATTCACCAATTTTGCAACAGCTAAACGATCATTTCTCCTGATATGATTGAGAAGACCCAAAGCATGATATTGAACCATGATATTGTCACTGTTAAGTGCTTCTTGTGCTTCATTTGCCCATCTTTTAACAACATCACCAGCTCCTGATTGACTTGATAAATGTAGAGAACTTACCAATGCACCGCTTGATACTGAGGGATTTCTATCAACAATACATTGTTTCATGTAACATTCAACAGCTTGTAGCATTGTTGGATCAGTAATAGAAAATGAAGCACGAATAGCAGGTGCACGATAAAGATCTTCACGACCTGTCATGTCTTTTGTCAATGAACTTGTGACAATGATAACATCTTCGGCAATGGTGCTAAGCTCTTTTATTCCCAAATATACCATTCGACGCAAGACAAGATCCTTTGACTGGAAAAGCTTTGTCATTGCAAAGAAGCATTCTGTTGCTTCTCTTGTTCCTAATGATTCACCCTAAAAAGATCAATCAAGAAAATTTTTATTATCAAAAGAATATTTTTTTTTTATTGTTATCTACCTGATTAATGAGATAAAGAATCTTTGTTAGAATATGAATGCATTTTTTAGCATTGACAGGCGTCTCATTGAATGTTCTTGCTTCTTGCAAAACTGATGTTTTCTCAAGATTTTGAAAGGGATTTCCATTTCCTGTCATCAATGATAAGAAGAACAAAAATTAATAAATACTTGAAACATGTTGAAAAACGAATCAAGTGCGGTAAGAATCTGACATTACGTGGATTATTTTTGTTATTAGAATTGTGATAACTTCTCATGACTGAACTTAGCACTGTTTTTGAAATCTTGATCAGTCGATGAAACTTTCAAACTCAATAATCTGACAATGAAATTATAAATTTAAGAAGAAATTGTTAAGTAAATTATACAAGTCTACGACTAAAATGGTGATATGGAAGTCAAGAAAATGCATGACAAAAGCAACAACAACAAAAATACTGCCAACACAACATAATTTTTTTCTAATTTGAATTTAACTTTAAATTGAAAGTAATCGAATATAAATTTCGTCAATTGATGATAAAAATCTTGCTCACAATGATTTAAATGTGTTTTTATCATGTTTTGAAAGGAATTAATGCAATTAATCGACTTTGATAGGATTCTATGGTGCAAGATTTTAGTTTTATGAAATTTGAATTATTTATACCGTCTTCTTCTTCCTTTTTATCACGTTTAAAACTCATTGTTTAACTCAATCACTAATCAAGGTATCTAATATTATTTATCGTCGGATTTTACACTCAAAAGTAAAATTAACAAATTTTACAATACGGAAAATATGTTTCACTTTCACTGTGTTCCATGTGTTGAGAATGAAATTGTGGAGTTCATAATCTGTCTGACTGTCATGAGTCATAGCCAGTTTCGAGCGAAACTACACAAGTAAATTTAAATTTGTCAAATTACCTAATTATTAATTTTTACATAAGTAGCAATCTGAATTAAATTAAAACAATGTCTAAAGAGCCAGCGAGCACCAGTTCACAATCGAAAAATAGATTCGATGAAGCCATCAAAGAAGTAAGCGAGAAATTTAGAATTATAAAATTTTGTTTACATTCTTGTTTACAAACAACTTTTTCTATTTTTCTTTTTTTAGATCAAAGAAATAGAACGCAAAGACGCAGTTCTCACTAGCAAACAACAAATTGAAAGGCTGCTTCGGCCAGGCTCCACATATTTCAATTTGAATCCTTTTGAAGTGCTTCAGCTCGATCACACAACACCCATTGAAGAAATTAAGAAAAAGTACAAGAGATTATCTATTCTCGTCCATCCAGACAAAAATCAAGATGATAAAGATCGAGCTGAAACAGCATTTGAGATAATAAATCGAGCATGGAAGATTTTAGAGAATGACGTAACGAGAAAAAAGTGTTTAGCTGTATACGAGGAAGCAAAGGAGAGAACTGATTTGCTTCTCGCTGAGAAACGGAAAAAGCTTAAAAAAGAGGGAAAACCCGATGAAAAGCTACCTGAAGATGATCCTGAAAAATACAAACACTCACAATATGTTTTGGTGATGAAACTTTTTGCTGATATGGAAAGAAAACGACAACAGCTTGAAGTCCGTGACATGGAAGAACGAAAGCGAAAACGAGAGCAAGAAATTGAAGAAGAAGAAGCAAAGAAAATGCAAAAAGAATTTGCTAAAAACTTTGAAGAATCTCGTCAAGAACGCGTTAATTCATGGCACGATTTTGTTGCAGGAGGAGGTAAAAAAAAGAAAGCAAAAAAAGCGGGCCCCTCATTTAACCCACCGAAAGTTAAAGCTGAAACTCGACATCACTAATCTCTTTATTCATCATCAACAACGATAATTTAATGTGAATTTCATTGACTACTAAAAACTTTCCATAATTTCTTCCTTTATTTTGACCAGAGTTGGGATTTGACTGACTGACTGACAGACATTGACTTGTCAGTCTGTCAGTCAAACGACCTGAGCGGAACATTTATATGAACGTTTCCCAACAAACGAATATTTTTGTTCGCGATTTTGACTGACTGACTGACTGACTGACAGACATTGACATGTCAGTCAGTCAGTCAATCGAGTTGAACGGAACATTTGCCCATCTCTGATTTTGACATATTTTTGTGAAGTTATTTTAATATTATATTTTTCTCCTGAGACAAATACAATTTGCTTTATTTTAACAAGAATTGAGAGCAATCTGACCTTGTCTTTTATAATTATTGTTGATGACGTTTGTGACGTGAATGAAAGCTTTATGATGATATTTCTGCTTACAGAAAAATTATTTCCATTCTTTGGGCAATAAGGAGAAATAATAATGCAGAAGGTAATGAAGTGTACTCTTATTATAGATAGATAGATAGATGTTTGTTTTATTACCGATACGGTACTTTTTGTTTACATGAGCGATTAGTATTTTGCGAGATGTACTCGTCTCGCGCTCGAGGTTAATACCTTAATGATTAAAAATTTCTAATAATATAAAACAAAAAATTACATTTTAAAAATATTTTTCTTTTACATATTCTGACATTATTTTATATATTTTTTTACTGTTTTGTTCTTGGATTTCTTTTTTTCTGTTTTCTTTAAAATCATTATATGTTTGGATCCCTCTGTAAAAAATTGAGTTTTGGCTGATTTCAGATCTAAAGTTTGGAAGCTGATACTGTAAGTTTCCCCTCAATTTATAGTTGGTTTTGTCTTCTACTTTTCTCATCCTTTCTGTCAAGTATGTCGGAGCATTTCCAGATTCTATTCTGTGAATAAATTTCAAGGTATTAAAAATTATTCTCTGCTTTATTGTCATAAATTGAAGGGTTTCTATCATGTCTTTTATGTGTGTTCTATTGTTTACTTTTAAAATTAATCTCATACATTTATTTTGAATTTTTTGTATCTGACTAATCTGTGAATCACTAAACATGAAAAGAATTGATGTACAATAATCAATGTGGGGAGAAATTATTGACTTATAAAATGATATTTTACTTAAATTTGTTAATTTTTTTTCACATCTTTTTAAGACATGATATTATCATTTTGCTGTGTATGTAATTTTTGTGTGCTTCCCAATCTAAATTTTTATCAATAATGATTCCCAGACATTCCTCTCTTGAGATGAGAATTGAGTAGAACAAAATTTTGAGTGCTCTGATATCATAATTTAATTAAGCTGGAAAATATACTATTTAAACATAAAGTTTCAATTAGTTTGAAGATAAGTCAACGGTGGAGATATTTACAAAAAAGTTCTTCGCTCTATCTACATAATTACGTGAATTTTCACAAATCAAAAATGGGCACGAATGACGCTTCTGCTTCAAATGAGATAAAAGCCATGTTGAAGAAATTCGAAGGAAATTTTCAAGAAATATCTCAAAACTTCAAATTGCAATCGATCGAGATGAAAGCACTGGAAGATAAAATTTCGACTAAGCTGTCAAAAGTGAGCAAAAATTTTGATATTTTCAACATGAAAGTCAAAGAGTTGGACACAAAGGTCGATAACAAAATACAACAACTTATCGACAACGACAACAGAAAACGCAATCTTATTGTGACGGGAATACCAGCGCAAGAAAACGAATCATTAAATAATTTAATTAAAGCCTTATCGTCCAAATTGGGATACGAAAGTTCACCAGAATGCCGCGTCTATCGGTACAAAGGTCGAGAGAATAATAATGAAAGGCCTATTGTTATCCAATTCTCTACAGAGTTTCATAAACAAGATTTTTTCACTCGCTACAAAAAAATTGCAAAGACGTTAAATCTTGGAATGTTTGCTGGATTTAAGGGAAAAAACTCAAGAATCTACTTACAACATGATTTCATCAAAACGCAGTATCATATCAACAAATTTGCCATCAAAATGTTGAGAGAGAAAAAAAATTATTAGTACTCGCATCATCCAGGGTTTTGTCTACGTGAAGGTTTCTTCTAATGACGATTTTAAGCCATTTGAGACTGTCAAGGATTTAGAAAATGCTATCGCCATCATTGTAAACTAACATCACCACTCATCACGAATAAAAATTATGAAGTCAACGATGAACTACAAAACAAAAAGATCACATCATGTTTCACCTGTTTTATTTTATTGCATTCATAATGATAACAACACTAAAAACTTCACACTAATAACATTTCGCCACCAGCTGGTGAGTAATGATTCTTGTTCTCCCTTCTCTCCTCCACCTACATACGAGCATCTTCTCTGTATTGTCATGCATTTATTGTTCGACGGTCTTCACCTGAGAGCCGTGGTCGCATTACGCTCTATTAATATTTTACTATGCCAAACACACTAACATCTAAAAAATATCCCAAGAACAGGGAATTGAATATTGAAAATATTGTGCTGAAATCAGTCTTCAATAATTCTCATTTAAATTTCAACTTCGCGCACCTGAATCCCGGTAGTCTTAAACCTCATTTACATGAAATTACTGAAATATTCAGCGATGTTAACTGTCACGTGATAGCAATTAGCGAAACATGGTTTAAGAAATGTCACAATAATAATCTTTTATCAATGCCTGGTTATTCTCTTGCTCGGCATGATAGAAACGGAAAACGTGGCGGGGGTGTTGCTTTTTATATTAAAAAGGATCTAAAGTTTAAAATAATTTTAAAATCACACGCAAACTGTAAAACAGAATATCTTTTCATTGAATTTATTAATGCTTCTGGATGTAAATTTGCGGCAGGAGTCGTTTACAACCCTCCCACTAACACAAACATCGACACCATGAAACGAGAAATTGAAAAGTTATCATGTCTGTATGATGACATAATAATTGTAGGTGATTTCAATATAAATATTATGAATAATGATTCATCTTCAAAAAAATTTAAAGATTTTATACAATCTGTTAATCTAATGTGCGTTAATAAAGAACCAACTAATTTTGTCCCAGGAAGAAGAAGTTCTATGATTGATCTTGTATTAATTAAAAATAATAATATCATGAATCATTTTTCGCAGTTAGATGTTGGAAGTTTCACGAGTCATGATTTAATATTTGGCTCGTATCGTATAAATTTGGATAGTTTTGCAATGCCACGAGTTAAGCTTGTGAGAAATTTAAATAACATAAATAATGAAAGCCTCATTCAAGCAGCTTCTCAATGTAACTTCGATATAATCTATGATTTACCTGATGTCAATGATCAAGTAGAATATATAACTAAATCGTTAAATTATCTATTGAATGTATTCGCACCTGCTTTTGAAATAATTGAGGATAACGATGGACTACCGAAGTGGTTTAATGATGAATTAAAGTCGCTTATTGATAACAGAAACTTTTATTATAAATGTTATAGAAACGAGCGCAATACAATTGAACGTTCGATGTATTATAAGTTATTTAAGAAGTTTAGGAACAAAGTAACCACAAAGAAACGTTCATTACAACTTAAAGTCGCAAGTGGAAAACTTTCACTCAAACTTCCACCAAAAACTCTGTGGAAAAATATTCGTAAACTTGGAATCACCACTGGTAAAACTGAAAATGTTAGCGCGATCGAACCAAATGAATTTAATGAATACTTTTCTTCTATTTTCACACCTCAAACATTTTCTGATTCTCATCTCAATGTAACTCAAGACGATAATAGAACATTTGAGTTTGAAACGGTGTCTGCAGAAGAAGTTTATTATTCAATAAATAAAATCACGTCAAATGCCATTGGTGAAGACGGATTGCCGATAAAAATTATTAAACAATTATGCCCGTTCTTGATTCCATATATAACTTTCATCATTAATTCTTGTATCACCAAATCACATTTTCCCAAATTATGGAAAATTGCGAATATAAAGCCAATACCGAAGTTAAATATTCCAAACTCCACTGCGGATTACCGACCTATTAGTATCTTACCCTGCCTTTCGAAAGTCTTGGAACGTATAATGAAAAATCAAATGATGGAATTTATTGAAGAACAAAATCTTCTTTCAACCTTTCAGTCAGGGTTTCGTAAGGGAAGAAGCACACAAACAACAATGAACTTTCAACAACTACTAAATCGATTGCGTTATCTACTACTAGTTACTTCGATACTCGTTCTTCTTGACTTTAAAAAAGCCTTTGATCTTGTTGATCACGGAATTCTTATTAACAAATTAAAATCTCAATTTAAATTTTCCACAATTTCATGTAATTTCATTAAGTCTTACCTTACAGAAAGAACGCAAAGGGTTAGAATCGAAGATGATTTCTCTGAACTTATCAGTGTAACTTCTGGAACGCCACAAGGTGGCTGCATTTCATCTCTTCTTTTCTGTCTCTACATAAATGACTTAGTGAATAATGTTGAGAATAAATCCAACGGACGCATTAAGATCCATTTATATGCTGATGACACACAGCTTTATACGTCGCAACATCACTCAAGCATCACTCAATGCATTGATGATATGAATGAATGTCTCACTAATATTGCGGACTGGGCTAATGATAATAAGGTTTTAATCAATCCAGCGAAATCGAATGCTATTGTTATTGCAAGAAAACCTGTCAATAACATACCTGCGTTAAAATTGGGAAGTGACATAATCGAATACTCAAGTAAAGTTAAAAGTTTGGGAGTTATTATCAATCAAAAATTAACGTGGAATGATCATATTCATAAAATATGTTGCGATGTCAAAGCGGGAATCGGAATGCTAAGCCAAACAAAGCATTTCACACCTCGTGAAACAAAGCTTGGTTTGGTTAAGTCGCTCTTAATTCCTAGGTTTGATTACTGTAGCAATATCTATTTAGGTGCATCAAGGGCTGATTGGAAAGAAATTGAATCAGCGTATAATTCATGTGTCAGATATATATTTGATAAAAAACGATATGAATCTGTGTCTCGGTACAAATCTCATGTTGTTGGTAGTTCGATTGAGAATTTATTGAAATATAGAGCGTGTCTTTTTATTTATAATTTATTACGCTACAAACAACCTGAATACTTATATGAAAAGATAATCTTTACCAAATCGTCGCGTAATCGAGTTTTACAAACACCTTCACACCTCAGATCACAATTTTCAAATTCATTTTTTGTTCTTGGGATTCAAATATGGAATAGCATTAAATCGGATATAAGAATGGCAAATTCGACTTCGGTTTTCAAAACGAAATGCTTGTCTTACTTTAACTTGCAGAGATTACAAGAATGAATGCTCAACCCTCCCCTTTCCCATCCCAAAACATCCACTGAATCATTACTAGCCTATGTTGAATGAATGTTATCTAGTGCTGAGATATGAAGTGATAATATTTTACTTCATTGAGATTGTATGATTTTTATCAATCATGTCATAGTTTTAATTTGTCTTGTTTCAAGAATAAAATTTCATAAGACAAGCTGTAATCATGAGAAGATTTTCTTAGGAAATCTTAAAAAGAGCATGCTCTTAAATGTTTACGAATGAACCAATAAATAAACAAACAAACATTTTAATTCATCCACAACGTCAATTTTTTTACTATCAATATTTATCTTATCTATGTTATTATCTCTCAGCTTTTCAAAAACAAAATTCCGAGAAAAAAAAGGAACTTCAAAGGAATATTCTTTCGTTTCTTGTTCCTTAATGCTTTTCAATATTTTCTGATGAAATATAAATTAAACTTAAATGCAATGAAATTTGAATAAAGTGAAAGGAATTTCTTTGTGTCTCAAGTTCTCAAGATGTTGAATAAGTATTAAGTAGTCAATTGTCCGTCACATTTCATTCAACGACGATAATTTAATGAAGAGAAAAGAAATTCTGAAAGGAAAACATTAAAAAAGCTTTGAAGATTTTAAGTCATTCTTTCTTTATTAATTTTTCCAAATGTTTGTTTTTTATTCTCTGTATTCAAGTTCTACATTTAAAATTTATCGTGTTTCTTATTTTCCAAATGGAATGAAATATTTAACATGTTGGAATATCATTTTTACAAATTCTTCCAATTTTGTGATTTCTTATCAATGAACATTGTGAGCTGCTTCAGAAGGCATTTGAACCATCAGATGTGGTTGTAGATAATGTGAAAAGTGTCTACATACTCATACTCAATATTTTATCAAATATTTCCTACTTTTTCATATTAACTTCTTCAATTCTATTAAACATCTAATTTCCAATCTCTAACTGGTTGCGATGCTTCCAGTGTAACTTTTACAAACTTTCTAATACTTTGGGGACAATAATTTGGATTGATTGAAAGTGATTACAGTTTAAGTTTATTATACTTCTTTTTTTTTCAATTTTATCACGATTTACAACGCCAAAAGAACGAAAGGAAAAATTGCACAATCAACAGAGAAAAGAAGACAGAAATTAAAACACGTACAAGTTTTTAGAGAAAAGATTTTCATCGGGCAACATTTATTACTTCTTCCTCTTCTCTAGTCTTCCTACATTTGACGAATTAATTAATAATCATCTTTTTTTTTCATTGATCACAATAAGTTCAATTAGATTTTTTCCTCAAATTTACAATTGTGGATTGACCTTAAAATTTAATGTGAAAGTCATAAGATTAGTTTTCCTTTCAATTACTTTCACTTTTCTTATTTTTCATCTATCCGGAAAATGTTCAAAAAAATTTTGTTTTCATTCTCTTACTTTATTTTTTTTCGAATATATTTCTGATATAATTTAATTTAAACATTAAACTTCTACTACTCAGAAATCTATATTTTCAAAAGAGTTGTTTTTCCAACACAGAAAAATCTTTGAGAAAAATCAAACAAAGTAAGGAGGAAGAAGATGAAAATCTTGAAGTCGATGAATATTTACTTTTCTTATTTTGAATAATATAATATTATTTTATTCTTTTAATTAATAATTGCATTAATTATTGAATTCAACTTACTTAATTTATCATCTCAGAATAATGAGCGAAAATTTATTGCTGGAAAAAGGAGGAAAATGTATGAAAAATTGCTTAGTTTCTTCTAAAGAAAGTTTCATAATCTTTTCATGAAAGATACAAAGTTATGTTTAATTTAGAATTGATTTTTATGAGCCCAAACGATTCTCTAATGTTGACCTCAACGACAAACATCCTTCCACCCAAAAGTTGGGACGATTTATCATCGATTGCCAGAGTGTTATTTCCTTTCCATTCCCATCATTCCACTCGGCAACTCGTCCATAATGTTTGCCTGTTTGAACAAATGAACATCAAATGTCGATAAATAATTTAATAATCGAAAAATGAAGCTTACCCGTTCCCAAAGAAAATCTTACGCCTCCTAAAAATTCGTTACTGGCTAGTCTGTCATGATCCCATATTGTAAGTTCCAATGCGCGTTCTGATAATTCAGCCAGTGTTACGTCCTCGTAAATAAATGTGTAATTCCTTAAGTGGAAGGATATGTTGTTGAGACAGAGACAACGAATGATAAATGAAGATTGAACTCACCATTGAGGACTAGTCGTTCTCTTCGCAACATGTGTTTTCTGCTTTGTGCTGCGGTTCTTGTCAGGAAGAAGATAGCTAAGAAGAATGTCAATATCAGTAAGCAGGTGACTTTCACACCATCAATCAAACTAAACCAACCTTTTGCAGAAAGCATCACAATTTCCATTCGCTTTCACAGGTGACAAATGCTTAGCCTCTTTAACAAGAATGTGAAGCGAACCTTTTGTGGTTTTCGAGCATGATGACGGTCCACCTGGTGATCCATTATTGGCACTATTGGACGATGAATTCGATTTGATGCTAAACTTTCTTAAGCTTAATCCGTGTGAGTGAGATGAACCAGATGACTCGGAACCAGGAATGAATTTTAATCCGACAATCATATCGCCACGATATGTTGCAACATCTTCAAAAGGTTCACTCTGTGAAATTGAAAACATTATCAAACATTGCAAAGGGACATCTTTATAAAAGCTTTTTCCTACCCTTTCTTCAAGTTGATACCATTGTGGTTGCGGATTATCAAAAACTTTATTTTGAAGACTAATCATCACTTCACCGAGAAAATCATTTCGTCCCTAACAAGAAGAAAGCATTTAAGTGAATAATTTATTTGAGAAGAAGTAAAAACAAATCCGATTAAAGAATAAAACTTACAAACATATCCGAATGCCAAACTGTAAGCCATAATGTTCTTGATTCGAGGCTACTTAGTGACATGTAGAAGCGTAAAACTTCATCAAATACCGGATTAAGTGTATGCTTCTTTACTTTGGTTTTTCGTTTTCCACTCTTTGTTTTATCGGGAAGAAGATAAACCTGAGAAAGAGTTGATGATTGATTTTTATTAGGTTATCGTAATCAGCTTTAAACTTTCATTATATCTACCTTGACGTATGGATCGCTTCGGTTTCTTTTTGTGTCAACAGCTGCAAGTTCTTTACATTGTTTAACATGAATTTCTAAAGCGCACTGCTTGTAATTGTATTGCATTCCAAACTCGACCATTCCTTTGACTTGAACCGTTCCATAACGACCTTCACCAGCTCCTGAGTAAACGCTTGCCATTGAATCAGAGCGTAACTAAAGAAAAGAAAAGACCATCATTCAGTGTCATGAGAAAAGTTTTTAATTAATTTTGTGTAATCTTACGCCAAGTGAACTTAAAGAGTTGTGTCGATTCTGATGCATAGCAACGAGTCTATCAATATCTTCATCAGACTGTGCTGGCCATGGATCAGCAGATGTTGATGATGGTGTGTGTGGATGGCTTGAAGAATTTGGCGAGAGAGTAGAAGTGGCAAGTCCTGGTCTGTTGCCCATGACTGGTGAGTTTGCATTGTCGGAGAGATGCGTTTCTTCTGCAAGACAAACAAAAAGAAAAAATATAATAAATTATTAATGATGGCTGATAAAAATTTATTTTTTTCTCTTTTTAAAAAAAGATTTTTTAAGATATATTCGAAGGTTAAGCGATCATCACCCACCACCATAAAACTTATCGAATGCCGTCATACGGACTTTTAAGTTCGATTGACGTAATTTTCTTTTTAAGCTTTTATCGGTACCGACACAATCAAGTTCAAGTGACTCGAGAAATTTATCAGAGTTGGACTTCCAACTTTCATCCCAACTCCAAAAGCAACTGGCACCGTTTTCTGATTTCAAAGTGCTTTTTTGACTGTCATGGTCAATTATTGCGATATTTTGCTGTTGCTTATATTCCTCAACCGCCTTATCTATATCATCTTCATTGTTAAGATTCCCATTCTTACGTCTCAAACATGTCGCATGGAAACAGCATAAGCATGGATAACAGAAAATACGTTTAATCCATTTACGATCGTAGCAACAAGTCCATGAAATCCATTTCTTCCGTTTTAGTGGCTTTTTATTGTTCACCGTCTCTCGACGCTTTTTATGAACCGCTGGGTAAACTGCGGTCTGTGATTTCTTTGCTGTTGACATCGTTTTGAATGCTAAGTTGTCATTGCTGACCGCAAAGCTTACGTTATTAAAGGTCCGATAACGATTCTCATCCTTTCTTTTGTAGCTTATTAACTTTGCCATTCGTTTCTTCATCTGATTCTAAACAATTATTATCTACTTTATGGGTCAAAGGAAGAACGACGATCTTGACTAGCAGTTTTTACAATCAAAAGCAAGAGCATAATAAAGAGAAATTCTTTTCATGAATGTTTAGGATTTATATTTTTTTGAAAGCTTATCCTGAAATACTGACTCTTAATGAAGAAAGTGCTTCATATCTCCTCATTCTTAAATCATAAAAGTAAATTCATATTTATTATTTCTTTGAAGACACAAAAAATCACCAAAGGTTTATTTCATGTTTTTACTTCTTTCAGAGCACGAAAAAATGATGAAGTAGAAAATGCTTTCTTTTAAATGAAATGTTTCCAGCATTTACTTTTATGTTCTATGTTTCAAAGTGAAAAAAGGGAAGAGAGAGAAAAACCTTTTTATGATTTTATGACTGATGAAAATTTAAATTGACTTCAAGTTCATAAAATAACTTAAAAAATGAAAATGGCGACGGGGGGTCTCGAATACAAGACGATCTTTGAGAAATTTATTTCATGTTAAATTCATAGTCGGTAAGAAAGCAGACAAAAGCCCAAAATAAGTACATAAAGTTCTAGAGATTGCATTGAATTCATTCGTTAAATTGATGGATGATATACTCATAGAATCTAAGAATAATGTTAGAAGCTTTCAATGAGAATCATAAAAAATCCCTCCCGCACTTTTTATGTTTCATTCATATTGAAATGAAAAGAAAGAAAAAAGCTTTACGAGCACAATACAAGAAGAAATTGCTGAAGTAAGGAAAAAGGTTGTAGGTTTTATTAGCGAAAATAAATTTTCTTTTATCATTATTTAACAAAATTCAATTATCAATAATTCTAACGGTCGAGAATGAAGAGTTCAATTAGAGTTTTATGTTCTCTTCACTTTTCATTACCACATTAATATTAAAATTTAAGTTAATGGTAATTGAGAATTGCCCATGACTCGCAAACCGAGAAATTTTGTCACGGTTAAAAGAATTGAAGAAAACATGATAAATAGCTTGAAGAAACATTGAGGCTTTCGAGAGGTCGACCGTTGAAGAAAATACCATCATTAATTAGACTTTTGTTTTAAGCCCCATTCATTGAATCCACCAAGAAGAACTAAGTAATGATAAGTAAGATTTGAAGATTATCTTCAAGAAACGGAAGCTTCTTTTGAACAACATTAAGTAAGAAGATACTTTTCAAAAAATTTCGTCTTGAAAGTAAGTACGACAAAATCTATGAAATAAAGTTTTAGAAGCAAGTTAAAACGCATTTCTCAATTCTCGAAGCATAATACTGACTAATGAATGTTTAACAATTGAAATGAAAATCAATTTTTCTGAATATTTGGCAAAATCGTTCTTGCAATGGTTAATATTCATAATTTCAACCATTCTTGATTGACCTTAAAATGAATTTTTCTCTTTTTGCAATAATCGTAATTACTCGTTAGTTTTTTAAGCTTTCAATTTAAAAATGGAATGCTAGTGAAAATGTACGTCTCAATAGATCTCTAACTAAAATTCAGCACCCAAACACAATTTCAAGCTCAGAATGAATGGATTATCCAGAGCAGAAAGGAATTAAATCCATTTTTTCGGTGTGCTTTGTTGGATTTCTTTTCATCGTCATAAGCATCGAAATTAACACCAATTCTCTTTCTTTCGTAGTTTTTTATTTCTTTTAAGTCCACAAATCTTTTCACCTAAGATCTAAATCTTTTAAATGGAAAACTTTTTCGCGACTTTCTCGAATCGCGTTTTTTGCTTTTCTTGCAAAATGCTTTAGTAAAAAATCGCCAGAAACTTTTCCACTTGAGTAGCGTATAAATCCAACGACTCATTGCACATAAATTCGTGCGATGTCGAAATTTCACTTTGACACTTTCAACGTTTCTGACGAACTGAGAATGAGAATATTTTTGTAACAATTCTCGATCACTTCCAGAGGTTAATTTGTCGCGGTTAATAAAAAAGGTCAACCAAATTTAATTAAAAACTAAAAAAAGAACGACACACACCGACAGTCAGAAAAAAAGATTCAATCATTTATGACGCAAATATATGGCAATGAATATCATATTTGAGAACTATCAACAGAAGTTTACAAAAAATCGACAGCTTAATTGAGATCAGAAATACGAAATAAATATCTACGCACTTATATACTGTTGATGTGCTTGATTTCATTTTTGAAAATAAATAAATGAAATTAACTGACCACTGACACCGATTTATGTTCAATGTCTGATATTTATAGGAACAATTTGATACAGTTCACGATAAAATGATTTCATGGTGAAAGTAATATGGAACAAAATGATATTCAATTCATTAGCATAAACAATAAGTAACTTAGCGGCTGTCAAACCATCATTTTTCGCTTAAGCCACGTTAAGGTATGCGTTGACATGCGGCGGAAAGCTTCTTCATCTAAACATCAACAAGACTTTTCCTTTTCAATTTACACAATGATTGAAGAAGCTTAGTTATGCTTGTGGGTGGAAGGATATTCATTTGCATAATTTAATATTTACATTTTCTCTTTAAGAAACGTTTATAAATTCATGAATTTCTCATTATTATTGCCATTCTTATCACAAGTGATAAATTCAAAGCTTCCAAGTCACAAGGTTTGCCCTGCCTGGTCATTCCCTAATTTACGTTTATTGGGAACACGTTTATGGGCTCGATCCCATCGTAGTCATGATAACAAAATGAAAATTTATCGTTAGGGTTAAAGATATTTAGGGATGCTTTATACTTTTATCTTTTTTCAGGTACAGCGAGAATCGAGATGGGAAAATTTAAACAACAAAACCATCAAAGAAGGTAATAATAATTAATCATCAAGGAAATTTAATTATTCAAGAGATTTATTATCAGACTCTTGCTTCGAATTCATAATTCGCGTCATATTTTGCCTTAATTTCATAATTGATTCGGTGAGTAACATAAAGAATTTGTTATTTATACACTTAATGAATGTAGATTGATGTGAGGGTGAAAACTTTTCATCTGCAACTTCTTTAAGTATCGTCAATTGTTCTCTCTCTTTTATAACCTGTCCCACCCTTAAAAACTGTGCAAGCAAGTAAACATTTATTCTCTATTTATGATCCGTGGGGTTTCCGAATGCCAATCAAACCAACAAATAAACTTTGCAGATTTGATTGATTTAGTCATCTGAACCTTGTTTTGTGGTTGAAGCAGAAAATAAGATTATAAACAAGAACGACGTTGGCGGCGGAGCAATAAAAAAAAGTTATGTTCAACTTCAATGGCGAGCTTTGATAAGGAAAGTTTCCCTCGCAATTTTTGTTTACATTTTTCCATTTTTCAATTTCCTATAAATCCGCTTAGAAAGAATCAATGTTCATTTATTTCAAACGTTTGTAGGTGGTTAGCAACCGTTGAATGTACTCCCAGATATTTTCCCAACTTTAAACTTTAAAGAAATGTAGACATGAGAGAAAAGAACTTTTTACTCAAGTTGCGTTTCTATGAAAAAAAAAATAATAATATAATTTGAAGCTTCTGAAACTTTGAAGTTGAAAACTTGATGCCATGAAACATCAAGTCTTTTGAAATTATGCGCTGAATCGGAAAATTGCTCACTGTGTGCTTTCAACTTATGGTTATAAGAAAATATTGAAAGTGCTCTCAGTTTCATTCAAACGATAATAGTTTTTGAAACAAAAGATGTCATTTTAAACAACTTTTAGCAAATAATTTCATTCTTATCACAACGGAAGTAGCAGCTGACGGTCGATTTGAAGCTTTTTTGCTATTTTCATAGTGAATTTTCATTTAAAATTTAAACAGAATGTTCTTGACTTTCTGTCTACATGGAAGTTTCTGCAATTACAAATGCAACTTTGAAAACTATGAAAGAAAAATTATAAACAAAGTTTTTAACGCTTGCAAAACTTTTTTTATCATTGCACATTGGCCGTGTGCAGTAATTTGAAAGCAAAGGGAATATTAATGATGTGATGTACAAGCTTTGCAACTCCCATAGCATCTTTTATCTAAAATTACATGAATTATTCGCAGTCTTTAGGTTCAGATAGTTCATTTCTCTATAGATCCGTGAAGTCGGAAAAGAATTATACAAATGACTGTTGGTGATGTAAATGCAACAAAATGATAAACACTGTGAGCTATGGTTTCATCATCATGGTATTTAAATAAATTATTCACTATTCATGTCACGTTTCTCAATGGGAGATAAAAATGATGACAAGTCGAGCATATTCTGGTAAAATTTCCGCGGGATATTTTAAAAAACATTTTCAGGTACATAAATATTTCATTCTTCAAATGACATAAAAAGGATCAAACAAATGTCCCATGCAACTTAATTCAATGAATATTAATTAATTTTATGTCATTATGCCCAACAGCTCTGTTTTTCATTTAAAAAACTTTCGCTTATAAACCGTCATTGAAAAGTAATTACAAAAACAGGCTTTTCCGCATTATCACCCGATAGCTTTATTGTGGTAATTAAAAATAACTGAACGCTGTTGAATCCTCAAACATCTCAATCAAAGTAATTATAAATGTTTGACATTGCCATTTAAGCAAACATTGCCATTATATGTAGGTCAAGTTTAATAAACTTTTTTTTGGAATAATTCTGCAACGAGATTAAAAAACTGAATATTTTTCCCTTGTTGATTATGCAAAAAACTGTCGCCTTTAAATTAAAAAATACATAAATGAAAACGAATTGTGCGAAATATTTGGTGGTTTATGCAAAGATATACGAGAGCTAATTGCATTGTGAGGTTGTTAACATTTAACGATAATTACTCAATTTGCGTTTAATTTTTATGGTATTTGTCATGTAGGTAATTGTTATTCGAGTTGTATTAGACAGTTTCTAATATTTTTCAAACAAGAACAGTGACTTGAATTGTGAGAAAAGAGGTTTAATCTCAATGAGATTGTTACATAGCTTGATCAAACAAATTGAGGTAAAATGCCAACGCATTGTGCACTGGTGCGACATGTATGAACAAAAAAAGAAAGAAATAAAAATAATAATTGAACATAAGCTGTTGCATAACAATTCCAATTAAGTTTTCATGAAATTTATAGCGACATGTATTTATCTCAAGTTGCTCTAGAAACATGAAAAAAAATTTAAATTAATGTTTTTGACAATTATCGAAAGGATTTCAGCATCACATATATTGAGTTGTTGCAAAATTTCTCGCTTGTTTTTGTGCAGTTGAAGGAAAACACGATCGACATTTTATATGAATCAAAATGTATGCAAATTATGTGCAAATCTCTTCTCAGCTTGATGTGGAAACTCGTTTCATGATTTTTTCTTATACAGACGGTTTTGATAAATTTCACTAGAATGATAAGTTTATTTCTGCATTTTCATGAAAATATTAACATATTTCATAGTATCATTACCCTTTTGTACGTTTTCAAGTGTCTTGAACAGTCTGGAAAGTCTCAGTAGTCTGTAAAAAATTTTTCTCATGCTTAAACAGCAATCATAAATCATGTTAATTTAAAGGTTTTCTTTTTTGCTCGAAGTGTGTGCACATGTCCAATTCAAGAGTAATTTTTCTGTGAGATGTTTCACGCTAACGTCACAAAGAAAATTTTTGTATGAATAAAAGAATTCCGTCCTTTTTTTTTTTTTGGAAGAAAGAGCGACAAAATATTTATCCTTAAGATTATAAGTAGTGCAGAATGGTTAAGGCTTAAAAATATCTGGAATATATTCAAATGAATCATTTTCTTTTCGCTTCTTTTGGGATTTTCGTATCCTTTGTACGTATCTATCTATTCAGAAAAAATGGCAAGGTATGTAGTAAAAGATAAGAGTAAATTCGTTTTGAATATAAAAATTCTATTTCAGCACAGTTTCTTTATATCTATTTATCTATTTATCTACCGATTGTCTGAAAATATCATCACGAAGCTACCTCTATTGAGCTTACGAATTGCACGAAATAAACAACAAGCTTAAATAATAATAAAAAAAACTTTGTTGCATAAAACATGAAAAGAATTTTCCCTGATGAAAGCCCCGGGGATGAAATATCTCAACTCTCAAATACATATCGTGTTATACATATTTTCTGCTTATTCATCGTGTTCATCTCTTGACAAGTTTCCGTGAAAAATGAAAATGAGTCTTAATTGAAAAAAAAAGGAAAACTTTTTCATTTAGAGTTTTCTTTTTCTTTTCCTGTTTACTCGAATATTCTTATTGTTGAAGTTTAAAGCATGAGATACAGAATTAAAAAGTTTATTTAAGGGAAGTTATCGCATCGTAAATGAGATGTCAAAATCATCAGGGGAAAGGCTGACAGAACATAATATTATTGATTCGATAAAATCATGGTTAACGACCGTAAAACCTACCAACAAGCCATGCAATATGAGATTTGAAAGATTTAAAGAGTGTGAGGGACAAAGCTTTTGATTCTATTTTATGACTAAACATAATGTTAGTGGTCTTAATAGCATGTCAAATAACTTGTGTTTTATCTGCTATTCTCGCAGCTCGAAGAATTTATCTGATCGTGATTTTATTGCTAAAAATTGTTTTCTGTTTAACGATTTAGTTTCAAAGAATTTTCCTCTCTTGTAGTGTCTTCATTGGACTAATTTGGGAAGAAGAATTAAGAGGCAAAAGAAGAAAGTTTGACTTACACATAAATTGTTTTCCTCAACCAAATCATCGTTTCATTTTTGCGGACACTGATTTTGTTATGTCATGACGTTGTGGGTATTTTTTAATACAAAAAATGCCATTAGCGGTTAATGATTAATTTTAATGACTTCCGTTATTTCTTTTCCGTTTAACTTCATTTTCTTTCTTTTATTTTTAAATATTATTATTATTATTGTTATTATGGTGATCAACATTTTTGACATCTTCTCTGAGATGAAGACGAAACTTTTCTAAAATATTTTCTGTTATACCCAAATGTTCCACCCTCGCTAATTCATATTTTCTGAAATTTGGTATGCGAGAATTTTCATAAAGAGTCGAATTCAGAGTTTTGATTTCAAGGCCGCAAGATCTGAAAGAAAGCTGTGAAGCTTCAAATGTTAATAAAATTTTTAACGAACCTTTTGCTTCTTTTTTCATTGAGTTATTTTAACAATGTTGACGCAACCAATGGAAGACGAAGAGTTATGATGTTTGCAAATATTTTTTTGGAACAAACACAAAACTGGCAACTAACTGGTTTTGTTTTTTATTCACATCGCTGTGTTTTGAAGGTATTTATTTTTTATTCTCTCAAAAAAAATTTCGTTCGGAATGTTCTAGCTGATTCTTCCGAGATTTTTAGGAATTTCAACAGATTGTGAGTCTCATCAATCATTTTAAAGGATTTATATAGTCGCTTGAATCGCATGTTAAACCAGACAGGCGTAAATAAAATAAAGGTCAACTAATATGAATCATCAAGTCAACTACAATTCCACATCATATTGCAATCATAATACAAACACACACGACATCATTCCGTTGGCTTTTTATTTCTTTAGACATATAACATGGAACAAGTCGTGGAATATCATTTTGGTAATGGAATTGCAAATGAGAGAATTAAGTTATTACTAACATCAAAAGCGAAAATTACTAAAACAATGAACTCACGAATTCTTTAACATTTCAACTTTACAATGTTTGTTTCTATTTCATTCCGTTGTAAGTCAATAAACTCTTGAGTTGTTATTTATGTGAGTGATCAGATGATGATTCAATAAAAACTAAATCAGAAATCGTATTAGAAGAGATTGAATAACTTTCTATCAAAGATTTCTTCAAATTAAATTAAACAATCACGATTTGTATGATTTTAAATGACTGAACTTGAGATTTGAAAGTTTAAAGTAGTAATTAAGATAGCCGAGGAAAATTATGTTTGATTAAACATAAATGTCGTGTGTTGAAAGATGATGATGAATGTAGCATTAACGTGACCGTGAGTAATTGTAAAAGGTAAACATTCGTGAAAAGCATGTTAATCGACATGCATCATGCAATTGTTTGAGAAAAAAATTATTTTAAAAAAACAATGGCGACGCAATTTCATTTAGATTTCATGAAACGGAAATCAATGGTCTCGAATCGACTTGAAAAAATCGATTAAAAAAATTGTTTTCCACTCAATGCCATGATCAGCATTCATAATTAAGTGTTTTCGGAATTGATGTAATGAAAGAAAAAAGAAGTTGAAAAATACTCAAAAAATAAAAAAAAACATTTGAAAGTTGTTTGTCGCTCGCTGCTCGAAGAATTGCAAATTTGAAAAGAGAAATGAAACGTGAAGAAAATTTTCTTCTTTTAAATTGAAATCTCGTGGTTTATGAATTAGTTGAATGCTTAGTAAAAGAAATGAAATCATACTTTGGAGTATAAAGTCGTTACCTGTGTTATCTCATGCAATCACGATTCTAAACGAGCTTCCATCATCTTGCCAACGAGAGAATATAATTTTCTTAGAACATGAATCTTCTTCTTTATAAATTTTCCAAATGAACTTCGAAGCATTTGATGTAACACGAATATCATTGAAAAGTAAGCAACAAACAGTAAACATACTTAAAATGAACCCTCCAACCTTTAACTCCAACACTTTGGATTATTGGCAACATGTGAAGAGCTCTCGAGCAGAAAAAAATGAAAATCAAAACGTAATAACATAAAAGAAGAAAAGAATTTCTTTCATTGCTTGTTAAATATTTATTAGTCTTAAGTATTTTCTTCCAACGCTTGAAGAAATTGTTTCATGATAAACAAGAGGCATATTAATAAACCTCAATTTTATTAGGATTTCATTTGAAAGTTTAAGAATTTTTCTATTCTTTACTACGATGATTACCTTAGATAGTTTGAGCAAAACGATATTTAACCATGTTTCCTTTCCTTCTTACACCCACTTTCAACTCTCGCAACATAATTCCGTCCCATGACTTATTACGTAAAGTTAATGTCATCAGAATAATTTAGATTTTTTTTAACTTCATTAGATATTCGATTGTTGTCAAGATTTGAAGGCTTTTGAGGGGCGCTTGTAAGATTTGTTGCTAGGGAATGTCGAAAATACATATTTATGTGTTTTCCTTCATCCATGTTTCATCATCCATGTATACATAAACATAATAGAACTTCCCCTGCACAAGCAATTGTTTCTGCAACTTAATCAACGTTTCTGTGTAAATTTCACCCGAGAGACGACTAAACTGCCTTAATAGAATTTCTACGCAAATTTAAAAGTGGGAAGCAGCTTTAGGGTGAAGATATAAATCAAGTTCATGTGAAATTCTTTGCTCTTTAGATCCACAAGGTACGAAACTTCCTTTCATATTTCGTCACATTTTTCTTTTTATAACGTGATATGATCTGATCATAAAGCTGAAGAGAAGATTGCTTTAGCGACACACATGACACCAATTCCACTTCGTTTAATGTTAAAGTCGCAAAATAAGTTTCGTCCTAAAATAACAAACACATCGTTCTTGAGGTGCGGCAGAGAAATCCATTATTCATAATTCCTTAAAGAGCTTTTCGGCATATGAGTTTCCATCAGCATGAAATATTTATCACGCGACAGTGACGAATTGATGCTAATAAAAATGCGAGTTTTATGTACATAGAGAGATGTGGGGTGTGAAAACTTAATTCGTGAAGTTCACTGATCTTCATTCGACCTCTTTATCGAGAGTGTTAAGTCAAGATTTCAGTTCTATCATTACTCAGATTTTACCGTTATAAACTTCAAGGCTCTTTTACTTGCATTTATATTTATAAATATTCTACGTAATAAATTCACTTAAAGAATCAACTTCAATGTCATCGCAAAGAAGAAAAGCGTTTGTAAAATTTACGTTATTAAACATAAGATTGAAGGCTTTCTTGTCATTATGAAAGGTCATTTATAAGTCAGTTTGTGTCCTACGTCAGAAAACGTTCAAGTATATTCATACAATTTTGTTCACTCAAAAAGTCACGATATAAATTATTGCTTTGAAGTGCAATTGTGCTAATGAATTGATTCATGTTACCACATGCTGAAATTATAATTAAACGTTCAACATCATCAACTAATGTCAACTCAGACAAATTTCTAATCAACGCTTATCTCGTGCTGAGCATAAAATTATTAAAAGCATCGTAAAAAAATGAAAAGCAGCATAAAAAATATTATAACTGATTTAATAAGTGTTTTAATTATTGCTGTGCACAACCGCAATTGTTTAATTAGTAAATATTTCTTCTTTCTTTCCTCTCTGAACAAGAAAAACAAAAAGTTTCTCAAAATTAAAATTAAAACACGCTCCGTACCTACACACGTTCGATAATTGTTGAAGAAATATGTATAATAAAAACAAGATTTCTTTTCTGTACATAGAACGGTTACTTGCGCTATTTATGCTCGAAATTTAATTAGACAACAATAAGCATTAGCCGTTAAATGGTTAGCGAACGTTCGTTGGTAGGAAGGAAATTTAATATCTACTTCAAACATCTCAAGCACTAAATTTTATTAAATTTCCCTTCAAGATATTTTCTTGCAGTTTCTTTTTATCGCCCGCCGTAGACGATGCAACAAGAAGAAAGTAAAAGCTAAGACGATGAAGATTGATTTATTGGACATTTAAAGATACGGTAGACAAAGCATACCAATGAATAAATATAAAATAATAATTTGACCATCAGTATTCACGACACTTCCTTCACTTAATTTTTGTTGATGTTGCAAATTTTACGGTTCGTGGGATTTTAGATACAAAATATCAACATTTGCGTAGGTGTTGATTCTTTTTAAACTTCGTGCTAACAAAATATTGAATTTGGAACGATTTAATAGGTAAGTTGTAATTTAATCTTTCAATTTATGGATAGTGGAGGCTGTAAATAGTAAATCAGATTTCCTGGTCTTTTGTCACACTCTTTTGTAAACTGACACGAGTTATTGCGAAAGACATGCAACACGAAAAACTTACTTGGAGCGACAGAATGAATGACTATTGAAAATTTCAGTTACAAAGCTTTTTTTCAATTTCACATTACCGTTGACCGCATTTGGTGTGTACAACAAGGTATCAAATGTGCTACGAAGGTGGAAGATATCGATCAACAACAAATGATAAATATCGGAACGTGACAAAGGCCAAAATTATCTAATTTTAATGTTCTTCTCTTGAACCAATTTCCGTTTTTCCTTTCATGTCATAGCAACACAATGTTTGATGAGATGACAAGAGATAAATTCGAAATGAATAAGTGTACAAACCCAAAGATAACAACAGCAACATAAATGAAGAGAACGACATTTTTATCGGAAAACTTTTCTACATGCTTTTGTGTGGAAATCATTTTTCATGTCTAAATCTTAAGCTTCCATTACAGCAAACAGACAATCACGTGAGTGACATTTCGCAATCTTTTTTCTCTTCTCATTCAATCTCGTTTGTTCACCTATCTCGACCAACAGTAAAAGAATCAACAATATAACTAACGAAATAATTTCCACTACAACTTGGAAGATAGAAATCGAAAAAAGATTCTTTTTCTTCAGGAAGTTTCTTTTATGTGTGTTAAATCTAAAGTACAACGAGATAAAGAATATAAAAAACGAATAACGAACAATAATAGTAAGCATGGTGAAGGTTTCTTGCCCTCGCCATTTCTTGGATCATTGAGTTCAGTAACATTTTCCTTTCGCTGAAGTGAAAGTTGAAATGGATTTTTTTTTTGATAATGAAACATTAAACATCAACAGTCATTTCCAAAAAAAAAGCTTCACATGTGCAAAACAACAAAAAAGGTTTTCGAAATTTGCACGAAACATGAAAGCATCGCTGCCCCTTATAAAATCACTTACAAAGAGTGAATGAAAAAGAAGCTTTTATAATGAAAGGGAATCAGTACACGATTAGCAAACAAAATAACATTCACGCCATACATCATCGCTTCATAAATAACTGAAACGTTTGAAAAAAAAAGTCTTCAATGGATGGAAAAAAATATAATGAAAAAAAAAGTTTTGGTGTACGTACGCGTTTTCTTCTTGTTGATGGATTCACTTCTCATAACCAATGTGAAGTCATGCGAGCGGGCGAACAAGTAAATTTTCGCTTTTATATTTATTGGATATGGATAAGTTCGCTTCAAGGTATTTATAGATATAGAGCTTAAATATGTAAGAAAGTCTGGTGCTCCGATCTTATCGAAGATTGGAGTCTTATTTTTGGATGGGAAAACTTTACTCTTGCTTTAATAAAAAACTTTTTATTGCTTTTATTTCTCTATTTGTTTATTATTGCTGCTTAAGCATTCAAAAGAAACAATTGAATGGAAGAAATGGAGGGAAACTTCCAACCTTTACGTGATTTATGCATTTATTGCCTGATGGCGATTGCGTAGACAATGTTAACGAATCGTTTAACAGGAAATGCTATCGGACAGTAAATTCAATTATCAAATCAAAATCGAAATGAAAGCTTACTTCATGGATCATTTATATCTTTGTCAAAAATACTTCAAAAATCTATTACATCATTGCCTCGATGAAAATTGCATTCAGGTAAATGTATACGAATGTGTGTAAATGATGGAAGAAGAAATAAAAAATTGAAGAATCATAAAATCACGATATGGAATAAATTTGAATAGAAAAATAAAAACACACGAAAATTTAACTTTTCGAACGTGTGTAAAACTTTTGCCTCTTGTCGTTTGGTAACAGAATATCAGGAAAAAAAATAATACAAATTTGAATTCAATGGCGAAAGAGTGGAAAGAAAATATAAAAAAATCTCGATGAATGTGTGAGAACAAGAAACTTCAACGCTAGCGGGAAGTCTCGGAGTCGCGAGAAGCTCGCAAAACCAGTTTTCTTAATGAACTTTTCTGAAGCGCGATATTTTGCTTTTACGCTGATTAACTGTTACGCGTCTGAGGGTCTATAATTTTTAAATTATCACAAGCGATAAACTTTCCTTTTCATTTGCGTTTTCCTTCTTTCTTTCTCCCTTTCTCTTATGCTTTCAATAAAGAAGCTTCAAATATTACTTAACATCCCAAAAGACTCCCATCAGTATTTTTGGTCGAATGAAACATTTATTCTCGCTGTTCTCGTCTGCCCAATGCTATTTCGTAATTGTAATTTAATTAAACATCATGACCGACATGGCAGCTTCTAAACAATGGTGCTGTAAATTTCGTTGAAAAAATAAAACATAACGAGCGTTACAGTTATTCTTTCTCTCTGTCTCTCTCGCACCCTCTTGAGATGGACAGCTTTAAATCATTATCATGACTGTAAATGATAGAAATGTACGGATGGCGTTCATTTAAGCGAGATGAAATATTTGATTACGAAAATTCTTTTCTTTTCAGACGTTTTCACTTGAATAAAGTGTCGTTAGATTTGTTAAACGAGATGAACCTTTTCTTCTAACAATCTTTTTCATTATCAACTCTGACATTAATAAAAGACGAATAAAAAATGAACTTACCCATTGCTAAAGATTGAACTTTATTACGACGATCACGACGTGGTGCAAGAGGTTGTAATCCTGGAGCTGATAATGTTCGTTTCGGTACTGGTTGTCGATTAAATCCGGGTGCTCGATAACGAGCGCTTTTAACATTATTTTGTAGGAACTGATAGACACTCTGAGCTTTTTGAATAGCTCCAGAAGATGAAGAATTTACTTGAATATTTGATGATGTCGTGGGAAGACGAGGAAGTGAATTGGTCGTGCTGGCAGTGATTGAAGATGTTTGAAGACTTCGTGGTAGAGTGGAACGTGCATGAAGATGATGGTCATTGTCACTTGATTCATCAGTGTCATCTTCCATAGCACCAGACCGACGTCGTGTACTTTCCTGACTTTGCGTTGACTCCCAAAGCTTGGAATTTTCTAAATCATGTTCACCAGCTCCACCAATGCTTCCGCATGAACGAACACGATCCAATTGTTCACGACTAAGACTCTTTGGACTAAATAGCAAATCACCAGCTGATCTCCGTTTAGCAGCTAATATTGAGAGTGCAGATGTTGAATTATCCAATGTTGAAAGCTTATTACGAGAATCGCAGTTGGTAAGCAAAGCAGATTCAAAACTACCGCGCCATGAAAACCGTTCATAATCGCTTGCTTCACGTTCTTCACCAGTCATTGCATCGGGTGCTGGTTTTCCATCAAGAAGTAAATCATGGCTTTTTGACCGCGGCAAATTGTTCGCTATGGGATCATCAAAATTACTCTCTGATGTGCTGTCGTCATCTTCAGTTGTTGTAGCTGAGATTTTTGCTTGTAGCCTTCGATGGTAACGAGTTGTTTGTTTCGGTGAATTACTTTTCAATGACTCACCGCTACTTACTTCGTGCATAAGAGCGACTAAACGAGATCCTATATGATGCATTACTTTTGCGATAATTGGTGGTGAATTAGTGATGTCAATTGGCGCTGCTGGTGGTGGTTTTTCATCTGCAATTTTTGTTATTGATGCAACAAGCTTTTGATAAACGAAAGCTGTTTCTTTTAATCCATCATCTAACAAACCACCATCACCCATATCACCTTCTTCATCAGGAATTCCACCTTTAGCAGTGTCAAACTTTTGAATTATTTCTTGACAGCTTGCAGAAATCTGTTGTTGAATTTTCGTTGACTTTCTTACAGCTGATTCTTTGTCACTGCTTGTGTAATCACTAGAGTCATATGAGTCACTCCAAGTATCTTCTGAACTAAAATATTCAACAAGCTCTCTTACTTGTTCATCTTTAATCCCAGGAACAGTTTTCATAAGTCGTGTTAATTCATTTTCAAAATAAACAAGTTGTGGAGGTCGTGGACGAGTCTTTTGTACTCCTGGAGTTGCCATTTCAGTTGCTGCTGACTTTGATGATCTTGAACTTGCAGCAACAAGTGACTTGAAAAATTGTCGCATTTTTGACATCATTAAATTTGTTTCTTCGTCTGAACTCCAAGCATTGAAACTGTCTTTACGTGAGAGATTTGCAGGTGGTGATGTCTTGAGAGTTTGAGTATCAACCTCTTTTATCTCTTCTTGAATTTCTTCCAATTCTGTTTTAATTTCCGGTGATTTTTGCCCATCGGATTTCAATAAATCATCATTTGAGCCAATAAATCCACTGTCACGACTATGTTGCTTACGTGAGTGTACTAAGTTGCCACTGGCGGGCATTAAGAATTCTTGTTGGGGAGTTTTCCTTCCATCATCGTCATCGTTATCCGATTCTGAAGGATTATTGACCTCAACTTCCGGCGCTTTTTTAACTGTCTCATCAATGTCTAATTTCTTTATTTTCTTTTTCCGTTTAACAGTATCGGAATGGTTTTCAGTCTTCTCTGTTGGATCATCACATGTGTCGGTTTCGGATGAATCACCCGACTCATGTAGATGAACTTCTGATGGATTATCAAGTGATTCGTCCTTTGATAATAAATTATCTAATGATGAGCTGTGAGATCGACCAGTGCCTCTAGCTCTGACTAATTTTTTTCGACGTTGTTCGGGACTTGGACGGCCTTCACTGTCACTTCCGACACTTCCTGATCCATCGGAACCATCACCACCATCAGCTGAAAAGCCCATAAATCCCGACAAGAAATATTTTTCGAGTCTCGATGATGCTAATGTTTCATCAGCATCTTTTAATGTCTCATCAGGTCCATTCAGAGAATCCAAACCTTCGCTACAAACTGAAGATACTTCCGATGGACTCTCGTCATGTTCGTCATATTGAGTTTTTGTGACATTACTTGATGGATGACCCTCACCAAGTCCAAAAAAGAAATATTTTTCCAACTCTGATGCTGACATTCTTTGACTTTTGCGATCAACACCTTCGTATTCTGATTCTTCACACGACTCTTCGACAATGGTATGAAGTGTAAAGTCGATTGAAACGCGATTATACCCACGTAATTCTTCTTCTCGGTCCATAGCGGTTAATGTCATCTCGTCCGAACTATCAAAATCACTGCCAGTTTCAGTGGCGAATTCTTCCGAGTCTTGTTGACTTATTTCTTCAACCCACGAATCATCATCAGCTAAACCATCTTCTAAACACACTACAGCGGACAACGTATCATTGCTTGTTATCACTTTTACATCATCATTTTCACTCCTTTTTGCCATCGTTTCTTTTATATTTTCTTCATCATTTATTTCACTAAATTTCGATCTTTTCATGAAAACATTTTCGTCATCACTCGATGGCTCGACTTTTGATTTTGTATTTGAATTTTTGCAACTTATTTTGTTAATATTTTCTTCGTAGAAACCAATTTTACTCTTCACACTTGCACTGTTCGTCACATTCGATGAATAGCGAGGTTGCCAATTTCTATGCTGAACAACGATCGCGTCGCGAGTGGAATTGGCAGTGATAATTTGCGTTGTATCGGTTGTGACGATACTCACGGGGGATCCTGATTCGGTTTCGTTATTCATTTCAGGCGCGGTACAATAATTGTCCTTGTCCTGTTGTGTGATCATAATTAAACTCGTAAATTTACCATTACCATCCGTGTGGTTCGATCGTTGACTCGAGACTAAACCACCAACACAGTTCTCAACATTCATTTCTTGAGCATTTATTTCATGTACAACACTTTGTTGCTTCACACATGAATTATTTTCACTTAATGGAGTTGTGTTAGTGTTACAATTGCTACCTGTTGATGTTTCAGAATGATCGTACAGCAATGGTAAAACATCAGACTTATCATAGTGTGCGTGAAAACCTGTTCTTAATGTTGCTGGTACATTATCGATATTTACAATCGGAGTCTGCAATTTGTCTGAAACCAGCTCTGTTATTTCATGTTGATTTTCATTTTCGTTGTATTGTTGATTCAATGGACTTTCAGTTTTCATCGACAAAATTTTGTCTGGAGAACTTGTTCTTACATCATCATTAAGCATTTTTTTATCATCAAAAGTTTCGTTGAGGATCATGGAAAGATTGCAACTTGAAAATGTTTTCTTTTCATTCACTTTTAAGGGTTCATTGAAGTCTATGGAATCAACTTGAAACTGATCACTACCATCTGTTATAGTTTCCAATTTTTCTTTCATACTTTCCTCTGCTAAATCTCTCGCCTCGAGGCTATCGCAATTTGACGAAATCTCATCATTCACAATCTCATTGTCAGATTCATTAATCTTCACTTGCTTCTTTTCATCGTCATTCGAAGGCAATTTTGACTTATTTTTGTTTTTATTTTTATCGTCGTCAACTTCAATATAAACATTTTCATTCGAGACATTCACTTTTTCATTGTCGATTTCATTTTTGTTTATGTATTGTTCATTATTATCATCACCATTGCTACTATAAAAGTCGTTATCAATACTTCTTATAGAGTTTAAAATTACAATTTCATCAAAGTCTTCACCAATAGGTTTAATGTAATTCAATACTATTTCCGGATTCACTTCACCATCGTTATGTTCTTGATCATTGTTTTCTTCGTCCAATAGCTTCATATAATTCAAAGTTATGCCATCTGTGTCTGTGTCGTTGTCAGACGAGTCTTCATCATTTGAAGAACTTTCCATTACATTTATCGAACTACATGAATCGGAATCTGATGTTGGAGTATTTTTATTCACAACAAAAACTTTCGTGAAACGTTTTGACTTTGAACGATTGTCATCAATTCCTGTGTCTTCTGAGTCAGAAGCATCTGTTTCTGTTGTAACGTCATCACGATTCGAACTTGTACTCTCAACGTCACTACTCCCATGGGCAATTATATTTTCTACTTGTGCTGCACCAGCAACATCATAACTTCTCTGTACAGATTTTGATTGATTCTCATCAGTTGACTGTTCGTCAGAAGATGAAAAAACATTTTCACTTACTAAGTAACCGTCATTTGCACCACTTTCGGGTGTTTTCAGTTTTCCGACCGAGATCATTGTACCACTTGACGATGTGGTTTCTAGCGCATTTGAATTACAACTGCTAGCAGTTGTTTTAATTAAATTATTATAAATCGTATAAGGCGTACTAATACCAACCACTGACAATCCGTTTGTGTTGGTTTCGTGC